TACATTTTTTTTTTTCAATAGCGGATAGTTTTTAATTGTAGACTACCGACTCAGCTATAGCGCATAACACGGTATCTATCAGCAATTATTGGACACAAACACTTGTAAAAACATATTTATGTATACATACCTAATCAAAGAAATAAAAATCTACACTTGTCGTTTTTTTATAACTAGTTTAATGAGTTCAATTGATATTGTCAATTTGTCATTTTATACTGTCTATGTTTAAATTGCTGCGGGAAACATAAATTGTTTTATATTATTTTAAACAATTATTTATTATTCCGCTTAAAAATACGACGTTTTAACTAACTAAGCAATTTTTAATACACTCGAGTCTTTATCGCTTTTATCGAAAAACAATTATTATGTAAGCCATAAAATTTTATTTCAACGATTGGCTATTGTAATTTAGTTATAAAATAATAATTGTATAATCATTATAATTATTGATAACATAATTAGAGGCGCTGCGTTGGACTTCTTAAGTAGATGTGTGAATGAGAAATTTGTTAATATAATATAAAAAGTAAAAACTACCCATCAAATGTAGAGAATAATTTTTATTTCATCATCTTTAAACTTTTCAATACAACTAAGTATAGTTGTATACATATTACATATGTATATGTGTATTATTGTAATATAAATATAAATCTATTCTTTCCCGTTACCTTATTACTAAAAGAAAAAAAAACCTTATTACTTAAGTAATACTATATGTTCTTGAAATATAGCAATACTATATAATCTATATTTATATGTACTTGTATATTATTATACCTATTCAAGGAACTAGTACAGTTGATTATTTGTTCAACAGTACTGAGTATAGTGATTTTATTAGTTATTAAATATAAAAATAGGCAACAAACAATAGTTTTAAAATGATGTAAATGCGCTGAATATATTATTTAATGGACTGAGTTAATATAATAAATAGGTAATTCTTGCAAATTAATTTTAGCACTTCAATGTTATAATCACTCAATGTAGGTATATTTTGTCAATAGGCCTAACTTTCAAACTGCATAACCTAAAAAGTACCTATATAACATAACCTGATACCGGTCGGCGGTCAGTTTTCAAGGTGATGATGACTAATATAGTAATATCATCTACATATAGTATTGTTTCTCTTTCCTCTCTTCGTATAACGTCTATCTATAACTCTAATGATCAATCCCTCGGGTACCGATGCTGTTATATTAGGTAACTGTACACACAACCTATTATTTTTTAGCCAACCTTTTTCAACAATTAACTGTCTTCATTCCAAAATTGCTGGTAAAAAAACGTTACGAATAAGTCTAATTACTTTTTAATGCCAGTGTTTTTTTAATCATACCAAAGTTAACGGTGTTACAGCTACAATCAGCCCATCGTCAGCGGTTTGTTTTTAGTATTTATAATTATTAGATTAAGTCATGGGAGACCTTTAGTTTTAGGAAAAACAATTAGGTTTATTTCAATTTGATACCTAATATATTATCTCAAGTATATGTAGTGACTAGTGTACACAAATATACGTTAGGTAAGCACACAGTAATACAGACCGGATACTTATTTCACGAGGGTCTTGAACCAGGCGTTGGAATGTGGATTAGTGTTCTCAGGCTCTCCCCTTGTAAAAAAAATGAAAACATTTTTTTTGTGTCCAAAATTAAATTAACTCCCGTGGTCGGTCAACGTTAAAGCCGATCGCTCTATATAGCATTGCGACGGCTGTGCGGAGGTGGTTGTCTGAGACCTATGGTATACACATGTTATTGTTATTATCATCATCGTACCCACCGAGTGAGCGACTAGGACGGTGGGGGGTCTCCAAGCCGAGAAGTATGTCTGACCCCCTGGCCCCTGCGTTTGGAAATGTTTTTCGTCTCGACCCGGCAAAAGACCAAAGCAACAGTTTGGATGGAACACCATTCGAAAATACTTATCGTTTATAAAAATCTATACCAAGTCGGCAATCCAATAATATTGGCGTCAAAAAAGATAGGAGGGCGAGGTCTGAAGAATGTTTATAGTAAAAAAGAGTTTAAAGGTATTAATACGATAAAATCAAATAATATTAGTTCATACGCCAATATTTATGTTGTTTTATTTTTCTTCATTTAACTTGTAAGAGAACGATTCATTGACATATTTTGCACAGTAGGTCTTATTTTAACCTGCATTTAATCCTTTCAGGCTGCAGACCTCGCTTTCTTCTGTTTGATAAAAACACTTGAAACTGTCATCCTGTCTTATTTTTAATCAGCGTTTTCTACATAGGCTGGATATATACTGTTATAGCATTAAAAAATTGATCAGAGTATGAAGTATTGATAGATATCACCCAAAAAGTTAAAATATTTTTTCCCTAAAAATGTTGATGTTATTATTAAATTTAGGTTAAATTATAGGTACCGTTGATCAAAAGGGTTGGTACAGATGCAGTAGGATTTTGAACACTAATTGTGCAGAAAAAAATTAAAATGTGCGGTTAACTTCACGGATGATATGTGCTCTTGAGAAATAAATACATCAAAAATATTATAATATAAAAAAGGCAGGCCTGATCTTAAGATATTTGAAAAATCATGAAGTTTAAATATCATTTTTCCTTATTTTAGGAAGTGGGTCACTTACGTTAAAACAAACAGCTTAATGCATATAAGTTACAATACGCTCTTTTGGAAATTTAATAATATATTATATTCATAAACTATAAGACAATGTCATTTTACTTAAAAACTGCATTTTTTTTTAATTTAATGCCGTAAGAGGGTTATTTTATAATATAATGTTATTAAACAACACCTGTTATAATTTACAACACCTGCAAATTACTGTCTTGAAAAATAAATAAAAGTATATAATAAAGTGATCGCAGTTTTCATTAAATATTTCTATTTATTAAAATTTGTGTAGAAGTATTATAAGAAGTTTTTTATTTTGAGGTTAAATTTTTTAACAATTTTCTATTATAAATACATCATTGCCAAATCAATAGGTACTGTCTTAGCTTCACGTCGAATTAATATTTAGTATTTTATGTATTCTTCATATATTTCCTGACTTCATACACCAGCCATAACAGTAAATTTAGGTGATCAATTAGTAATTACTAGTGGTGGGACTATTCGAATAACGAATATTCGAATATTTTATCATTTTCTTTGCTGGATTAATTAGATTAAAAAAAATAATTAAGAGACTACTAAGGTGTCCTTCATCTATTTTTAATAATTTTTCAACAAAATAAATATAATTATAACGAATTATTCTTTTGACAAAATAAATATTATTACTTATTACAACAAATAAGATTTTAACAATTTATATAGATATATAATTACAGTTTGGTATTTCTAACTAAAATGATGTAGTAGGCGCAGCCATATTATAGTAGATCAAACAAGAATATTTCCAAACATTTACTATAACCAAATTACTTTTTTCCGTGTAAAAAAACATAACTAAAAAACCTCTTAGAAGTTCTTTTTAGTTTTTTCATGCGAAAATTCGAATATTCGAATTATTTGATTACTATTCGAATTATTCGAGTACTCGAATTATTTTCATACGAATAGTATTATTCGATTATTCGAATAATTTGAATAATAGAAAAATTCGATTCAAGGTCTCAGCTCTAATAATTACACATTCTTCTATTGAACATAAAAAAAAAATAAAAAATAGGGTAAACGTTATGTTAAAAAATTCCATGAATACAACTCATTCTTCTTAGTTCTTATACTTATAAATAATTAAAAGATAAATCGATCGTTTAAATGGGTTTTTTTAAATTATCATTGCGCGAACCGATATGATCGGTTAACGCCACAATGCTTATTTCGACATCATTCAAGTCATCTCATAATAATTTCACCACTGGCAATTTGCTATAGAGTTACCTTACCTGATTTAAGTTTGAACTACGTGGTTAGAATCAAAAGCATATTACGTATATAATAACTAATACTATGAATATAGCCATAATATGGTGTTTAGTTTTTAATAAATACAAATACAGGACATTATGACTCGATGACCTTTTTTTTGGCTCATAAGCCTATTTGCCACCTCTCATTAGCTAATTCTAGCTAAAAAACAATTTAAAGAGACATTTTTTAGAGGGACTAAGTTTTTAAAATTACTTATCTCGCTAATGGAATAATAATACTTCAGGCAATTAAATTTTATAATATTTTGGACTTATTTGTTGAATCCGAATACGGGCTCGAATTTTCTCTTGCGCACCTATTATTTAAAAAATCGAGTTTTTTTTTTTTAAGTGGAGTTTCTCTATTTGAAATGTATTTAATAAAATCATTCAAAAGTACAAAACAATGTTTTTTTACAACTTGGTAAGCGATTTAAAAAATAACAAGGCATGCTGGAGAAAATGTGTTCCCAAAAATAGGGTTAAATAAAAATAATACTAGATTCTTGAATTTTTTCTAGGGGGCCTTTAAGAAATTTTTTTTTTTGGGGGAGGGAGGGGCTAGAGCAGATGGAAATTTAGGAGGGAACCACCTATGACTTTGTAATGGATTTTAGAAATTTGGAATATTGGATCTACATTTTTTAACTTGCAGAGAAGCTAGGAGGGAAGTTCTCCCTCTTGCCCCTCGCTGTGGGCGCCCTTGTTGGGAGGGTCTATTTGCGTGACTGTATGTACGATAGGAGTCCGTCGTCGTCACCACCGTATGCATCACTATTTTTACAGCGTGCTGTGGCCTGTGTGTGTATGTATTATAATATGCCACCGAGGAGGCCTGATCGTATACTTTAGTATATGTTACACGGTGTATATATGTATACATAATATATATAATAATACATACGGTATACCTACTGTGTGTATAAACCGATGATCAAACGTTTACCGTGAATCAGCCAGCGCACCGCCGCGCGATGAGTCATAATATGCCCACACCGATTCCTTTACCCCCCGTCTCGCGCCGCGTGTGAGTTGTACACATCTTGCCGCACACTGGCAGTTGACACGGCCAGTAGAACCATCAGCCACCGCCGTGAGCTACCGCAACCGCATCAGTACACGTTCACACAACAGCTCGCGACATTGCTACGTTGCGCGTGCGAGGCGCGCCTTTCTAAACGCAACATTATTGCTTAAGCAACAACAGTATAATAGTATTTTTTTTTATTTACATTACACACACACACCATAGGCGTACTTTTTTATTATCACTAACAGTGCTCAGTACCTAACCAATACATAATATATTTTATATTGTAACTTACCCGTACATTGAAGTGCTTACGATTACATTATTATTTTTGCCGTACTTGGAAACAGCATATTTTTTGGAGTTTTTTCGAATAAAACCATAACATCGAAAGTGCCATAAACACAAACGTCCGCTACACAATCTCTGATCACAAAAATCTGCAAAACGTTATCGTCTCAATATTGATATTGTACGAATATTGTTGCAATATGTCTAAGGTCTCAAACTACATAAACGCGTTGAATGGCAACGTGAGTCTCACCGCCGACGAAGAGCTCAAGGAACACTTTTCCAAGGTAACGTTTTTTTCCTTCTTATTTTTCTTACCTTTATATATATGTATAAATTTGTTTATTTAACTAAACAATGCGACGTAGGTAATCTTGATTTATTCCGTCTCCCGTGCTGTACCTGTCTGCCTGCCTGTGTAGGTGGATTTCGGCAATAGAATTATTATTAATATATATATATATATATATATATTATAATATACAGGCGAGCCGTCCCGATATGTTCAAATGATAAATCGATGATAATCGGTGCGTCAAAAAAAATGTATTATAATAATAATTAAACTACATAATAATATCGTGTTTTGACGGCCACTGCAGAATTATTATTGGACATTATCGCGTTGTTTACCTAAAATAAAAAATAACAAAACCCGTTCCTACACCGTTAAATTGTTATTATAGTCTACAATGGACAGAACACCATTTTACCGTGTACAACTTAATATCATTACTGAATTGTTAACTGATGCGGTAAACGATTTGGCTCATTTCTTGTTTATATTATTTTTTTATTATTTTACTTGATGACTGAATAAGGCAATGAAGAGTGATGAACTTTTGAAACGCTACACAATTCACTTTTCTATCATTTTCTAAAGGATATCGTTGTTATTCGGAAGTGATAAAAACACGCATTGTAGATAATAATGAATTATATATACATACGTCATACACTATAACTGTTGATAACAAGTGAAAACACCAAATGATATTCTGATCGGCGTTTGAACCATGAAATACTTTTTGGTTTTCATAATGAATAATGATGATACGAGATCATATTATTATTATTATTATTAATTGTATCCATTGAATTATTTAACGTGGTGATACGTTATGGAAATTATTCGATATCAAATGACAAACTATATGAAAGAAATCTGATTTTATTTTTAATCAAAAATGTTTGTAGTAACACATACAAACTAACAAGTCATTATCCTTCAATTAAAAAAAATAATCAGCTAGGCCATTTTACGAAATAATTGATATTAATAATAAAATTATTTTATCAATATTTCAATTGTTCCAACGCCATATTTTACACTGATTTTGCTATTGTTATATTGTATGCTGGATTTTTTTTCACACTTTCTTTTAGTTAACCTAACAACAAGATTAATTTAAAAAATTCTTTTTTTTTTACTTGCTATTTATAAATAAATAATAAATGATTAATTCAAATCTTTTAGACATTTCTTGAGGTCAGGCCAAGCCACAATTCTCGCTCTAGACAATACTTAAGTTTACATTCCTCTCGGAGAAAAACATTTTTTTACCTATCTGGGTTAATAGAATGCCTGCTGAAATAGGGGTGCAATTATTTCTCCTAAAAAAAAAGTAAAGTGCTTAGTCAGCTCATGATGAAAATATAATAAAAAAAACATTTTATGAATAAATACCAATTCCTTCTATAAAAAAGTTATTACCTACTATTTAGGTAAACAATTTTTTTTATAAAATACAAAAAAAAGGTTTAGCCCTCTTATTAAAAATGTTAATTTTTTGTTTTAACATTGATATACTCACCTAAAGTATAAGCCATGTCCCCTTTGGTGAAGCCTTGGTATGTTATGTTCTTATGTTGTGGAAGGTTTTATTAAGTTCATTATACCAATAGTCAATAGACAAATATCTGTAGGTGTACTTATGTTATTTGTATAATAAAATTGAAAAAACCTATTAATTTTGTTTTGTAGTTTGACAAAAATCATGACGGATCAATAGATTTGTCAGAACTGCAAGAGGCTTTAGAACTTTGTGGTTTTAAACTACCCGCATGGAAGGTTCGAAAAATGATTGAAGATTATGGCAATAAAAATCAGCAAACTAAAGGAAAACTCTCGTTTTCTGAATTTAAAAAGGTTTGTTGTCGCTGGAAATTGTATTATTTACTCAGACGACTAAAAGTATACTTATCATTTTCTTTTTAATTACAGCTTTGTTCAGATCTTAAGGCTGGAGAAGTTGCTAGTTCATTTAAGCAAGTTGTGTCGAAAAAAGAAAACTTGGAAACATTAGGTGGTATGTCCGACGCCTCAAGTGAAGGAACAACACATTCGGTACGTTTAGAAGAACAACTTGCATTCTCCGATTGGATCAATAGCAATTTAAGACAAGACATTGACTTAAAGCACTTGCTTCCTATTGAAAGTGAAGGCAAAAATCTCTACGATAAAGTCAAAGACGGAATATTACTTTGGTGTGTAGTTTTTTTTTTATAATAAAATTAATATTTATATATTGTGTGAAAATATTAAAAAATCAGAAATTAAAACAAAAAACTATTAGTGTATGTAAGTAGGAATGGTTTCCATTAGTTTTGAAATATTTCAGTATTTGTTAAAATGTTAAAATTTATTTATTTAAATCTAAGATTTAAGAAATCATTTTAAAGCTTTAAAATTTGAATAATTTTAGTTTTAATTTAATCAAAACTTATCAAACTGTTTGAACAGGTGCACAATTTTGCTTAAACAATTGGGGGTGCTTAAGCACTGAATATGTATATTACAAATTTCCATCTCTTTACTATTTTTGTTGGTAACACACACAGCTTTGAAAGTATAAATTTCATAACTTGGGGCGCTAGGCACACCCAAACTCCCTCCAAATTGCGCCTATGGCTTGAACTGTTTTGTTTTAATAGTTAGTTGATAATTTTTTTTTATTTTTATAAAATCTACAATAACATAACTAATATTATAATACTAGTTTCCATACACACTTTATTTTTAAAATAATCAAAATTATTTTCACAGATGTATTTTTAAACAAATTAAACATTTTACAATTAATATTGACCTAACGTATTTATGTTTACAGTAAAATTATCAATCATTCCTGTCCCGATACAATTGATGAACGAGCAATCAACAAGGAAACTAAAAAAAGCAATCTAACGGTGTATAAAAAATTGGAAAACTTGACTTTGGCCTTAGTATCCAGTCAAGCTATCGGATGTAATATCGTCAACATTGATGCACATGATCTCGCCAAAGGAAAACCACATTTAGTTCTTGGTCTGTTATGGCAAATCATTCGAGTAAGTAAATTTTCATATGTGTTTTAAATTAAACGCTTAAATGAAATTTGTCTTATAGATAGGGTTGTTTAATCAAATTACCCTTGAAAACTGTCCTGGACTTGCTACGTTATTACAAGATGGCGAAAGAATTGAAGAACTTATTAAGCTATCACCCGAAGCAATACTGTTACGATGGGTGAATTATCACTTGAATCGTGCTGGCGTTTCCAGGTATGCTTTTATAATTTAGGTTTTTTTTATTATTATATAATATGTGATGCAGAAAGCTAAAAACAACCTCTTGTTCAAAATTTAGTTTGAGCTATTTTCTGAATCTTAATTGATTTTTGACCTGTTTAAGGCTGATTCGTCTTTTTTGCTATAAAGTGACTAAGTTATTGCACTTTAAAGTTACAAATAGGAATTTAGGAATGTTTTGGCATTTTTCTCAAAATTAACTTTGACGACAAAGAGTTCCTTTTCACTCTCCGTATTACATATTTTTAGTTGCAATTAAATCTTATGGTTTTAATAATTTTTTTATTTCACAGGCAATGTCATAATTTCCAAAATGATATAACCGACTCGGAAATTTACACTTATCTTATGAAACAAATAGCTCCACAAGGCTCTGATGTAGATATGACTGCGTTAATGGTAATATATTATACTATTAATTATATAAGGATTAATGATGTATTTTTAAAAATCATGTTAGGTTATTATTTAAAATTTTTATTTATAGGAACCCGACGTAAACCAAAGAGCGGAAATTATGCTACAACAAGCGGCCAAGTTGGGATGTCGTAGTTTTGTAACTGCTTCGGACGTCGTCAATGGCGTTTACAAGTTGAATTTGGCTTTTGTAGCCAACTTGTTTAACAATCATCCTGGCTTGGACAAACCTGAAGGAGAAATTGAAGGGCTGGAAAACATTGAGGAGACAAGAGAAGAAAAAAGTATGGAAATCATAATACAGCTAAAAATATTAGTATTAGTATATTGTCTGAATCACCTAATGTTTGTTATTTAATTTAGCGTATAGAAATTGGATGAACTCAATGGGTGTAGCACCGCACGTGAATTGGTTGTACTCAGATTTAGCTGATGGTCTTGTCATATTCCAGTTGTACGACATCATTAAACCGGGAATTGTCAATTGGTCCAAAGTACATAGGTAAGTGCTAGAGAGAAGACTATTTAAAACATAAAGTCTTAAGCCTTATACCAACAAGTATAAGTTTTAAAAAATTTAATAAATATATAATTTTTAATTCTTAGGAAGTTCTCAAAACTACGAATGTTTATGGAAAAATTAGAAAACTGCAATTATGCCGTTGAATTGGGTCGCCAATTAGGTTTTTCATTGGTGGGTATTGCCGGGCAAGACTTAAATGACGGAAACGCAACACTAACACTTGGTAAGTGAATGTTAATTATTTCTATATCAAACCTGGCATTTTATATATAACAACAAAAACTTATTTGGAAATAATGAGTTATTTGAAAATTTATTATTCAAGTCATTTTTTATTTAAAATAATAATTATTTGAATACTTGTTCAAATAAAAATAAAATTGCTTTATTATTTGAGATTTTATTTAGATAAACATTATTTAAATAATGCTCAGGTTTGTTCTATATTTAAATAATAATATTTAAATAGATTTTTGTTAATTTAGTGCATTTATTTAGCACACTTAATAATTACATAAAAGGCGTTTTTTTTATTCTGAGAAATGTGTAGATAAGATTGTATATTATATTATGCTCTAAATCTGCAACAGTTCAGTAGTTACCACAATCATTGTGTTTTTATCAGCCATGCATTTTTGTGACACAGACCACAACACAAGTCTTAAAGTAAAATAAAGGTCAATTTTAATTTGACACAATTAGAGTTTATCGTACTGTTCAAATAAATATTACAAATTATCATTATACATTATAGTATCGTTTTATACAGCTTACACGAAATTATACAGTTATTTACTTTTATTGTTCTATGTTTTCTCTCTTACAATTATACATACAAATATAAAGACGTTCGTGTATGGTGATGGTTTATTCTCAAATAGCTGTTAATCTACACGTTATTGCAGATATCTGATTCACTCTCACATTTTTAGCAATCTAGAATTTTCTACAGTCAAAGTGTGACTTTCCCCCTTTTTGGGGGGTTTTCCTTATTTTATTTCGATTTTTGAAGTTAGTTTTAGGATTTGAGGTCTAAGATATATATATATATATATATATATTATAGTCCCATTCTATATTTACTTTGAGTCTAAATCTTAGACCTCAAATCCTAAAACTAACTTCAAAAATCGAAATAAAATAAATCGAATATTCGTTTACCAACGAATATTTATAATATTATGTCCAAAGAATATTCTAATTATGGAACTAGCTTCATCCAAGTCGAAAAATATGTAAACTTGTGTAGGGAAGAGGTGATTTCTTTTAATTTCTGGCCCAATAAAGTAGCTTTCAGGTACGATTTCTGATCCATTGAATTTCCAAATGAAGAAATCATCAGTCCAGCAATTTAAAAGGTATCGGATGTCTATACAAAAATAACAATTTTAACTAATCATTGTTAAAACAATACTTTTTCAGTATCGGTTGAAGCGAATATAATAACAACTCATAGACGTTATAATATAAGTTATATCACAGTTACAAAAAACAATATAATGTACTTACTCTGATCGTTACTTGGTTTTAGCTTTGATTTGGCAACTGATGCGGGCATACACGCTTTCGGTACTTACTCAACTGGCTAACACTGGAAGTCCGATTGTCGAAAAAGAAATTGTGACGTGGGTCAATAACAAGTTGTCAGGTGCCAACAAACAAACAACGCTAAAAGGATTCCAAGACCAAGGTTTGTCTGACGGTCGAATTGTTATCGACTTGATCGACTCCATAAAGCCGGGCACGATTAACTACGATGTAGTTAAAGACGGCGGTGAACAAGAGGTAACGTTTTTTTTCTTAATATTGTACGGGGACAGAAGGGGGATAACTTAAAGGAAATGGTTCCCAACTCATTATTATCGTTTGGTTTTTGTTAGGATAAATTGGCAAACGCCAAGTACGCCATTTCGATGGCCAGGAAAACTGGTGCGAGAGTATATGCTTTACCAGAAGATATAACGGAAGTAAAGCCGAAAATGGTGATGACACTTTTTGCCTGTCTTATGGCTATTGACTATGTGCCTTATATGGGCGTGAAATCAGAGTCGTAAACAAATGAATTTTCTACAACGCATACAATAAGGAATAGTTTCTGTTCATAATTTATTGGCATTTTATTTTTGTAACACATCATCGATTGACAGATTTTTTATTATTATTATTATTAATAATATTTGTACAAACTATTATTTTTGTTTTAAACGAATTTTTTTTTTTATAAAATATTTTGAAATTCAGCTGCATTTTGAGTTACGAACGTGTTGGCTGTGGATAAATTTATTAAACTTGTGTACAATTTTTTTATTTTTATTATTATATTGTTTATTGATTTTTTTTTTTTTGACATTTTATTATTATTTTTTATTTATATACATAATAATCTTAGCGTTTTCTTTCATGGTAGATTTCCCAAGAGTAAATGTCTATTGTTACCAAACTATGTATTTATTAAATACGATGTGACCTAAATATTTCGAAAACCTTCGTAATAATTAAGAGCGTAGCCAGAAGCTATGCTCGTAACCAGAAGGCCTAGACTTGGTACCTATATCAAAATATCTAATAGTTAATTGAATTACATAATAGATGAATAATACTTACTGTTTTCTTTATTTTATTTTTAGTATATTATAATGATGTCTTCGAAAATGTTTATACTTTTACTATTATTTTTATAATTGAATTACTATTATTTATTATTATTATTGTAATCATTATTTATATTTATTATAATTAATTAATTAATTACCAATTATTACCAATATCTTTCAGGTCCTTTAATACTAACAAAAAATTATTTGTGTACTTGAGGTTGTAAGTTTAATTTAAATGAATAAAATAAATATATTAACATTTTGTACTATGATCAAAGTAATATAATATCTACTTATGAATTAATACAAAGTCAAAGAAATAGTCTCTTTATTTTCATCATACTTTTATAATTTTACACTTAACTCCTTCCTCGCAATTTATTGATACTTTAAACTATCATTTTCATTCGGCTATACTAATTTATTAATCTAACGAGTTTAGAAACTACATTATTATGAAATAAGTTAGGCACCAATAACATGATATGTTAAAAAAGCATTATTTCCTAAAAGCAATTTTAGTAGCCTTTATATTTTCTGGTGGACATTTTTCAAGTAATTCTTACACTTTTTTTTTGTTAATTCACAAGGATTACGTTGTTATACTCGATATACGATTATGTAAACGATTATGTACTCAGCTGCCAAGTCATATAAATTGTACTGTTGTCAATAACAATACAAATCGGGTATATCCAAACAATGCTACACATTTTACGCAATTAGCTTTAATGACACTACAAACACAAAGGTTAAATGCTTATGAGGTGTCTAATAGCCCATTATGATTAATGACAACAGGAATTTTAACAAAACTAAGTTATAATCGAAAAATAATCGCATATCTAATAATTATTTGAAAATCTTAGACAGTTAACAATGTTGTTTAATAGCATCAATATGAAATTAGAATAACTTGTGAAAAATTAAATTTTATAATATCATTTAATGCTCATTCGGGTAACGTTGGTCGCAATTTTTTTTTTTTTTTTTTGATTAGTTAAAATCGCGGACTGAGCATAAAGAAAAAGGGTAGAAACAAATTATTTTCAAAGGCAGAAAAAATGAAATTGGTTTAGAGTTGTATCGTTGACTCTTAAACTCGGCAGAGATGATGACATTTATCTTTATTTCCTTTTTTTAGTGGCTGCTTTTAAACTCAAATGCTGAAAATTACTTTCACTAGTGTGTACATACACATATTATAGTCGACCTTGTTTTATCATCGAATAATACCCACAACAATTAACAAAATTACGACGTTATTTAATTAGAATATACAAGAAATTTTAAATAAGAAAAAACAACGTGAACAATAAAAAACATTTTTTTTAAGTTTAAAACTTGTTTGAAACGTTTGTTCAAATTGAAAAATGCTTAGGTACCCTTATTTTTAAATGTATCCAAAACAGTTACTGAACTATTTTTACAAATTTTCTAAATAAAAAACTTGTTTTTTTTTTGCAACTATAGTTTAAAATAAATATTCAAATTGAAATAACTTAAACAATAATACTGCGCAAACTAATATAAATTTTTTATTTTACTAAATCCAAATTTGGCCTCAAAATTTCAAATATCAAAGTTGTAAGCAATCATTTCATGAGATTTAAAGGCTAAAGCTAAAAATGTAGAAGTACGATATTTGTTTATGTTTTGTTATGTAATAAATGAGTAAATAAATCGATTGTTGTATTGCTTATTTTTTGTTAACATAGCTAGTAGCTACGCATTTCTCGTGACGCAAAAATTGTCTCAATTGACCCCAAAAATATTATCTTGTTAAAGAATTATAACTTTCCAATTTTCATTTAAAAAACAACTACGAATTCAATATTAATAATTATGAGACTAGTTTTGACTTTAGTGAATAAAATATAATAAGAAACACCATTTTAAAAATTCTTAGAAAACTATTCAAACGTTCCGTTTCTGAAAATACCAAGAATAAAGACGATGTTTCTATACTTTATAAAAAAATAAATTAAAAAAACATAGCTTGTTAGCTGTTAGAAAAAATAGATGCTTTTGGTTCTTGCTCTAAAAAATGTCAATTTTTCTAGTCTTAAGATTACTAAAAAAATTAAATTAAATAAACAAAGGATTCGGTATTATTCGATCCAATTATATTCAATGTGACAATAAATGCACTTGATAGGTTTTTAAAAAACAATTTGAAAAGTTCAAGTTTCATAAAGCTAATAAAACTCACTTTTGACAGCACAACACAGTTTTACATGACTGTAAGTAATATCTACTGGTCGGTATACGGTGTATCCATAGCTACTGTGTACAGCCTATGTGTGTTCGTACTTGTATTATTAGTTTTAATAGCGAACACACTAGATGCATTCTATCCATCATCAATAGTAAAACTTAATTGAAATATTTGACAAACCCATCCAAATAGAATGACAGACGCTAATACGCCCACTACAGATGAAAAAATAAGCGAAGATTTTTTATACTTTTTAGGTTTTTTCAAAGAAGCGTACGACTCGTTGAAGAAAGACGGCGAAAAAGAAATATGTAAGGTAACGGTTATAAGTGTTATCTTCACACGTTTATCTGTCCTGTCACGAGGCCGAGAGACGAACAGACCGCAACGAAGGGTTTTTTTGGGAGGGGATAATTATTCTAACTTTAAAACTGTCGTTACTCTAATTTAATAATTTTTCCTACTCAGAAATGGTTAGACAAACTGGTAGTCGGTCCGCACAAGACTACGTCGGAAAGACAGATACGCAACATATATCTGTCACAGTTGATATTGAGCATAAATGAAAGGAAGCTCAGACCACCGTTCAACGTGCCTCCCGAACAAGGGCCACTGTCGTTGGACGGCGTTTTCCAAGACATAATGGCCAAACCGGAAACGGCGATAAAACAAGAGAACGAAGTAATACTTAGAGACTGTTCCAAAGATAAAAACACGGGCCGGAAATGGGGCCGGATGGGATGTCAGACACTACAAAAAAACCCATCCTCACTTGTATATGCTAGATAATATACTGTTTCGCCCTTAGATGAACAAGGCCAAAGAACAATGGGCGGAATTCGTGCGGGACAGAGAGTTGGAGATGATCGATCTGAGTCACTTATCCAAGGACGGGCGCACTTTCGTGGCGTGCAAGACTCTGCCTAAAAACGCGGGTGTCTTTACTTATGTGGCCGTATCAATGGGCGGAGATGCGGATTGTGGATGGGTCAACACGCAAGGCAGGCCTATGTAAGAGATTGTCCACGATAAACTTAAGACGATGCCTTTAAATCATCCAAGCGGTTAAAAAATCACACAACACAAAATTGAAAATTTACTTGCGAAGTAATATGAATTCATCGAAAGTCCTTGAAGTCCTAAAAATGTTTTTGTCACCATTTTACACTGTGTGTAACACATCAATCTTAATTTTTCTCTGCAATTTTCTTAACTAACGTAATCGTCTATCTTAGACCCGAGGTCGAGACCTTCACTTAAAAATCATACCTACTGTCGCTATTGCCTATCACTGTTTTTTTGTATTATCTCTTTATTACACCACTTCGACCAGGCACGTCTAAAATACTTCATAATAATATGTATTCAGTAGTCATCATACTACTTAACATTTGTTTTATTCAGAGCCGCGCCTGAAATCAGGATGTCCGACATGAAGGTGGAGACCGCCAAAGAAACAGAAAACAATTGTTTTTCACAGAATAACAACGTGCAGAAAATTACAGCCGAAGTCAGGTCGGTGTTGGCCAAGCGAAAGCCGCCGGAAGCCCGGATGTTTACCTACCAGTTCTACAAGAGCATGTACGACAGCATAGAGCAGGAAATGCTCAGCGAACAAGACCCCAATAGCTCGGCCTGTCACGACCCGTACATCGAAAAGATGCTTGAAATGCTCACGGTCAGTACTTGTAGGGCAAACGAGTATTTTGTACTTAGTACAGCTCAACAATCCTTTGTTTGGCAATAATAATACTAATAGCGATTACGAAAATATTGCAATATGTTCACAACTGTACAAGCAAGTCCAAAGTTATAAAAACGAAAATTACTTAGGTCCGAAAGTTACTTCTTAGTGTGGAGGTTGATGAATTGAGAAAAATTAGTGTTATTTAAGAGCACGCAGTAAGATTCATATAAGTATCATAAGACGTTTTGGAATGGAAGGCACAAGTTAGAGACCATTAGGATGAATGAATGAGGTGAATATTAAGGCCAAAGAATTATTAAGACAACTAGGAATAGCATATTTTATCGAAGTGACGTTGGACATAGGAAAGTGGAGGGTAGTTTGTTTTGCAGCACTACGTCTATAAAGCCTCTACAAGCATGAAGAAAAAACAGTTGAATGAGGATCTTAAAAGGAGGAAATGCGACAGAGGCAGTGACGGTATTTTAAAGTCCAGATTACACTGACCCTGTTCAATCGTGTATTTATTGTTAACCAAAATGTATACAATATACAAAACGATGAACTTAAAAGGAATCTCTCTATGGTTTTTGCTTTTTTATTATATTATGTAAAATGTATCACCGTAAGTCGAACAAAAAGACATACAAAAGCAACTCGACTAATCTGACGACATTTGTATTGTTAATCGTTTTAGTCCGACATTCAAGCATGTGGCAAAGCCAGTCCGCAAATGTTCAATCGCATGAAAATGCTTTCAATGTTGAAAAAACGAGTTAAGGCCATGCTGCAAAACGTAAGAATTCATGCAATGCGCAACATTTGACTCGATGCGATCAATTCAATAATAAAATTAATCACATAACGTTAAATTAGATTGATAGCTTGCGAAACAACAAGTATATTTTTCAATATAGTTATAAAGTGTACTACACCTATGACAAATGGTAACCATTACGTTCTGCTCGTTCGAAATCATAGTAAATACAGGTATTTCATACCTACCTATTTTGGCCTTCCCAAGCTCTCATCACGCAAAGCCACTTATAGAGCACACACCAATTTTTTTTTTTTATGAACGGATCGCTACAAGTCTATCAAGAGACTACCATCAATCGTTAGACAAACGATTTCAATATAAATTGTACTTTTTAGATAGAGAAACGCAACAGCAATTTGTCTTCAATCGAAGCGTCCTCGTCCAGTCCCACCATGGCTCTCACCAATCCGGCATCGAGCTGCTCGAACGCCATGTCAGAAATGATGTGGCAGGAAGCCCTGCTGGAGAAACCAACCAGCAAGGTGGCCGAAGCGCTGGCCAAGACATATCCAGTGTGTTTGGTCAAAACGTAATCTGATCGATGGCTTGGTCACGAGTGACGGTAGTTGGTAATTGTTTTTAAATCGTTCGTTGCAGTTTATTGGCGCTTTTGGCACGTGAACGCAGGAAGATCATCAACCGCATGAAGGAAAGACAGGAAAAGCTAATAGTGGCTATGAAAAGGGATTTACAAGACGAGATCAGACGCGGCATAGATGCGTACAAGGTATGCAATGTTTGATTTAGTTTGTCACAACACAACACGGTGATCATTTCAGGTGGCTAGAATGGAATGGGTGAACGTCATGAGAATTGTGCTGCATTACAACAAGCTGAAGGGCGCGTTGACGGACAAAGAGCTGGGCGATTCGTCGGATAAAAAAGGCGAGTACTTGCAGGAGACGATCCGTAAGGAAATCGAAAACACTAAGAAGCGTTTGGACGTGGCCAACCAGAAGAACGACACGCTGCAGGAGGACATTTGTGAACTGAACAAAACCTTGCACGAACTCACGGAGAAGGTGGAAGTTGAAGAACAACAAGCCATCGATCAGCTTCGTGACCTCAAGAACGAGATATGCAGCGAGAAAAGTTCCATTGTACAGAGAACTCAGACCATCGAGGAGCTAGAGAGAATGCTGAAGGAAATACAAAAATAACCATCCTAATGAGTGGACAGACATCAAATAATACTTACACTACACTTCATACACACTACACACTAATTTCAAAAATATTACCATCTACCATTAAATCCAAGACGTTGGACGAGCTCACTTATTACTAAAAAAATTGAATTAATCTTTGTAAAACGTATAATTACAAATAATTATTTGTCTATTACTTTTTAATGAGATAACTTTTTGATGAATTCTCAGTGTACTTTCTAACATTTATGTTTAAGGGTCTTGAGATAAACTGAAGAGGATCGATTGCTCGATATAAACTTGATACGTAAGCGATAGTCAATCATCATAGAAACTTTAATAGCAAATAACAATTACAATTTTCCTTGAAAATGCATATTTTTTTTATGAAAAATGAATGTGTTCAACAAATTAAGCAAAGAAAAATATACAAAAATACATAAACGTATTAATGATACATATATATCATAACAAAAGCAATATTATTTTTTTTTTCTTATAAATCTACATAGCTTAATACATAGATAAGAAAATAATGTTTGAGAGTATAATTAACATGCATTTTTTAATTTATATTACATTAGGGTTAACTATTTTTGTCACTATCATCAAATTCGAATAGAAATTCAGACATTTCAGCCTGTTGCACCAAGAATGGTGTCAAAGATAAAACTTGATACTTAGGTTCGATTTGGACAAATCTATATCTGAACAAACACTCCAACATCCAGTCCCAGTATAAGGTCACGACTTTCTTGTTAAAAATCCAATCTACAATAAAATAATTAATAATTATTAAGTAAATAAACATAATACGTATGCCATTTTTAAACCTTCCATATAATTCAATTAAGAAAAACATCACACAAATGTATAGATTTTGAAAGTCTAGGATTTTCAAAACAGAAAATAGTATTAAAAATAATTACGAATGATTTGTTTGACTTTGTCAAACTACTACAAATCATAAGACAAATTTTTAACTATCTCCTAAGAAAGGTACTTTTTTTTTTTTTTGGTTTTCCTGGTAAATTTAATAATATCTCTCTATCAATTAGCTAACGACAGTCAAAAACCATTACAAGAAATCGAACCCTTCCTCCGATCTACACTAAAGTTAGATTCAAACTAGACCATCTGCAACCACACCATCTTATTTTTTTTTTTTTAACTATTTTAATAATTTCTTACCTATCATTGTATCTTGAGTTATCGGCATTCCTATTTCTTTACCATCAATAAAAACAATATCGGCCAAGACAACTCGTATGCTGTATGTATCGTTAATTTTATCAATACTATCAGTCAAAACAAAACCAGCCTTTTTGATCCAGCTCTGCATAAAACACAAGGGTGTATAAGGCAGTGTTCAAATATTAGGACTTAATTATAAAAAACTAAAAACAGTCTTACTAAAATATCGGTAAAATCTTCATTAGCTTTCATAGAACTATGTACATAAACAATACAATTGCTTGCCCAAGCCATTGGTGAATCGATAATACCTCGACCAACACGCCATGTTATCATCGGAGACGGTTCACCAGACATATCAAGAGGCATGTAATTTAACTAGAATAGAAAAGTTTGGTTTAATGAAATAAATTACAATTTGAACAATATGTTATTACCTCCGATAACACAAATTGTGACTTGATACAATCTTCAACCCATTTAAGAGTTATAATAGTACGGTTAGACAATAAAGCATTAATACATTTCTTTGTACGAGGACATGTTCCATCATTGTTGGGTTTTACTACTACGTGGGTTACATTATCCACCCAAGAAGGATTTATAACTACATTGAACATAGTCATAAATATTTTTAAAGAATCCAGTTCTTCATCGGTATCTAAATTACTGTAGGTTATGATCATTGATTTATTTTTACATTTTTTGTTAAAACTAATGCTTGGAAAACTTTCTGGTTTACTAAAAAATAACATAAAATTTGTATATATTAAGATAAAGTTAACATCTAATTAGATTTCTTAGTAAAGAATATGTACATTTCTGTAGGCTTTTCTGGAGTTCCTTCCACAACATCCTTTTCTAAAGCATTTTCATCCCTTATGTTTTCTTTTAAATAACTTATTCCATTACATTCAGCAGGTGGCTTTTTACCATTAATAATATTAGGGACAATAGTTTTTATATTTTCGGACACTGATATTTTAGATATACTGTTTTTTATAATTTCACAATTTTCATTTCTTTCCTATAATACAATTATAGTGTAATATTTCACCACTTAAAAAATGGAATCATATTAATACAAATTACCATTTTGTCATCATCTATAAAATTTAAACACTTGGGTTTAAACTTTTTAGGCTCCTCTTCAAATTCGAATTCAGGCGATAACAACAAATGCCCATGATTTTCCACATTATTCTGATTTTTACATTCATTTTCTTTATTGTCCATTTTATCTAGTTCATTTGTTCTAATATTGGAAATAAAGAGTAGTCATAAATTATTACTCAGTAAATACATAAAATAAAAATAAAAATTTACAAAAAAATACATTAAATTTGTCATATTATTTTCAGCTGGGCACATAATTGCGGGTTCAAGCAAATCTCCACTAGTACTTGAATTTCTGTCAAATAAATAAATTATTGTTATTTTAAATAAATTATTTTATAATATCTAGTTACAAATGAAACCTATTAACTTAAAATCCATATCATCTAATATTCCACCCATTTCTTTTATTTCTTCGTCATTGTCATTATGAGTTTTGTCTGATTTTGATGTGTTTTTGCTTTCTGTAATTATTCCTTTTCTACAATAATAAATAATATATGTATATATATATATATATATATTTATATATTAGGGTGTTTGTTATTTAGTGTCTGGTGAAACTTTAAGTTCTACATAGGAAAACCCTGTTACGAATAATTTTAAAAACATCCTTGAATTTTTTCAGACAATTGTCTTAATCTAACCCCTAAATCCTCCTAGGGCACTTGAAATTTTCCATTTAAAATACAGTAGTTCTTAGTAAATTTTGGTTTTATTATCTCACAAGTGTTATGGCTTGAAAAAAAAAATCTTATTTAAAATATAATTTATCTTAAGTAAAAAATGCATTGATAATTTTAGCCGCTATTACATTTTTTAAAGATAAAAAATTATGAAAAATAGACAAGAATAACATTTTTATGGTTAAACCACACACTAAAAGGTTTTCCATCTTAAGAGCTTGAACAAAAAAGTTCCTTCAAATACCTGTATATTAGAAAAGGATTCGCATAGGTTCAGATTTTTTTGCCATAAAACATGCGCGATCATAAAAACCAAATTTACTAAAACTCCATGCATTTTAAATGGAAAAAGTCAAGTGATGTAGGAGGAATACAGGAGTTAAGATAAAAATCTAAAAAAATGTAAGGATTTTTTTTATAAATCATTTGTAACAGGTTTTTCCCAAAAAGAACTTAAAATTCCACTAAACTCAAAATAATGAAGGATCTAATACCTAATGTATATAAGTATTTAGTTTTTTTTATTAATTTATGAAGTTTTATATGATTATAAGTATTATATTATTAATTGTATTATAGTATTATATTATTTATTTTTAGCATAATATTATTAGTTAAATTATAAACATTTGAAAACTCACTCTAAAGACAATATTTTCCAGACAAATTCTTCCATTTGACAGTAAGCTATTTTCATATCTTCATTAGACGTAACATGTTCCTCTACATTGAACAGTTGTTGGCATGCCGGACAACAAATGGTTTCATTTTTTAAATCCAAACATTCTTCACAAATAATATCATGACACACACTTATAATATGCCAGTTTTTAGCTGATCGTTTACTAAAGACAATTGTATTCATATTATTATTAGGTATGCACAGTTTTTAATGAACACCAGTCTTTGACTATGATTGTAGTTACCACTTTTCACAAATCTGATCGGGCACCAAGAACTTGTGTTTTAACGACAAAAGATTGAACAAAACATCATTTTCTTTCAATGCCATATCTACAAGGTTTGGTGTTTCTTTAGCCCTGTAGATGAACAGTAAATTTAGTAACAATTACATAGTGTAGTTCACGAATACACGTCTTGCAGAAGATACCCGAGAATATTATTAGAAAGTCAACATCCAACCGTACATTGTGGTAAGCCAATCAGTAAAACTGCATTCGGAATTTAAATTGACAGCCAAGACCAAAGAAACAGTGAAGTACTTACAATTAACAGAAAGTAAGTCATTTTACGTTTTGCTAAATGCTGTCTACACTACTGATACGGGTAATGGTAAAGCGCGCCAAATGCTGATCGCTTTATCAAATATTGTTATCAATTTTTCCGTCTCAACTCTCATCATAATAATAGTGTATACCTATGTAGTATGTTATAAATATGTTATAAAAGCGTCAAAACCTCATTACATTATTACCTCATTACTTAATTTCATAGATTAAATCCAGATTTAATATAATCTGTGACAACTGACATTACTTTACATTTCATACATTAGATAAACCACGTCATGAACGTTTTTAGCAATCAATTTTTGGACGTAAACTTGTATAGTTGTATCTAATAGATTACATTTTGTCTATTCCGTATCTGTATTAACCATGTAATCTTGTCGTTCATTTACAGACATAATAGATTATTCTATTATGTTTATGCGTCAATGACATTATCATAAAGGTGACCGTATTTTATGTCAGTTAACTATCTAGTATCTATGGAAATTAACTAATTTATGAGTATTATTATTACACTTGAGTCTATTACTTAAGGTGAATCAGACCCCATTCAAATAGCTATTAATAAAAATAAGATATTATATTCACTGTCTGCTTTTTAAGGAAATTGGAAACCGCCAAATCGATACCTATTTATCAAGTGGCAAAATAAAGGTAATAATTGATTATAAAAAAAATAACATTATAATGAAAATGTTTTTCAAATACTTTTTGAATGTTGACTACCACAGTCCACACAGCAACCAGAAAATTGACAAAGCGTATTGTCAAAGCGCCATTTCCTTATTTTTTTTTTTATATAAAAAGAGTACACACTGCACACATCTCTTTTTGTTTACCTACTTTATAGCTTTATAGCTAACCTAATTAATAATTATTAAGAAAGTAAATGTTTTGTTTGTAATGTTTTTACAATAAAGTGTTTTTATTCATTTGTTTTTCGTGTCTGGAGGATCCACGATGTGTTCTAAACCAATGAACCGATTTCTTCAAGTAGCAACTCTAGTCTATAGATCAAAAATTGTACCTATTGTACCAATGTACTTCCAACGTTCTTTACTATTTTTCATCAATATTGTTGGTCTGTTATTAACTGTCCTGTTTTGTAGTGGTAATAGAATCCTTACATTGTATTAATGTCATACATAACTGAAAAAAAACAGATTATGAATGATAAGTAGAAAGAAAAATATTATTTAATAAAAACTAAGAAGTTAGGTGTAAAATAAGTCAAGATGTAAAATTTTTTTTTATGGTTTTTAAAATTTTAAAACAACTTTACCTACAAACAAAGTAGGGCAGTTTAATAAATAGCTAACGGCGCTTCCTCGTAAAACGCCGTCGCATTCGTTCACGGCGTCCAAAAGCTAAAGCGTTTGAATAAAAGAGACCAGGATTACATGGATCTAGTGGCGTACCTCGAACGAAGCAGCAACGACGAGCCGCTATGTTGAATTGTGGGCATAAGCTCCTGATACCGTTTCGCGTCATTCGCGTTCACTACTAAATTTAACTTTGATGCGGAACTTTTTTAAAAATAGTCTAATTAATTTCCTATTTGTATAAAATAATCTTTAATGATAGTACTACCGTGTACCGATAAATATTGACAAATCTAAAAAATTCCATAAACCCTTTCCTAGAAGGGATAGGCTTTTTTTCTTTATTTCAATTTTTCTAGCAGTTTTAGAAATTTAGATATGAATATTAGACATGATATTTTAATTTGTAGAAATGTTTAGAAATCATTTTACACTTATACATGACCTGCCGTACAATGTTTCTTATTATATATTTATGAATTATGGGGAGACATAATTAAATAAGGGAAAACAGGGGTCATTATTAGACATTAGTGGTCTACATTTAGCGAGTAATAGTAATATTATATTTATTATCAAAATAGGAAAATCCATCATGCTATATAATATATTATATTATATATATTATATATTATATTATATATTATATTATATATATTATATATTATATTATATTGATTATAAATGGACGATATAACAGGTAACAGGAGAATATAGAACCTAGTCGTTAAAAGCTCGACGGTATTAATAATACACTGTTTATACACTTTTCATAACTTGTCGCCGGTGGCCGGAATTCCAGTAGTACAATAATTATTTAATTATTGGTCTCATATCCATTTTTTTAGCAAAAAAAAACACCAAAATAAAGTTATCAAAAGGCTGGCAAGCGGCAGCCTTTTTTAGGCCTTTTTTTCAGGCTTTTTTAGATCCGATGCGGAGCTGAGAAAGTATTACAATGATGTGTTTTTGATTTTATTTTTGTGTATAGACCTATTCTGCGTTTTTACACTTTATTCATAAAACTGCGGCTAATAAAAATAAATAAAAATTATAATCGCTTACGACCGATCGATATAGAATGGAAATCGGCCTAGAGTTTTGTTTTTATGGATGAAATATTTCGAAATGAAAATTACACTAAATACAAGATGACGCAAAACGATACCAGGAGCTTATGCTCTCAATTTAACATTGCCAGCTCGTTGTTGGCGTGCGGCTAGGGAACGCCACGCACGACTCGATTATAAGTTCCTAATTAGATTTGCTTGTTTTCGACCTGTTAAATACGCTGTACGACGGAGAAATAAATAACAACAATTTTCGTAGCAAAATTGGTATTTCAAATACTGCGAAATCAATTACAACAACATACGAAATAATACAGTGTTTAAAAAAACAAAAGCAAATAATAGGTACAATATGTATAAAAAGACGACAATTGGTTTAGAGTGCTGTATAATTGTTGGAAAAAAGTATTTGAAACAAATTTTACAGTTTATACTCGTATATGAATATTACCCAATTAAGATGTTTTTTTATTCGTTATCAATCGTCATATTAATTACTTTTTCCATAATATACGTTCTTAAAAACAAGTCAATACAAAATTAAACTTACCTTTATAACGGTAATCAAATTATTGTCGTATGTAAAATAGAACTCGAAATATTTGAAATTCGACAAAACATTTTATGAAACAAATACTACAAAACTCATTTTCTCTTAAAATAATTGCAATTTTTTAGTTTTTTGGAGACACTATAGTTCAAATTATTTTTTTACATTAATAGACAATATTCAAATTTGTATGATTTTATTTTACAAAAAGTGCTCTATTTTGCTATCATGCTTTATTTTTCTAAAACCTATAGCTAACACACCTAACGAAATATATGTTCTGATTCAAAACAATATTCTAAATTACAACCAAACTATAAAATATTGATAAAAACATCAATAAACATTTTTATATCTATAATGCTCATTTCATACCTACAGAATTTAAACACATCCTTTGTTTTAGTACAATATGAATTAAATAATATTTAATTTTACAATGAAAACGCTAAAAAAATACAACTATTGTACCTACTTTCAAAGTAAAAATTCAGCCTATATTAAATATACCCTACACATTGCCACAGAAAAATCATTTTACAAACAGCGTGCTTTCCATAGAGTGTTTTTGTTTTAAGTTCTGTCGTTGTTAAATCCATCTCGGTTTGGATATGCTCGAATACTTAGTGTAGAATTTCCAAATCTTATTTTCGTTGTTTTCTCTCATAAAGCGAAACCATCTTAATGAACCTCCGAGTTTCTACATAAACAACATAATATATATATTATACATTTTTTTAAAGTTAGTGTTTATTCATTTAGTTACAAAAAAATGTATAGTTATTTTTGGAGTAGGTCAATTTTAGACTTACTTTAACGTCAGAACCGCTGTATACTTTTGTAAGAGTTGGTTTTTTAAATATAGGCAACTGTAGGTACTTGCTTTTCCAACCCAATGTACCCCAAATACTCTTCAATGGCCACGTTGTAGATGTTCGGTATCGATAGCCCGTTTTTTTTTTTTAATACTTTTCTTTTTATGGCCGGAAGTCCTTTTAAATCTTCGTTTAGCTAAGATTTTATCTTTGTTTATACTCTGTTTCGGCAATGTATATGTGTCTTTATTGATGTTGTTCATCCTAAAATATCTATTCAAAACTTGCAATCTGCTATTCAATTTATACAATTGTCTTTTGTATTTCGTTTCGAGGAAACGACGAGGTGCTCTTAGTTTTGTTAACACATTAAATTTAGAATTATCTATTTCATCAAGTTTCTCAGTTATTTCCCTTTCAACAATTTGTGTGTCTATAATAAAAAAACAATATTATATTTAAATTTTAAGTATGCTTGACATTTTTTACAGCTAAAATGTATACAGTACCATAATAACGTCGATCTCAACTTAAACCAATTTAAAACAACTGTGACATTTTGAACAATATTAAGATATACCTACCCCCCCCCCATCACCCGTGTTTATAACGGAGGGAAATATCTTTTTTCGTTGCCCTTGATTCCACAGTAATTTTTTTTGTGAGAACCATAATATGGTCGTTAGTCACACTTTTCAAAATAAATAATTTATATTTTATTGATTTTGTATTTTATAAATACTTTGGCCCCAATGAGAGGTTTTGTGTGGACCAAAAAAACATCCGTATTTTGATATAACATGTTAAAATTTAATATAATATACATTATCAGTTATCTATTTACTACAAACAATTTAAAAGTTAGCGGAATTACATCTCCTAAAGTGAACACTGTGACACCCTATTATACTCTTTATATTAATATCAGCTGTTATGTTGGTTACACTGCAGCACCATAAACACAAAACCTGGAAAATCTGAGATCATTAACAATGTCTACGGATACGATATAAGCGTAATGCGTAGTGCGTACTCTGTGATACACCTACTTGGATCTATAATAGGTACATACTTTTTTTGTAAGTGAGAAGTTAATTAATGATAATATTTTTGTTTTTTTCTAGTTGAGCTGTGAGATTTGAAAATTTAAGTTCAAACACAAATTAAATTTGTTTTCAGGGACACTTGTATCGCAGTTGAGTTAACCGAGTCGAAAAAGTATTATAATTAATCAATAAATCACAAGGAATAAGGACAATGGTGTGTGTTTTTTTACGCTATTGATGAAGTCAGATTTGGTCGGTCGGACTTACTTTGAAGTACAATTCAAGCCTACCTAAAGGTATACTGATATACTGGTACTGTTACCTGGTTAAATGGAACATTTTGGGTGTCCTGGAACACTGCATTTTAGTACCTAGTTTTTTGTGAAAAAATTTACAAACAAAAAAAAAAGGCATGAACTAAATGTTTATTACCTAACAACTTAAATATACAAAAATTAATCGTTCCAAGTCGGACGCTTATTCCATTTCACCCGGGTTGATGGTACATAATATATTATACGGTATAAATGCACTTTACTGGACACCCTTTTTTTTCAATTTTTTTTTTTTGTCATATTAAAGTGTTTTTTTACTGTGATTACGAATATGAAGTGAGAATTAGGCGGACTCCGTTAGTTCAAAAGTTATAGCTAGTTGAAATTGCATATTTTCCCTATGTAACTGTACGCGCCCTTCGTGGTCTTTTTTTTATGCCGGACACGTAACATGGCTTCTAGAGCCGTTTTAAACCGACATTACATTAAACCTGTGTTCTCCTAGACTGTAGCCTGCAAACCTAGGATATTTTTAGTTAGCAGAGCGAAGCGATAGCGCCTAGCGAGCGTACCGAGTGAGTGCCAAAACACTTGGAGACTTGCTGTCTTTATCAGTTATTGACGACGCCGCAAGACTCTGCCACCGCCTCCCGACGGCGGCGGCGCCGCATACCATTACATAGGGGAAATATGTAAATTTCAACTAGCTATAACTTTTGAACTAACCGAGTCCGCCTAATTTATACTTCAGATTCGTAATCAACGTAAAAAACACTATGATATGGCGGGGAGGAAAAGGGTGTCTGGTAAAGTGCATTTGTTCCTATTATACTAACTTAAATATATATTATGTAAAAATACTGTTAATAAATAATTTATTACTTTTTTCAATTTTTGTCGTTCGTGTACCAGGCTTATGAAATACTTGATTCGGTCTATTATTTATTATTGACATAGCTGTTGAAGCCCATTTTTTGTTTTTTATGTTAAGACATTTGTTTAGGTTATTCGTCTTGCTTGTGTAATTGAAATTAAAGTTGTTTTTGGATTTTACAGTTTGATGTAATTTTTCCACTTTTACTAATTTTACATCAGGTTCTGTTGGCGACCAACTATTTATACAATTTCCTTTGTTTTTTTCAGGAATTTTTGTGCCTTCGGTAGTAAAGTTTGAATTATTTTCAATGGTTTTTGTCATAAAAGTGTAAGGCGTATTCAAAGTGCCAATTTGAACTTTTGGAAAATCTGTTACAGTGCTATTTAGTGAAGAGGTTGAATTATTTTCAGTTCTTTTTGTAACTCTAGATGTATAGGATTGTAGATGTATATGTAAAGGGGTATTTGACATTAAAGCAGTACTTTGTTTGTTGTAACTGTTAATAGATTCTGGTGACTTTGGTGAAAAATTTAAAGTATTGGGTTTTATGTGCGTCAAAATTTTAGGCGTTATCGCTTTGTTAATAATTTTTATTATTGGTTTTTCTGGTACTTCAGGAATCCAACACTGTATACTTCTTACTTTATTGTTTTGATGATTAAAAGTTCTACTGTTGGTCGAGTTTAAATAATTTTCCATTACTTGGGTAACTAAAAGCTTGTTAAAATCATTATTTGGCACTTTTGATGTATTCGAAGTACCAGTGCTTTGTACTTTTTGTATGCAGTAACTCTTTAAAGGTTTAGGCAAATTTCGTGGAAAATTACAAATAATGGGTTTTTTGTACTTCATATGTCGAGGATTGTTTTGTCGATTAATCACTTTTACAGTTGGATTTTCTTTTGATGCAGGCAACCAGCACTCGATGCAATTGTCTTTTATAGATATTTCAGGGTTTCTAGATTTTGTGAAATTTTTTTTTTGATTATTTTTAGTCTGTTGTGTTGTTACATTAGTATCATCATTTTTTATTTGGGCTTTTCTTTGTAAAAATAATGAGTTTAAAGGTTTTTTCTTAGTTTGTACATTATAACGTTTAGTTAGATTTTGTGATTTTTGGCTAGAATTAAAATAATTTTTTTTTCCCGACTTCAGTATTGTTTGAACATCGTTATCATAAATAATCTTCACCAAAGGTTCTTGTTTTATTTTGGTTTTTGGCATCCAACACTTTAGCACATTGTTTTTATTAGGTGCAGCAGATTCCACTTTTTTGAAAATTATGAATGTATTGTGCTTAGAAACTTTTGTAGCTGGCGCTCCAAATATATTTGATAACTTTTTTATTTTAGCAGGGTTTTGTGGCTGTCGTTTGAAAACTTGTTGGAAATTAAAACTGTGGTTGTTTGGCTTCAACATTTTTTTACTATTCTTATCATTAATAATCTTTACCATCTTCGTATTTTTTGGTAGTGCTAATGGCATCGAACACTGTAAAGTATATCCTGTACACTTTTCACTACCTTGAACTCTATTCCAATTAAAACTTGATTGATTTTTAGCCACTGAAGCATTACTTTTTATAAAAGTATTTGTTGACCATTGGGTTTCATTTGATACAATTTGAGAAGTGTTTAATGGTGGCTTACTTTTTTTTATTTTTGTCAGACTTGTGCCCGAATTATAAAATATTGGACTATTTTCTTTGTTATTAATTGAAAAATCTGATAATGTCCAACTCTTATTTAATTGGTTGTTGCTTTTATTAAGATTTCCTGTGTTGTGTGTATTTTTAAAATCAATATAGTTATTGGTTTTTATAACTGGCGCAACAATTCCTTTTTTAGCTAGCTTTACCACTGGCGCCTTCGATACCGATGGCGTTAAACTCTGTACGATTTGTTCCTTAAAAATGTCTGCATTATTAGATCTTTTGCTACATAAGTCCCAACTATTTTCAGATGATTTTATGCCTTGTGTAATAGATTCTTCATTAATCGATTTTGATGTCTTTGGTGCTAATGGCATTAAGCACAAATGTTGTTTTATGTTTTCAGAGCTATTGCTTGTTTGGTTTGACATATTTTCAGTTTTTTTTGTGATAAAAGCATCAGGTGTACTGGCAACATATTTTTGAATATCATCGTCTACCATTTTTACCATAGGCTCTTCTAGAACGATAGGCAAGCTACACTGTAAATAGTTTTCTTTATTTTCATTAGCACTTGAAGATTTATCACAAAATGAGTTTGTTTGAATTGATGTAGTTAAATTATCATCGTTGGGCTTGTAATAGGATTCTTGTACTGAAGGTATTATGTTCTGATCATTTTCATTATTACCGTTTGGAACTTTTAATCTGGTCTTATAATAATCCATTATACAATCTTTATCGTTTAATTGTGTGTGCTTTTTTTGTATCCTCAGAAATTGATTTTTCATGCTTTTTTGTGAAATCTGTTTTAAAATAATAATCATAACCTTTAATAAACATGCAAAGTAAAACCTGTCTAAGGCAGAATTGCACTGGATTGAAAGGAAATTCCGTATTAAGCCATTTTCATTCATTTCAGTAAAATATGTATGCAAAGCGGTTTGAAGAGACCATTCAATAATTCTGTCTTATCCAATTTTCTGGTTTATCGAGGGTTCGTCTTAGACAGGTTTCCCTGTATATAATATGTACTTAATGTGCAATAATACATAATGTGTGAACTGAATTACTTACAGACATTAAGTTTTTAGCATTCATAAACAATATCACATTTGAACCCATTACGCTTAAGTAGATTTTCCTTGTTAAAAATTGAAATACTGTACTTTACTACCAAATGCATAAGTTACAAAACTTAAATTAGGCAATTATTATTTTTTACTTCCACTTGGATAAATATTGTGTTTATGCTATGTATTCGTAACAACACAGTGTAAACACTTTAGCTAATACTCAAAAGTAAAAAAGCCATATAGTTTTGTTTATACGTTTTTGCTGGGTTAAGTATTGCATTAAATTATTAAAACATAAATATGTGCTGTTAGTCCTCTTAATTAAAGAAATAAAAAGGTATGTCATTTATGAGTTTGTTTTCAAAAATTGACCTTGTAATGTATAATGTTTATACAAATAGAAGACCTGGTGTCAAAAATCTGACAATGTCCTGTAAAACAAGCAAATCTTTTGTAATCACCTATGAGTTTCCAGTAAAAGCAATCTAATTGTGGTATCAGTCGATTCATACTAAAATATCAGGAGTAAAAAGGAGAAATCATTTTGAAAAATATATAAAAGAAATATCAGTTTTCTGATAAATATTGTTCATACACTCATATTAATATTTTACATATATTAAAAACAAACAAAAAATGTTTTAAAATAACAGTTGTAACTAGCAATTTCTTTTAAATAAAAAGCCAGTACTGGGAGGTTGGAGCATGATGACACAGGGAGGTCACAGGATTATATGGATTATTACAACTGAAAGTGGTAAAATCACTCAAATAAATGCTTCAATGTGGTGAAGCTATAACGATAGAAGTACAAATCGATAAAAGTATTGTACTAATTGAAAATAATGTGCTTAAAAATGTATATTTAGCATTAGAGTGGATACGATTACGATTAATAATCTGTTTATTCTAATTTGTTGCCATTGTTACCCATAAATCGTAATTAACAATAAAATGAAAATATATATTTCCAAATACCTGTTGTCTGTTGATTCACTCACACATAGCAACCTAGAAATTGACTAGTCAAATGGTAATTTTTTTGTGGGTCAAATGGGTGATTTTTTTTATATTTGACCCACTAAAGTATCAATTATAACTTCAGATTAAAAAAGAAAAATTAGCTACAGCTAATAAGTCATATAAAAGGTATAACTGACTATTAAAATAACTGGTCCTAGCCATGTCTCTAAATTAATTGTAATCATTTTTGGCTTTATATAGATTTTTTTTTTTGGAAATTATAACCTGTTTTTATACTTAAATGAATCTTATGGCATCATACATTTTTATTCTATATGAAATCATCATACACATATTGTTGTTCACTATAATTTGGTTTTGAAAATATGTCTAGTGAGTAAATAATGTTGAAAGCACAAAAATTATTATTCGTTTTATCTGTTTGTGCATTTTTTATGCAGTTGTTTTAAATGTATGTTGAAATAAATACCGAAACTTTGTTACTTGCTTACTATACCGCCACTTGTAATGTCTAGTTTCAGATGAGGCAAAATGGGAATTGACCTCCCAGACAAATAACTGGTAAACCGAAGACCACTGACTTTATCTCACTACTACTTAGACAAGCATATGAAAACCTGCTGAAGGCGGCTTTTAATGATGATGGCGATTTATAAACTGGCTTTTCACCATACTAAAGGTTTTAGCGGTTTAGGTGTCAGACTGAACTCGGTGAACTACAGACCCAGCTACTTCTAGGTGTATCTTACGATTGAAGTTTCATTCTCAGGTTATCAATAACCAGCAACAGACTGCCATGCGTCCAGTTCGTCGTTGCCGTCAACAGTATCAATCCACACAATATTTAGATCATCGTATGTCACATGGGGAGCTTGACCAAGTACCAGATAGATACCTTGAACAGGAATCACGTCAAAATCGTCGGTATAACAACCGAGAGAGGCGTTCACGTTTCCGTCCTCAAGGTCATAACCTGCCAGAAAAAAACCATCAGAAGCCTGACGTTCCAGTTAATAATCCAGCGGTTCCCGACCATATCCAGGCCAAGGATGATGAAAGAAAGTACACAGTTGCCTCGGGAGCTCAAGAGCTTGTGCCAGAGCACGAGAATGAACTGCTTCAATTTATCTTACCAGATACAGTCGCGGAAACTTTGGAGGTGGAGCCAGACATTGAGGCGTTGTTAAACATTTCACCAGCCCAACAGGACTAGAAGAACTTAATGTTTCCGACTAAGGGATAATTTCTATCGTTTAATTCTCAGTATAAATTTAAGACTCCCTGGTTTCTATGTTAACCAAAAAATAATGCTCATGCCAATTACAAATCCTCTGTTTCCCTCTTGGTGGACTTTTACATTTTTTCTGTTTGTTTTCTTGTTCCTTACAAATTTCTGTTAAAGATATGCTATTGTGATCTCATTTTTTTATTCTGCATACATTTTTGTGTTAAAAATGATTTTGTCATTCGTTCACCCAACTACACTTAATTTTGTTTTTTGTAACGTCATTTGTAACGGTTTTGTTAGTTTTGATCTCATTTTTATTTTTAATTTTTTGTTAAAGCGGGTAATTTATTTTTTGTAAATATTTTTCTTCTGTTCACACATCTCCAGTACAAATGTTTACCCTTTCTTTTTTAAATTTTCTATTGCTTATTTTCCGTGTCTTCTATTAATATCAGTAACATACCAGTTTTTCTCCATAATAATTCTTGTGGTTCTGATAGTATTTAAGGCGATATTAACATGTTTATTGATTTATTCCTGGATAAATACCTTGACTCTGGTGTGTTCTTTTGTAAACTTGGTCCTATTAATTCTATCCGTGAGTTCGGCTATTTTCTCAACTTCTCTAATTACTGTCCTATCCCATATTGTACATTATCAAAACAATTTCTTCTCTATCTATTCTGTCCATTTAACGACTATATTATGTCTATATTTTATTTCCCTTCTTATAATGTTAACTTTTTGTATCAATATTATGATTTATAACTAATTACTAAAGAATTTGATCACCCTCATCTAGTCAATAATCCAGAGTCTAAATTTTAGACAGTCTTAACTCTTTGGTATAAGATTCTTTGACTGCGTATTTAACTCAATAATCGACCTTATATGTTTCCGTTCTGAATTCCTTTCTTCTTTTTCCCGCCTTAATCTGGTATTCCTCAAAGCCTTATTGTTTGTAACCTATGTCTCTTTTGACAGAACTACTTATCTTTAAGTATAATATAAAACTAATATTGGTGTTAAAATAGTAATTAATATTGTATATATGAAACACGAAGTATATTATATTAAATATCACTATATTAAGTGATTAATTTTTGTAAATAAAAATGCAAATATCAAAAATGGATTTAGCTGTCAACGCATCACAAAAAAAATATGGTATTGATTACAATGAAACCTTTTCACCTGTACGTTGTGTGGTGTGAATGAAATTTATAATAGTTTGAAGTTATTTAAAGTAAAAAGCAAAAATAAAATATTACATTTTGTCATTTTGAGGAGTGTTTTTGATCTAATTCCAATAAAAATCACGCTTTAGAATTTATGTATATGGAGGCGCCTACTTTTTAAATATATATGTATGTATTATAATATAGAATAAATTGTTAGTAATCAAAGTTCCTCAAACATTTTTCATCGTTCATGATTAATCCAAATAATATAATGTATGGGTCAAAACGCCAAATATAGACGAACGTTTGGAGCATTCTCCCCCCGCACGCGGAACTTTTTGAAACTTGCTCTGCATATCTGTTGTAACAATGAAAATAATTATTTCGATTTTTTTGGCTATGGCCATCAAAAAAATGTATTAAAAATCACTTATTTAAAAAAAAAATGTTTTCCGAGTAATTGAATGTTATTAAAAATTGAGTTTATAATTGAAATGTTGTAATTTTCGTGTTGCCCAACATTAGAGAACATGTATAGTATTTTTTTTTTCAAAAAGATCAGAAAATTGTACATAAAATGTGTAAATTTCAAATTGAGTTTCCATTAAAATGCTTGGAATTAAAAAAGATGTTGAATAAAATTCATAGTAATGCCAAATTGTTTAATTAAAATACTTATTTTTTTTAACCATATTGATCGCCGTGGTTTTTTTTTTTTTTTGTTGGAAGTAAATTGAAACAATATTAATTACCAAAAAATAAGGTTCAACAAAACTTGAGTCAGTATTTTCTAAGGTAAGACCTATCTAACATCCCCTAATCTATGTTAAAACCAATCAGATCAAGAACTTTATAATCGTGATTGAGATTCATTAATAATATGTGATAACATCATCGTTGATAATTGATAACAAATTGATTACCAACACAAATCTCCTGATATTAGATAACCTTCGCAGAGGTTTTTATACAATTTGGTAAATTATAGTATAATTATTTCTCACAAATTATTACTTTTTAAACTAGTTTTTTTTAAAAATAAACTGCTTTAGATCAACGATGCTGAACGTCAGTTGATACTTATGTTACTTTTAGTTTATCACATAACATTATTTATGCCTGTAATTGAAGCCAGCCTTTCATTTAAGCTAGGCATAAACTACTTAGTTAATCCTAGAGAAAAATTGAAACATTAAAATTAATTTTCAGAGAGAGCCTTGAAATTTAAGTACTCAAATGTCATGGTATGTAAATTGATATTAATTTTTTTAATTTATCTTTAGTTTTTTTTTTACAGTAAGCATTTTTTATGTCGCTTACTTAAATTTCTATAATTTCTTGACATTTGATCATTTTAAAATAAATTTAATTAGGTATTGATTTTATAATATACAGATAAGCTAATTGTAGGAAAGCGATGTACCAGCATACCTACATTTTCCCTAATTGAATGAACGTTATATGCTGTCACTTTTAACAATAAGGCTTATCTGTATTATGAAAAATCAATAATTATACACATTTTCAAGTACGCAAGTGTTTCGATGTAACATAAATATATAATTATAATTAGGTTCACTGCTGCGGAAGAGGCGCTTGCCGAAATAAAAAAGACTTGGCGTACGTATTATCCTTGTCATCAAACCCGACTAGTGGAATGTCGAATAACTCCTTTGAAAGCCATGAAACAAATTGGGCCTACGTGAGTGTATATATTATAATAGTTAACACATGTTTATAGTTCAGTTTTTTAATAAATGCATTGTAGGTGTGGATTGGTTGCGTTATGTATGGCTGAACCTTTAATGGATTTGAACGAATCTCAAACAACTATCGATTTGATGTACAAGGAAGCTAAAAAACGAGGTTTCACTAAACTAGGTGAAATGTTTTTCATGTCATATATGTACGAAATGGCCGATTTGTTTTTAGCAGATACATACACAATTTGCCATGTCAATCAATCAATGTCTAAAGACACATCCCTTGTTAAAAAATTGCTAAAAGAAGATTGCTTACTAATTGTTTGGTATTTACTTTTAAAATAAATTTTGTTTGTTATTAATACTATGTGTGTGTTACTATTATGCACTATATTGTATTTAATATTTAGTTATGATGATGATAAGAACATGATGCCGACTGTCAATCAAGGTCATACTGCCCATTGGGCAATTATTTGTGGAATAATTGGTGAAGACCATGTAATAGCTAGACATGGGAAGAAATCGAAATATGGCATTTGGTCTTTAGCAGATTTAGCTGCGAGTAACGATGGCTTAATAGAAGTCAAACATGCATTGGCGTTCGATTCAGACCAATACGTAATACCCGAAAATGGTGACTTACAAAAAACGCTTGCTTCACAGTTTATGGTTTTAAAACCTAAAACAACTCCCAAAGTAATTAAAGATTAGCCAAACATTATATTTTATTTTACATAAAAAGTGGTTTTTACCAACACATAATAGTTTTATAATTTTTTCCATATAAGATGATCAATACTATAGAAAAATTAATTAATTTAGCCTTTTTCACAAAAACTCTAATTTTACATATTTTATAATTGATATAAACAAAAATACTTTTTTAAAGTTAATTTATAATACATTTGCTTCTTATTTTTCAATATAATAAAATGATAGTTTCCTATTATTAATGATTTAGTGTTGTTTTCTAATGTCATTAAAAATGTTTAACTTAATAAACTTCATTTATCATTACCAATTATAGTTTTGACTTTAATTATAGTTCAACTGTCAATGGTATTATTTATATAAATTATTTAAAATATTTTTTTCAGGTCGTTCGTGCTATGTTTTGATCTGATATCGATGACTTCATATATTACACTATTTAAAAATGGACCAATTTGAAATCTGAGCAACGAATATTTACAAAAACATATTTCTAGTCAAAATTATAGTTATTAAATTGAAGTTTTATGAAAATTATTTATAATATTATAAAAACATAATTAATAATTATTATACATATAGTATTTTTTATTATTTTTTTTTTTGATTTTTTTTTTTTGGATTGGCGATTTCTATTACAATTCAAAGTGTGCTGAAGTATTTAAGTTTTAACAAGATGGCTTCATGTTGCTGTTTTTAATAATTATTTTAAACTAATTATCCAGGGATAAACTACCTACAATAAAATAAACTTCACCCCAATTGCAATAACACAGAGTCGACTGATCTTTATTCTTTTTATATAATACTAATAATAATGTTGAACTCCACTCAACCCGTGCTCTAAAAAAGTTTTATGGAACCAAACGTAGTAGCTAGTAATAATAAATAAATGGATTATTTGTTTACACATATCAAGCCGGTCACAAATGCTGGAGCTGTAGTATTTATAATTATGGCAACCCTAGAACCCATAACAGGTAGATGCCCTTATGATAGGAGATTAGTTAAAACACTTAAATACCTAAAAATGATTAAATGCAAATCAAATATTTTTTTATTTTTCCTCTTTTCTCATGAAAATCATTGGATAAAGTATTATTAAAAATTAAAGATATTAAATACCTTTCACTAAGTAAATTTGGTTTTGCACAGTCATTAAATTTGTAGAAAGAAAATGCAATTTAAATTTTTATCGATAAAATAGTTTTTTTAAACAAAAAAAATTGTATTGTATGTTGAAAAAGGTTTAGCCTAATAACTATTTTATCCGTTTATAAATTGATATCTAAACTATAATACTTATTTCAGTTAGAACTTAAGATAAATATTTGTGTTTAAAAACTAAAAGTAAAATGTGCCAATGACATAAAATTATATATTGTATTATATTTATAACAATACTTTAAAAAAAAAACTAAATCTATAGAATTCGACTGACTAAAAATTATCTTTGCAATATTACCGATTAAAATATGTGTAATTTCTTTAACTGGGTATACCTATTGGCTAGTATTATAAGATTTAACAAGGGAGATAATATAAATATTACGTACTTTACGATGATTTAATATCTATTTTATATTATGAGATGACGTAAGATTAATGGGGTAACTTTAATTTTTGCATGTTACGAGTCATGACATTGATTCTTGTAGACTCTAACTGACACAATATGTTACGATCGTCGATATTTAGTCAGTCGTGAGCGCTGAAGATGACAACATTGTTGCCGAAATACATATATAATTTTTATGGTTAAGGGTTTTTATTATTATTTTTAATATGTTACGATTTCATTTACAGCTGAATGTATTACATGTAACAGCAATACTTGATGAAACGGTTTTCATTGAAACCGGATGTCATATTGACATATTTGACAGGATTTAAGATTTTCAATTCATGTTCATTGTTAAAAACTTACACGCATTTGCCGCCAAAAAAGCAAACGGGTAAACTAATTTACACCTTATCTTTTTTATTATCATTATAAAGTTGTTATCAAAACGGACCTTTGGAGAATATTATATTTTTATTTCTTATTGAAAAATGTTTATTCTTTTCACTCGTTCTTTGTAATTTAAAGTAACTAAATATCGTTTATATTTTTTTTATTGCATTTGTACAAAGTCGTTTAACCTTGATGATGACCGAGTCGAATCAATAACGTCTGTTAGCGTTATCATTTGAGCTGTTATCATTTTTACGCCACCCTAATCGCACAGTCGCCGACTTGGAATCTCGAACTGACATTTTTTCACAACCGCACATCTGTGTACTAACAGATAGTTAGTTTGCTAACAATTCGCTGATGAGGAAGTCTCCACTAATTGTAACAAGCATTTAAACGCCGGTCAAGTACAGGTGCGTTTAGTTTTATAGTTAGAACATCAGGTCCGGTATCTTCATTCAATCTTACCATACAGTGAGTGTTGTCAGTTAATGTTACAATCAAGTTAATTCCGTCCGGTTGCAACAATTGAAAAACACCGTTGTATTCATATTACGAAATTAATTTAATTTTGTTCATATTAACAGCTTAGTACGACTTGAATTCCTTCATCGCTACCACTACTATATATTCCTCGGTCTCTGAACTTTATTTGGAACTTTGATCACCGAGTCTCTACATGTTGTCCGAGTGTCATAGTTTTATATCAATGCGTTATAAACAAATTTTAACATAAGTTTACCTATTCAAATTTGAATAAATTATATTTTCCTAACTGCCTAACTCTGATAATGCACTGAAAAAATCTAATATTTATTGAAATTAGGTCTATATGTAATAGTTTGAACAAATGTGTAACTGTTTAATAGAGAAGTAGTAAATAAACCGAATATACATTTTTTGGCATAAACTCACTTTACCCGATACCAATTTTGTTGAGTCTTTTTGTTGCCATATAGTGCTTTTTTACACTGATTACGAATCTGAAGTCAGAATTAGGAAGACTCTTCTAGTTCAAAAGTTATAGCTACTTGAACTTTGAAGTTTCCTCATAAAACAGTAGGCGACGGACACCGCAGTTGTCTTGCAAAAGGATATTCTTAAAGTTATAGTTACTCGAACCTTTGAACTAGAAGAGTCCGCCAATTTCTGACTTCAGATTTTTAATCAGCAAATAACAAAAATTGGCTGGCATTGCAAAACTATTTTTTTATGCAGTTTACATATACCTTTTTTTGTTTATTGTCATTAATAAAAAAATAAATAATTTTTTGTCTTTATGCAACTTTTTTATTGTAAAATGTTTTCAGGTTAATTTTGAAATGGAGATGTTAGCTTGCAGGCGTCCTGTTCTTGTATGTTTGTTGAAAAACCGTAAATTAATAAAAAAATGTTCCTCACACGGCCAACACAGACACATGAGTTATATTATTCAACGCCGAATGTTGAACAATCCACTGTTCAGAATCCAAAATCCAAAATTGTCTAGAAATTTTATGATGTTGCGTGTTATAAATCACCTACTAAAGTTGCGATATTTAGTAACGGGTAGCGTAGTTGGTGGTGGTGTATTCGCCTCCAAAGTACGTAATATACATTTTTGAATTTTAAAAATTAGTAGCCTATTGAATATAAATATGAAAATGTATTTCTTTCAGAAATACCAAGAATGGAAAGATTCATTACCAGATTTAAGTTGGCTAGAAGATTTACTACCCAACAACGACCAAGTGAATATCATCCAAAATTCGTTGAAGTCAATATTAGATTCAGTGAAGAGTTTTGAATTCGGTAGGACGCTAAAATTAATTATATTTTATAGTGGAAGAACTTAAATATGTTAAAACAAGATATTTGTTGATCACTAGGGATGGGACTATCTTAGTATTTTGTATTTTATTAAACTTGAAACATTCTTTTTTTTCTTCATTTAACTACAATATTTTACATGGCCAAAGTATATGTATTTAAAATGTATGATAAAGAATGTTCTACATACGTTTTATCATAACTCATAAGTATATCGAAATAATCCCATCCTTTGTGTCTACACTAAACCAAAAGTTAATTTTGTGTGTTATAGATTCAACAGAATCTAATAACAAATTGGGACGATTTAAAGGCTGGCTTGAGTATCACATTGATGAGGCGTTTAAAGCTGCTGAGGTTTCTGATTTCGATGTTCAATGTGAGTTTTCATATGAGTATCAAATGAAAATTAAACTTTTTTTGTACGCTAATTGGCATGTAGTTATGATTATAATTTTTTTTAAATCCCTTTATTTTTTTTTTATTGATTTACAATATTTAGTTTTATTTTACATTTTAAGTTCTTCCATTCACTTTTCCTTAAATATCCTCGCTTAAGTTTTTTTTAATTTAATTTACCTATGAGTTGTATAACCTATGAAAAATGTATTGTATTTTAAATTTTATTAGTATTCTTATATTTAATTATTTAAATAGGTTTTTTATTATTCTTTATTAACTACAATTGAATAGTATCTTTTAAAATAATAATTATAAAATTGAAACTTTTTATTAGTTATTTAAACATTTTAATAATTACAGCTGAACACTTGACACCCATTGTAGTTGAAGCTGCAACACCAAAATCATCACAAGAATCCACAAAAAAATTAGGTTGGTTTCTTTAGATTAATAAAAATAAACCAATATTACTAGCATATGAAACATATTTTTCAATAATGACATTGTACAACTTTGATCTTTTAAATTGTTTAAGATTTGATGCAGCAAGAGATTATAGAAGTTCAATTGAAGTATCAAAAAGAGTTAGAACGTTTAGAAAAAGAAAATAAAGAATTACGTAAACAGTTATTGCTAAAAAACAGTCATAAAATGAACATGAGGAAAGTCAAAGTAATCAAGGCAAAATTATATATTATATGTTATAAAACTACATATTACATATTTTAATGTTATTAACATCAATACTGTTAATCATAATTTCTTTATTTAGAAATCACTAATTGATATGTACTCCGAGTTATTGGACGAATTGATTGACTATGATTCGAGTTATCAAACGCAAGATCACTTGCCTAGAGTAATCGTAATTGGCGATCAGAGCTCTGGTAAAACATCTGTTTTGGAAATGATTGCCCAAGCGAGGATCTTCCCCAGGTAATCTTTCTAACTATTAGTAAAAAATGTATGGGTTGTAATATATTTTTTTTACAGAGGAGCTGGAGAAATGATGACCAGAGCACCAGTCAAAGTGACCCTTAGCGAAGGTCCCTACCACGTAGCTCAGTTTAAAGACAGCGCTAGAGAATTTGATCTGTCCAAAGAGTCTGAGTTAGCCGAATTGAGAAAAGAAGTAAGTACACTGAAAATCATATTATATTTTGTGAATTTAATTTTCGATACAATATATTAATCGTTATCGACCAAATGTGTGTAGGTCGAGTTAAGAATGAAAAATAGTGTTAGTCGCGGCAATTCTGTTAGTAACGAAGTTATTTCTATGACAGTACGCGGCCCAGGACTTCAGCGTATGGTTCTTGTGGATTTACCCGGCATCATTAGTGTAAGTAGTATATAACAGTGGTGAGCAACCTTTTTTGATTCACGATCCTCAAATGAGGCGACCCCCCTTCCTAACAAAATTACATAAGTGTATAATATATACTTACTTAATGTATGCAATAATTGTATTCGTATAAATTAAATTGTTAATTAAAAAATTACTGAAATTATTATAATTATAATCAACATTTTAATAATTTTGAAATTATAAAATTACATGATTTAATGAGAGACTTGTGCTTGAATTGTAGTCATGAATAATTCTAAGTTGGGTTTTATATTTGAGACTGCTACTCTTTAATCTGCTTCGACATCCAATCTGGAGCGAAATTTGTTTTTTATTATCGTTAGTGTTGAAAATGCTGTTTCGCATAAATAAGTTGAAGCAAAAGGAAGTAAAATCGATATGGCTTGTTTTGATAATTCTGGATATTCAGATTTGATAGAAATCCAAAATGTATCACATGCATTCTTGAAATCTGATACGTAGATTTTCATCTGATGACGTCTGATGAAGTCCATGAGTTCTATGCTTATTTTTAAATTTCCTAATTATAACGTTTTTATGAACTCATTTTATTTCATTGATATTAAAAAAAATGGATTTCTTATCCACTCTAGATTTTGTTCTAAAAAATCTTCAAACCGTTTATTAATGTTTGTAAACTTATTAGATGAGGAGTTACAATTTCTTTTATCTTATTATATCCATATTATTATCACTGAGGAATTATGATAAACATGAAAACATTTCAAATTTGTCATCGGCAATATAATTTTTCCACAGAAGTTTTTTCTTTGGTTTTGTCAGAAAGAAAGAAAATATTAGTATTTTTCCCTTGAAGACTGAAATTTAGACAATTTAGTTTATCAAATTTATCAGCAAGATAACCTAGAATCGCAAGCCATTGCTCATCTAAAAAGTGTTCCGCAAGTGTATTATTACGTTCCAGAAGAAAAATGTGTGCATTCAAAGAGGCGTGATAATACTTTACCACTAGACAACCCCCTTACTTCAGTATGAAGAAGTAATTTTTCATGGTCAGAACCTATTTCATTGCAAAGTGTGGTAAAAAGTGGAATTTAATGACTGATTTTATAAAATGTATTACACATTTGCATATGATTCGCAATGCATAATTGATACTATTTTTATAGCGGCTGGCAAGTTGAGAGGTTCCCCAATAGAATGTGGTTTTTATATACTATGTATAACATAAGACTTGTTTTTACGTAAATGACATAAAATATTTTTTATTTTTAGAGTGTCACTCAAGGGATGGCTCCCGACACACGGGAATGTATTCGTCAGATGTCAATGTCTTACATGTCCAATCCCAACGCTATTATACTTTGTATACAAGACGGATCCGTCGACGCTGAAAGAAGTAATGTAACAGACTTGGTATCACAAGTCGATCAGCAAGGACGCCGTACCATATTGGTATTGACTAAAGTAGATATGGCAGAAAAAAATATGACAAACGCTGACAGGGTACGGGTGCATTTTTGTTTCAGTAATTTATGGTATTATTATGTTGTCAAATAATATTGTGTGTGTGTTTGACAGATAAATAAAATTCTCAGTGGTAGTTTGTTTCCGATGAAAGCGTTGGGTTATTTTGCCGTCGTTACTGGTAGAGGCAATCAAGAAGACAGTATTGAAAGTATTAAAGAGTATGAAGAAAAGTTCTTCAGAAATTCCAAGCTGTTCAGGTATTTTATTTATTATCTTCGTTGTTGTCAAGATGAGACGGTGTTAGTTTAAAATGATTGAGCGTTAATTCTTAATGTTTAATATTTATATTTTATTGATAATAATAAATAAACTTTTGTTGTTTTGTCTACAGAGAGTCTGTTGGTATTACTTCGCAGCTCACAACTCGTAACTTGAGCATGGCTGTCTCTGATTGTTTTTGGAAAATGGTTCGTGAAACGGTTGAACAGCAGGCAGATTCATTCAAAGCCACTAGATACAATTTAGAAACAGAATGGAAAAATAATTTTCCCAGGTATTAAAATAATTGTACTTGAGAGAGTTTTATGGATTTTTCAAACATTTTTTTGTTGTATATTATCATATCACCAGATACTTGGAGTTGGACAGAGATGAGTTGTTTGAAAAAGCTCGCGGGGAAGTGTTGAACGAAGTTGTGAATCTTAGCTTGGTGTCGGTCAAAGACTGGGAAGAAAAGCTAAGTACTGAACTGTGGAATAGCATTTCACACTATATTATGGAAAATGTTTATTTACCGGCAGCATATTCAGCGCATCAAACAAACAGCACTGGTAATTTGTCTCCAAATTCCACATTGGGAAATATGTCTGTAATTGAACTATTGATATTCATTTTTTAATTTTCTTTTATTCAGCCAGTTTCAATACAATGGTGGACATCAAGTTGAAACAGTGGGCAGAAGAAATGTTACCACGAAAGTCTATAAACATCGGATGGACTGTATTGAAAAATATGTTTAAAGTGATGTTCGAAGAAAACCAAAAAGTCCAGGCCACTGACGAGATTTTGGAAACGCTGAAAATGGCAGTCATTGATGAGGCTTTGACTAGACACTCTTGGGAAGATAAGGTTTATTGTTTTATTCGCTTTGATGTTCCAAAACTAAGAATTTATTCAAATTTGGTATTAGGCATTGGAAATGTTACGAGTCATACAGTTAAATGCCCTGGAAGATCGATGTATAAAAGACAAACACAACTGGGAAGAAGCTTCCCAACTTCTAATCGACAGTCTTGAACAAAATTTTAAAGTAATTATTCAGTAGTTTAATCAGGGTTCAGTTTACTGTTAATTATGTGTTATATACTTAAAATAGCTCACAAATGTTAAATGTAACGAGCAATATAAAATGATTTTTCCATTAAATTTTTACACATATGTTATGTATTTTAACATTATTAAAAAAACGTTTCTCTAAACTTTTTCATTAAAAAGTTTTTTAATTATCATTTATTCGTATTTCAATTAGTTTTGAAGATAATCAGGCAAAATTAATCTAACTAATATTCTGAAATTTCGCATTTCTCATGAAGCTTCATCATACATTCCTTTTTACCGGTTTGACACATTTTGATTTTAAGGCTAATTTTTATTTTAAAAATTTTTTTTAGCTTTGTTTATTTATCTTGTTTTCAACAATGTTTAGCAGTACACAATGTCTAACACAAGTATAATAAATTATACTAATATTGCTAAAAAATCAACTGGATCGGTTAAAATAGAGCTGCCCTAGTGGCATAATTTTATGGGTTGGGTAAGGTTTTTAACAAACTATTATGCTGTGTATGATTTAAGCTAGACTAACTGTAAATAATATATATGTGGAATATTTTATTGTAATTTATATTGACCTCCCTGAAATGATTTTTATTTTGGATTGAGTCTAATCGCTTATTAGATTTTTTAAATTAGATTGGGTCAATTAGTTAATTGTTGTTTTTGAATCGGACTAGGTCATACTGGCTTAAAATAACTTTTAGTAGGGTTATGTTTTTGAATATTCAAATGTTAAATTAACAAATTTACACAACTACACTAACAAATGTTCTGATCATTATTAAAAGATTAATTAATTTTGTCATTTAGTCGACTGAAGATTCTCTACGAGAAATGGTCGGACCATCTAATTTTGAAAAATGGTTTTACTGGCAAAGCTCATCCAATGAACAAACCAAGAGAAATTACATTAAATACGAGTTGGAAAAATTGTTACACTCAAATCCAGTAATACATTTTATTTTAATGTAGTTATTGTTATAAAACTACTAGATTTGAATTGTTTTTTTTTAGACTCACAGCAATTTGTTGAGCAAAGACGAACAGATCACCATTTGTAATAATTTGAAACATAGGTTTAAACCGCCGTGCGAACAAGATGACATTTGGCAGACATGGTATTTAGTGTACAGGCGTCACTATTTCAAAAGAGCTTTAGAAAATGCACATAATATGAAAAGGCAGTTTTATCATTATCAAGAATCCAATGGTCCCCAAGTATGTGGCTATTTCTCAAACAGAGTAATTTGACAAAGGTGATGCGCAACATTGTTTTTTTCAATTATTTTCAGAGTGAATACTATGAAATAGAAATGTTCTGGAGGATAACACGTATGATCAAAGTAACTGCCAGTGTGTTGCGACAACAGATCACCAATAGAGAAGGTATATTTTAAATAGATTTTTTTTGTTTATTTTAGTATATTGTTTAATTTCTTAACGTCTTTAAAGTGAGACGATTGCATCGAGAAATCAAAGAAGTTTTGGAAGATTACAGTCAGAATACAGATATTAAATGTAAGCTGTTGACCGGCCGTCGTGTAACCCTAGTCGAAGAACTTAGTAAGTATTGTTGAGCGCTGACATATTTGGCCATGGAACAGTTGTTTTGACCGTATACTTAGAATAATATAAAAAATAATTTTTGTTATTTAGATAAAGTCAAGCAAATCCAAGAAAAATTAGAAGAATTTATTCAAGCATTAAATAAAGAAAAATAATCATCGACTTTTAGAATTATTATATTTATTGTATTTATCTATTTAGGCATTTCCTTTGCACTTATGTTTCTTTTTCTTCTATTATTTGATTAAATATGTGTTACAATATGTCAACTAGTTATTATTGTTCAAGCAAAAACCCAAACACGTTAGAAATGTGATCTGTTACTATAATTTAAAAAAAGCTATTTGAATTCTACCATTTGTAAAAAAATATAGTTAAAAGGTAGTCTAATTAGTTACTTATAATTTAAATTAAAACATTTGTGACCGAATTTAATGATAGGTCAAACATAATATGTAATTTATTGTACTGATTGACTACCAAAATAAAAAAAAATTGATTTTTTATCTGCTATACCTACTACCCTGTAATATTGACTTTTTTATGTGAAATTTCTAATAAAAAATACATTTTTAAAAAATATTAGTTTATTACATTTTAAGACGGCGTTCCAGCTCAATTTACAACTGAGCGTTGAAATGAATTATAGTTTGCCCATCAACATCTACTAAAGTAATAATCATAATTATAATCTAATCTGAATTATTTTAAAAACGTCAAAGAAAAAATGTTGAAGAAAAAAAACTAAAAATGATTAAATAAATCTAAGTCTAGCTAAGTTTTTTAATAATTGCATGTATATTATAGTTAACAACTACCTTCTTACAATTACCTAATTAGAGTAAAAGGAATATTGTATTAAACATGTTAGGCCAGCAATGATAAACAAAAGGGCGTTTGATAAAAGCGATGGAAGTGTGGAGTAACTAAGTTGGACAAAATAATGAATGAGTGCAAAAGTTGGCGAGTAAGGCCCAACAGCATGAAAATAAGTGAGAATAGAGTGAGATAGCTTGGGAATGTTGTAAGTAGAATACCTAGTAAAACGGGTAAGTAGATAAAAGTAAAGAAGAAGCGTGTAAATGTGTTATAAACAAAGACACAGGAACTTGTGGAGCGAATAAAGGATCGGTGACGGTAAGGCATTTGTGAAATAAGATAGTTGTTAAGCAGACGTTTTCAGAAACATTAATTTTCTTTTGGTATGAGAATCATGACAACGCGTGTATAATTAATAATAATAATATAAATAATAATGTGATTGTCAAGTAACTATAATAACTTAAGTTTAACTTATATAGTCTAGTTGTAACTAAATTGTTGAAAATTCGGTATTAAATAAAAATGTACTGTTTGTTTTGCGGCCAAATTGCGACACCAAAATATGATAGGTATGCTTATTGTACACTGTAAGGACGCTTAACGGTACCAGGAGCTTATGCTCGACGTTGGCGCTTAGTCCGAGGGACGCCGTTCGATTGATGAATTCCTGGTATTTTTGCTGGCTTTAGCCTTTCGGTTTTGGACGCCGTAAACGGTTGCGACGGCGAATGTTCATCCACTACAAACAACAAAATTATATCATTCGTTTATGCGCTAAAAATTATCGAAATATTTTATAACAACTAAATAAAATAATAATTGTTATAATGATCGTTATTTACGGATATAAATTCCAATTGAACAAATATACATTTATAATATCGCGTCACCGCTATCGGACACAAGTAAAGTACTTAGACAATATTAATTAAAAATCTAGTAATCTCGATGTTACATTACAAAACATTTTTTTAATACTGATGAACTTTTAAGATACGTTAATTAATATACAAGTATATAGTAGGGCGTCCCTAATTATTTTCGAAATTATATGCTCCCAATGTTTAAACTGTTCTAGATGATGCAATAAAGGCCCTACACTGTTCTAGCTTAATATTTATCCGTGCTTGCATGGTGGTGAAGTTTTCCATTCAATAACAACTACAAAATTATTTACCGTACTAATTAATAAAAAAAAACTTCATTATTTTCGAGATTTAAATTTTTTTTTTAAAAGTATGGAGTCGCTTTTCCATTGTTAGGCGCTTGCGTTTAATATATAGGTACTATCAAGTATCGACGACAAATTCCTAGGTTAGTTTAAAACTTACTCAACTTTGTTACTTAAACTTGATAGCGCTTAATATCAACCAATTTATTGCGTTGTGCAAAAATTCAATGTAAAACGTGTACTTAATTGAATGTTTTAATCAATCCGTGCACCCTTCAGACTTTTCTTTGATATATGCACGTTTTGTTAAAAATAATACTACATGTTTATATCCGTCCCTCAGAGCAAAAGTATATTAAGTCAAATAATATACATTAATTCAGCTTAGTGTCCAGTGGTTTATCTATATACCGTTTAACGCTTTCGATTACCTACTTCAAAAGTTATAAAGTCAAAATGCAGGCGGTCGACTAAAGGTAAGGTGATCGTTCATCGCCATAGATAAAATAAGATGTCTACACTTACCGTTAAGTAAGTTGTTTTATAGACATCATTGTTTTATTTTACTGAGATTACGAAATGAGTAATTATATTAACTAACATCTTAGCTATGTGCACTTAATAATTTTCGATTTTTAAATTATTTTCCTTCGTGTTTTTTTTTTTAAATGATAACATCTGAACATTCCTAAAATTGTCTTTTGAGTTTAAAAAACAATTTCTTTTTACATTTTAAATCACATACCTGACTACTGAAGCCTTTTTATTATATTAAAAATTCTAGTGTTTAAAACCGTTTAGTTAACGAACAGTGAACAACCTAACAATTTGTTTTTTTTGTCTGTACTAGAGTGGTGTTATTATACGTGATTTTATGAAATTATAATATGTTGCTCCGAAAAGTTGAATTTGTTCTATAACACATTTTCTTTTGTATGTTAACCATTTTGCATATCTTATTATGTAAAATGTATAATATACTAATTTACAGTTGGTGTAGTTTATTGAGTTTGCTGACTTACATGATTACTTCTTTCGTACTCGTTGAACTTAGGTAAGTATAAATGTACTTCCAAAGGTCATTAAGATTTCTTATGAAATTATCATTTATATTTGCAAAGCCATAACATTTTTCTTGTTTAATATTATAAAGGAGATGACTCAGATTATTAGCCCTTATGAGTGTTATTATCTAATTTGTTTCTTTTAACACACAACTTGGCCTTTACAGTTTTTTTAGTTGTAACGTTGACTATTTTTAATGTTGGGTTTTCTAAAACTTTATTTTTATTGGTCCAAAATAAAACACTAAAAACTACATTTTAAATGAATATATAGTTTTAGTTTATTAAGTGGTTAAAAACAAATGTACATGGTAATTTATTATTAACATAATATTATTAGTAACCATCTTTAAAACTCGGATCACGTTCATTCCCAGTCATTTGATTTATGAGCCAAGGATCCGTGATGTCCAACTAGTCCTTCGTGGCGATAATTTTCTATGACTTTGTGAGTATTGGCTCCTTCATAGACATGGCTATAGTGGATAAACATATAATTATAATATGTATAATATTATTTAATATTAAAAAAAATATATATTATTTAACAATTTTAACATTTATGTGTACCTATTGTATCTTGGATTATGGTCTTAATCAAAATAATAGTATATATTGGTCTACTAACACTTCTTCAGAACTACTTTCATAAAAACCACAATGGTAGATACAATAAATTCATATCAGTGCATTTAAAAGTACCATTTGTTATCATAGACAAACTAAAATGCGTTGTATACACAATAGTAGAATTATGTATTATAAAAATGAATCATAAATCTTCACAGTTTAAGTAGTTACTAACCCGTTGGAATATACAGGAATATGTGCTTCAGAACTTCCGCTTCCGTAATTTTGATCACCACGAACTCCATTAAAACCATGAGTACTGTAGCTAGAATAGACAATCGTCATTACAATTTCCTGCTTAGGCATTTTTTATAAATCACCATAATTTTGATGCTACGTTATATTAAATAGATAATTGTGTTTTTTTTAGTTGAGTTAAAAGTATTTTATTAAATTAGTTGAATTGGAAAAAAAAATGTTTTAATAAAAAGAAGTGTTCATTTCAAAGCGTTCGCGAGGTAGCTATGACTGAAATGAGAAAAAAATAGTTGATGTATAATACGCACTAAAATGCAGTTCGATTGAAAATCATTATAATTGCAATTATATAATTTATACATATAAATATCTTTTATGAAATCTAATATAACGTCTTACGGAATATCACCATCCCGACGTTCCTCTGGCGATCCTTTTTTTATAATTGTTACTTCTCCACTGGGTATTATTAATGTTTTCTCTGTTTCATCACTTTCTGATCCACTATAATCGCCATCGGTTTGGCCGTATTGGCTAAACATATATTTATAATAATATGTAGGTATAATATTATTATAATGATCTACTAAAACACTACTCTAACTTTGGTCTACTCTATTATATTGCTTTGTTAAAATGTCTTCTGACTTTCGTAAAATGCAGTTAGATTGCTAAAATTATATAAATGTCCTTTTTCTTGAATCTATTATAAGTCTAACGAAAATTGGGATACATTAATTGATGTGTGTGTGGGAATTAAACGTGTTAACTTTAAATGGAATCATAATGATTAAACTTTAAAGTTTGAGTATTTAAATGTATACCCATTGTAACTATGATCTGGTCTGGGTCCCAGTAGTCCATCATGATAATGTGATCTTTGATGAGGTCCATGCGGTCTAAAATCATTGTAATTACATAGTTATATAGTTTATACATATAAATATTTACTATGAAATCCAATATAATATCTTACAGAATATTACTATCATGCAGTTCGTCTGATGATTCTTTTTTTATAATTGTTATATCTCCACTGGGTACTATTATTGTTTCATTACTTTCTGATCCACTATAATCGCCATCGGTTTGGCCGTGTTGGCTAAACATATATTTACAATATTATGTAAGTATCAAAAACTGAAAAATGTACGATTTAAGAATTTAAAAGTACCAATGCTCATCATGAAGATGGTCGTGATCATGATGTTCCTTGACTGCAACTCCTTCAAAAAAATGTGGTCCAGTATGGTCGCTATAGTTGAGGTTACTAAACATATATTGATAATATGTACAATATTATTATAATGTTCTACTAAAACTCTACTCTAACTTTGCTCTAAAATATTATATTGCTTTGCTAAAACGTCTTCTTCTGACATTCGCGGTCCAGTTTTCACGTTATGACCTTTGGACGTTGTAGCTAGAACCATTATAATGTACAGTGGTAGCAATAGATAGAATCTTTGCAAGTACCGAATAATTCAATAGTAAATGAATTAATAAATATATAACTATATCGAATGGTATAAGAGACATTACAATTGCATAGGGTATACGATGACGACAAACTTTGTTATTATCTTTGTTCTTACATAATTGTATAACCTAATGAATTATGGAGATAACTACCACATATAAAATAAATTCTAAAAGATACAGCTATCTCAGAAGTAAACACATCGACGTGTGCTGTATAGACTATAGACAATAGTAGAGTGTGTATTATAAAAAAAAACTTAAAACTTCACAGTTATAGCAGTTACACTTACTCGTTGGAATATACAGGAATACGTGCTTCACCATATTCTTCAGAACTGTGTCTTTCGGGATATAAATCATTACGCACTTCAAAGTTACCAAAATTATGGCCGTAGCTAGAATAGACAATCATCATTACAATTATCAGTTTAAACATATTTTATAAATTATATTATATAACCACTGAAATTAGAGTTTAAATACAACCGAAAATGTTGTCGCTACATCATATTAAAGAGTTAATTGGTTTTGACTTTTGTTTTAGTTAAAGTAAGAGTAAAGATAAATGGTGATTTTTATTTTAAAACTAAATTTGATTTACATTGTTTTTCCAATACTAACTGTTCATACGAAGTACTGTATTAAAAATCACCAATATGTCATTAGGGATGCCCTCTTCGATCAAGTTGCTTTGACTAGTGTCGAAGTATACTTTTAAAATAACGCGCATTATTAACTTTATAGTTTTGTTCTTAAAAAAAAAAAATGCTGTTAATAAAAAAAGTGTTTATCTTAAATCGATCCCAAGGTAGGTGTGATTGAAATGAGAAGAAAGTTTTTTATGTATACCACGCACTAAAATGCGGTTAGATTGCTAAGTTTTAAAAATGTCCTTTTTCTAGACTATTTTATAAATATTACAAAAATTGGGATACATAAATTGAAGTATGTGCGGAAATTAAACGTGTTAATTTCAAATGGAATCATAATGATTAATCTTAAAAGTTTGAGTATTTAAATATGTACTCATTGTATTTATCAGGCCTGTTTCCTAGTCCATCATGATAATGTGATCTTTGATGAAGTCCATGCGGTCTAAAATCATTGTAATTACATAGTTATATAGTTTATACATATAAATATGTATTATAATATCCAATATAATGTCTTACGAAATATCTCTATCTTGCAGTTCTTCTGATGATTCTTTTTTTATAATCGTTATATCTCCACTGGGTACTATTAATGTTTCGTCACTTGCTGATCCACTATAGTGGTCGTTTTGGCCGTGTTGGCTAAACATATATTTATAATATATATAATATTATGTAAGTATCAAAAACTGAAAAATGAACAGTTTAAAATTTTAAATGTACCTACCAATGCTCATTATGAATATGGTCGTGATCATGATGTTCCTTGACTGCAACTCCTTCAAAAATGTGTGGTCCATTATGGTCATTAAAGTTGAGGTTGCTAAGCCTATATTTATAATATGTATAATATTATTATAATGATCTACTAAAACTCTACTCTAACTTTGCTCTACTATATTATATTGCTAAAACGTCTTCTGACCTTTGTGGTTTAGTATATACGTAATGGCCTTTGGACTTTGTGGCTAGAATCATTTAACTTACAGTCGTAGCAATAGATAGGATCTATGCAAGTAGCGAATAATTCAATAGTAAATTAATTAATAAATATATAACTACATCAAATGATATAAGATACATTACAATTGCATAGGGTATACGATTACGACGAACTTCATTATGATCGTCGTTTCTTACATAATTACACAATTTTATAACCTAATGAATTATGGAGATAACTACCACGTATAAAATAAATTCTAACTATTTAAATACTAAATATATTAACCTATAAGTGTATATACATCGAATGGTGTATATCAATCATTATAATTAATATTACATAGTTTATACATATAAATATGTATTATGATATCCAATATAATGTCTTACGAAATATCTCTATCTTGCAGTTCTTCTGATGATTCTTTTTTTATAATCGTTATATCTCCACTGGGTACTATTAATGTTTCGTCACTTGCTGATCCACTATGGTGGTCGTTTTGGCCGTGTTGGCTAAACATATATTCGTAATATGTATAATATTATGTAAGTATCAAAAACTGAAAAATGTACAATTTGAAAATTTAAAAGTACCTACCAATGCTCGTTATGAATATGGTCGTGATCATGATGTTCCTTGACAGCAAATTCTTCAAAAATGTGTGGTCCATTATGGTCGCTGTGATGGCTAAACATATATTTATAACATGTACAATATTATTATAATGATCTACTAAAACTCTACTCTAACTTTGGTCTACTATATTATATTGCTTTGCTAAAACGTCTTCTGACCTTTGTGGTTTAGTATATACGTAAAATGGCCTTTAGACATTGGGACTAGAATCATTTAATTTACAGTGGTAGCAATAGTTATAAACTATTTAAATAGTAAATATATTAACCTATAAGTGTAAATACATCGAATGTGTATATCAATCGTTATAATTAATATTACATAGTTTATACATATAAATATGTATTATTATATCCAATATAATGTCTTACGAAATATCTCTATCTTGCAGTTCTTCTGATGATTCTTTTTTTATAATCGTTATATCTCCACTGGGTACTATTAATGTTTCGTCACTTGCTGATCCACTATGGTGGTCGTTTTGGCCGTGTTGGCTAAACATATATTTATAATATATATAATATTATGTAAGTATCAAAAACTGAAAAATGTACAATTTGAAAATTTAAAAGTACCTACCAATGCTCGTTATGAATATGGTCGTGATCATGATGCTCCTTGACTGCAAATCCTTCAAAAATGTGTGGTCCATTATGGTCGCTGTGAGGTGGCTAAGCCTATATTTATAATATGTACAATATTATTATAATGATCTACTAAAACTCTACTCTAACTTTGGTCTACTATATTATATTGCCTCTTCGCCGGGTAAAACGATGGCCTTGGCTGGGCAGCCTTTCGTGGTCGTGCTAGTAGGTCATGCAGGCGTAACAATGGCCTCGTTAGAACATTCTGCGGACGTACGACGACTCATTTGACGCGCACTTTACACCCGTAGGTAGCAACTCCACGTTATAACTAACTATTTAAATAGTAAATATATTAACCTATAAGTGTAAATACATCGAATGGTGTATATCAATCGTTATGATTAATATTACATAGTTTATACATATAAATATGTATTATGATATCCAATATAATGTCTTACGAAATATCTCTATCTTGCAGTTCTTCTGATGATTCTTTTTTTATAATCGTTATATCTCCACTGGGTACTATTAATGTTTCGTCACTTGCTGATCCACTATGGTGGTCGTTTTGGCCGTGTTGGCTAAACATATATTTATAATATATATAATATTATGTAAGTATCAAAAACTGAAAAATGTACAATTTGAAAATTTAAAAGTACCTACCAATGCTCGTTATGAATATGGTCGTGATCATGATGCTCCTTGACTGCAAATCCTTCAAAAATGTGTGGTCCATTATGGTCGCTAAAGTTGAGGTTGGCTAAGCATATATTTATAATATGTAGAATATTATTATAATGATCTACTAAAACTCTACTCTAACTATTGGTCTACTATATTATATTGCTTTGATAAAACGTCTTCTGACCTTTGTGGTTTAGTATATACGTAAAATGGCCTTTGGACTTTGTGGCTAGAATCATTTAACTTAGAGTCGTAGCAATAGATAGGATCTATGCAAGTAGCGAATAATTCAATAGTAAATTAATTAATAAATATATAACTACATCAAATGATATAAGATACATTACAATTGCATAGGGTATACGATTACGACGAACTTCATTATGATCGTCGTTTCTTACATAATTACACAATTTTATAACCTAATGAATTATGGAGATAACTACCACGTATAAAATAAATTCTAACTATTTAAATAGTAAATATATTAACCTATAAGTGTATATACATCGAATGGTGTATATCAATCGTTATGATTAATATTACATAGTTTATACATATAAATATGTATTATGATATCCAATATAATGTCTTACGAAATATCTCTATCTTGCAGTTCTTCTGATGATTCTTTTTTTATAATCGTTATATCTCCACTGGGTACTATTAATGTTTCGTCACTTGCTGATCCACTATGGTGGTCGTTTTGGCCGTGTTGGCTAAACATATATTTATAATATATATAATATTATGTAAGTATCAAAAAGTGAAAAATGTACAATTTGAAAATTTAAAAGTACCTACCAATGCTCATTATGAATATGGTCGTGACCATGATGTTCCTTGACTGCAAATTCTTCAAAAATTTGTGGTCCATTATGGTCGCTGTGTTGGCTAAACATATATTTATAATATGTAGAATATATATTATAATGATCTACTAAAACTTTACTCTAATATTGGTCTACTATATGATATTGCTTTGATAAAACGTCTTCTGACCTTTGTGGTTTAGTATATACGTAAAATGGCCTTTGGACTTTAGGGCTAGAATCATTTAATTTATAGTGGTAGCAATAGTTATGAACTATTTAAATGGTAAATATAATAACCTATAAGTGTAAATACATCAAATGGTTTATATCAATCGTTATAATTAATATTACATAGTTTATACATATAAATACGTATTATGATATCCAATATAATATCTTACGAAATATCTCTATCATGCAGTTCTTCTGATGATTCTTTTTTTATAATTGTTATATCTCCACTGGGTACTATTAATGTTTCGTCACTTGCTGATCCGCTATGGTGGTCGTTGTGGCCGTGTTGGCTAAACATATATTTATAATATGTACAATATTATTATAATGATCTACTAAAACTCTACTCTAACTTTGGTCTACTCTATTATATTGCTTTGCTAAAACGTCTTCTGACATTCCGATCCAGTTTACAAGTTATGGTCTTTGCGGATGTTGTGGCTAGAAACATTTTAATTTTCAGTGGTAGCAATAGATAAGAACTTTGTAACCGAATTAGGATTAGGGTCTGAGATTCCGACAAACTCCGTTATGATTGTCGTTTCTTAAATTAAACAATTTATAACTTAATGGAATATATGGAGATAACTACCGCATATATAATATATGTTCAAAAGAAACAGCTATCTCAGAAGTAAACAAACCTATGTGTGATTTATACATAATAGTAGAGCATGTATTATAAATCAGTATAATGTCTTACGGAATTTCTTTAGTTAGCAGTTTTCCTGACGGTGCATGCGTTATAACTGTTGCTTCACTGGGTTCTTTGCTATCTTTACTTCTGGTAAACATATGTTTTAAGGTTTCTACGATACCTCCTTCTTCCTGTTTAGCCGCATCTAGTACAAGAAAACAAACAAGCTTATAATACTTAAAAAATTAAGATAAATAAAATAAGATAAGTTTATTTTAGCTTCGATGCGGAGCTGAGAGGCTATTGGTTTTTAATTACGAAGACACGGGATTGTGCAGAAGCGATAGAGAAAAATTGAATCCATAACCAGACCCCTATCGAAATAAAGGAATGGTAGAGCTGAAGGGGCAAAACAAATTGTAAATACTCCTCAATAAGACATACCTGAGTGTATTGTTAAAGCAATAACAATACAACAGAACATACAAATGAAACGCTGCATCGTAGTTTTTTTTTGTAATTAGTACAACTTTTGACAAACGAACAATGACGTTGAAAACTTCAGTATTAAACGAATGAAATAAAAGTATAAGAAGTCTTCAGACATCACTTGTATTTATATGGATTATTGCTTGTAAATAAAGTACTTAAAAACAAGATATATCTGTGTTTACTGTTTTCTCATGACGTTAAACGCACAGACGCGGAACACAAACCAATAAGTTTTTTTCATTTTTTTTTAATATTTACACTAAGTTTAAAATGTGTATGCAAAATGAAAAATAAACAAATAAATGTGTGAATTGTAGTTTGTTGAAAAACAACAACTCGATTAATATATTTATGAGAATTTAATAGTTTTCAATATGCAAATCGATTGGAAGTTAAGTTGCATTTATTCCAAATATTTTGTTGTAATTTTAATTTTTATATTATTATGTAAACTAATGTGCTAAAATTTACATGAATCATTTTTTTTCTGCTTCATATCCGTTTTAGAGTTTTTTCAGAAATACCTTATATCATACATTTTTATGATCCAACATTTTAGGTCATAAATGCTTTTTAAAATTGAATTTAAAGTTTGTTTTTTGTGAATTTTAATCCTTGCCCTGTAATAAAAAATAACTTGACAGTGCCAAAACTGTACCTGAAACTATTTTAGTAAAGCCAATCTTATTAGTTAAGCTTAAAAATTGAATATAGTTTAAGAGGACGTCACACACCCGTTATTTTCTTCAAAAAACCCGCCTAGCGCGAATTAATTTTACAAAGGCTGTAACCAAATCTAAGAAACTAAATTTTCACATATTATAGACAACAACATTGTTTATGCTCTACTATGGCCTTTTTTTTAAATATTTCAACGATTTAATGAATAATTAATTAATTAAGAAAGGACTTTTTTTACTTTTAAAAATGATATATACTTTACTCCTTAAAAATAGCCGGTGTGGCGTCCTCTTAACAGTAATACAATTGTAGACTACATTTAATTTAATTTTAAAGCCTAACTGGTGATGGCAGACATATTTACAATAACTTCTGTATAAATATCAGGGACTTAAAGATTAAATGGAACCGTTCTTCACTATTTAAAATAGAATCGACGAACCAACAAAAAGTCAAGTGGAAAAGAAATCACCAACTCTAATTTAAAATTTAAAATAACTGTGAACTTTATTTGTCCCGAGATACATATAATTATACTATTTGTTATTGATCTTATAGTTCACTGTTACTTTAAAACAGTTTCAGAGAAATGTTTAAAGTTAGACAAAACAGACCAATTTTTTCAGATTTGATAAATCAATACATTTGGGATGTACATGTAAACCACGTTAACCAACTATGAAATTTCTTATCCCTTTGTCAACAATTTTTTATAGTTCTTTAAAAATAAAAATGCAATTTTATAATATATTTATTTATTTTATATTTAATTATTTAAAAACCACCCGACGGCATAAGGTACAGTTTTCCATAAATACAATATAGAATAAACAATAATAAAATTAAACTACCAATACATAAACTAAATTAGAAGTTAGAACAGCTAAATTATAACAATTAAAATAAAGTACAAATCATAAAGAATTAATAAAAAGTTCTAAAAAATATGTATACAGTTTAAAACTATAAAAATGAAATGATAAACAGTTAGAGCATATCCCTTACAATGTTACTACTTGTGTACAAAAAAATCATAGTTATTGATATTAGCCCCGTGTATGGGGTGAAATAACTACAGTGCCCTATGGAATGTTGGACGATTTCTAGAGTAATAGAAACAGCTATACCTACCTATAAATTAAGCTATAAGTAGAAGTTAATACATTTATAAAATTACACATGTTTCTTCACAAGCTTTCAGGAATTGGGGTTGAAATGATTAAGGAGTAACGGAAAACGCCGAATTTTGTACAAATAAAGACTAAAACATGAAGTCACTTTCTGAAGTGTCTACTGAACCAAATTCAAAAAATTGTTTTAGTTTAGCATATTTTCTATGGGGGCCAAAAGGTCGAATTCTTATTTTTTGTTTTTAACATTTTACTATAAACGTTTATTTATTTTTACTTTATATATATATTTTTTCTAATAAATTTAACTTATTTACTAACAGCTAAATAAAAAATCGGCCTTTTAGCTCCCATAAAGAAAATAGTATGTTTTCCATAAACAAAATAAAAATTGAAATCCATCCAATAGATACACCGAAAAATGACTTTTACGAAAGCCATTTTTTGTCAAAACTAGGAGAAAAATAACTTTAAAAGTTGTATAGCTAGATAAGCTAACAAGATATAGTTTATACTTTGTACTAATTGTTATAATATAACTTGGTTATTAGTTGTTTCCCTGCAATATCAATTTTGAAGAGGTTATAAAAATTAAATGACAAGGTTCTTTTAATGGGCATATTCTGGTTTTAGATAATATTCTCAAAGTTAATTATAGCATACAAAAGTAAAGGAATTTGATTTTAAAACTAAACCGCATTTTAATGACAAATGTCACAATTCCAAATTTTAGTCGTACACCAATAACTTTGATACAATAAAAAAAAATGTAATTAGTAATATTTTCTCTAGTATTGATATAGAAATTAAGTGCTGTTTTTTTTTTATAAACAGAATAATATGTTTTTTCTTCTGCTAAACCAATACTCAAGTGCCATCTGTACCCCTCAATCCACCCATGCAATCATAATATGCAATCAATTGTGTTTAGGACAGTATACTAAAATTTTTTTTGAATTGTTTGTCTGTATGATGAATCGGTGTTAAATAAGCACACGTGAAATAAAAATCATGCTTTTTGTTTTTGCCTGAATAAAATATTTAAACAACGAATAAAAAAAAATAGGGACAGTTTACATTATAAGTAATACAGTTTTCTGGAACATAGGTAAACATTTTGTTTAGCCATAATGCGCACATTATAACATTTGTTTTTATTTTATTTAAAATATGTGAAAGGTTATGCGCACATAACATCAACCCAAAATCGTTTACTTGACCTAGTTTAATGTTTGTACAGGAGTACTATACGGATTTGAACACATTTCATCAAATACATGGTACGTCCATAACTCGACATGAAAAGGATATAGTAGACTAGTACCAAAACTATTACTTAGAAACATACTAGGTATTGAACAGTTCTAATAAAACAACTAATATTTGCATAACTATCGAGTCATTGCAGATGTGAAACGCAAACAGTGTTCGTTCATCAAGAAAGTAAATACATTTTTTGCAAAAACCTAAATAACATAATGGTCAAAAATTCAGAAAATAATTTTTGTTATTGCAATTTTGTAAACATTTAGCAAGTTATACAAAAAAATGTATTATTATTATTGAACGATTTATTTTTTGGTAGTTATATTAGTTATATATTTAGGCAAGCCGGTCAGTATTATCGATTTTCGACTATTTACTTTAAATGTTCATTGTATTATAATTGTGTTTATTATCTGTCCAATATTCAAGTCGCTATCGCAGAATAATTTTGATTTTATAGTCTGGCCTGCCTAAGCACGTACATTGAACAGATTTACGACCGAATATTTAATAATTCTAAATAGATAATTCGATGCATTATTAAAACTCAGAAACATAAATTGTCTAACAAGACAAACACTATCTAAACATTATATAATTTAAATGTTCATTAATCCCTTGGGAATCAATTTATCCCCGAATAAGTTAGGTGATTTCATGTAAAAGATAGACTTAGCTGTAGACTAATATCATAATTTTGAAAACCTTATTTTACGAGTTTTGCATTTATAATTTGTTTGTTGTACTTAAAATGTTTACAACTAAACATTTTTAAATATTTCCATTGGTTGGTCTTTATGTGTATTATTAAGAAGTAATACAAATATTCACATAAGTGTAAAATTTAAATCTTTTTTGTAATTTTAGCGTGAGCTACATTTAACAAAACAATTATACATCATCATAAATGTTAGCAAGAAAAAAAAGACTCACTTATAATATTTAACCGTTAATTTGAAAATGTATTTTTTATGCTAGTTGTTTCTTTTTTTAATTTTATTAATATCCATTATCTAACAATATCTTAAGATTTTGCTATCAGTTCTGTATTTCGATAATTGTGCCACCATTATTGTATATTAATAAATAATATAATTGTAATATCTGATTAGTCATATTTACGACTAACATTTGCCTTGTCGCAGTCATACGTGCTTTTCAAATTTTAAGTCATTAAATTTTGCGAGTATCATTGGTTTTATATTATATTTTATTATACGGCATACATATTTAGTTTTCATAAAATATTGTAGTAGTAAGTAAAACATTTTTATTTGTATACCTACCTTATTCAGTATGACGCAAAAAGTATAAATTGCAGAAATCAAAAAATAAAGTATACTCTTTCAAAATGAGTGAACATTTGTTTTACCATTTATATTCTACATAATTCCAAAGCAAATTGTGATATGTATTTTGTTTACTAACAAATTTTTTTATAAACAATTTATAGTCTTTACCTATTTAGTTGAGCGTTTTTTCAAGGTTTTAAAATTTGAAACAACATAAATTAAAAATATCAAAATTTGTACATACACGTATAGTAAAAAATAAGGAGGTTGCTAATTAAAATTTCGAAAATAGATTTTTTTGTGTGTCAAGAGTAAGTTGCAAATATATTACCATTGAAAAAATAAAAAAATATTACCAATTGACACAATGCGCATTGTGTATCAAGTAATCAGTACGGATTGCGAATATGTCTACAAAAAAAGCAACACAAAGCTTCACGACTATAAACTATGCTATTACAATTAAAATATTAAAAATGAATTATTAAAATTCCAACATTTGTTATATACCTACCAAATACCAACCAGACATTGTCTGTGCTCTACTATGGCCTTTTTTAAATATTTCAACCAGTTAATGAATAATTAATTAATTAAGAAAAGACTTTTATAAAAATGATATAGCGTCGGTTGTGTTAGGTGTATCGAAAAAATACGGATGCTGGAGCACAGATAATTTTGTCACATATAATATGTATGAATTTCTTTCCTTAACTATATGATGAAGCCTGGGAAAAATTAATCCGTGCAAAGCAGTTTTTGTGGGAAAAAAATTGTAATTTATCCTATAGAAATGACTGTGATAGTTTGACAAAAAAAAATGGCAATCAACAAAATATCCTCATTATTGTATTAATAAGTATATATTGTAGTTCAAACTCTAAATTAAGATTTTTCGAAAAATTGCCTATACATTACTCCTTAGAAATGGCCAGCGTAGGCCTTCATATTTGAACAAATCTTATATGACATTACAATTTATTCTGAATTACATGCAACTAATGTCAAATCAAGTTAAACCTTAACTCGCTTAATTTTTAAGAGGGCGCCTTATCTCCATTTATTAAGGAGTAAGGTATAGGCAAATGATTACAAAGTCTTAACTTAAAGGTACCTACTGTGTAATTATTGGTTCAGTAACTAGGACTCCTTTTTGGTATTTTTCGGACTATTACAACATCATTGACAGCGATTTAAAACATGTTTTCATCTGAACATAGCTACGCATATTATTCTTTATTATTGAAGAAATAGTTATAATAATTATTATAATAATAATAATAACTATTGTTATAATAATCGTAGACTATTTTTTTAATTATTCAAAATAATAAGAACTGTATCTACTATTGCTGACCCAATATTTACAATTAATATTTCTAAAAAAAAATTTAGGTACATGAAAATCTATATAAAGTTCTTCTCTTTTTAACGACTTCAACGTTTTTTTTCTATGGCCATTTTGCTTTGATCTAAAAGCTTTTCCATAAACACATCTTTACGATTATTTTTCAAAAGGTATGCCGTCCTCTTAAACGATAGAAGTTGGCTATTCACATAAATACGGATTATCTATACCTACATTTATTTGATTTCTATAAGGTCTAACAAACACATAAACACCAAGGAAAGTTTTCTAATATTTTGTACTCTAGTTATTTTTATTATAGTTAATCCGTCCTGATGAAAAAATAGAAAAATATTTGAAACAAATAGTTAGCTATTTTTTTAAACTGTCCTATTTTTTTGGTAGTACAAAATTAATTAATTCGGTTTAACAATTGTTTTCCAGATTTTTAGATTTAATTGCTTATCTAAATAAAACAATCCAATTATTTTTTTTAAATAAACAATAAAATTAATTACGGTCATTATTAATTACTTTCATTATAATTCGTATATGTTATATTGTTTGATTATGTTAAAAAAAAAAACGTTTAAAAAAATAGATAAAAATTTTATATTGTTGACCGATTTACAAGATTATCCATTTATAAAATATAACCAGGAACGTGTAAAATTCGAAAGTCTAAAAAGTAATAAAACCGACGTCAAATAAACTAGTTATTGCTTTGTTAACGCTAATTGTTTACTGTTCGTAAACACGATAATGTCGAATAATTATAATAATAGTCATTTTGGATGTTGGTAATCCGTTTTTCCTGAAAGGTAACGTTATTATAGGTACTATACACGCGATAAAATGGTTAAAACAAGTATCCAATTAAAACACCATTGAGAAGAAGAATGAGTTTGTAGTATTTATCCATAGGTACATAATATAGTAGCTTAGTAGTTGGTATAATATATTATAGTCCATTCTATCGATTTGAAAAAATGTCGATAAGGTCTTACGGTCTTGATTAATAGGGTTAAATTCCCGCCCTCCTCCTCCCTCCCACTGGATCCGGCCCTGAAACTACCTATATGAATAATAAATTATACTCAACATAATAGTGTCTATTCACGAATCAAAAAAATTTAATTAACAGTTATTATTTTAGGATAATTTATACCAAAGAAAATTACCAATAACACTTCTGGCGATCTTGATTTTCGTTTGTTTTTTTTTAATATTCCTATTATATGTAATATCTATAATATCTAATTACAAACTGTCAACATACCTCTATATTTTATTGTAGTATACAATAACTTAACGGGACGCGCGGAGAAAATATAAAACATAGACATACATTTTAATATACCTGTATACATGTAATATTTTACATTTTTGTATAGAATTATATGTAATATATATATATATATATATATATATAATACATATAATATATATATAAATACATACATAGTATACCGTATGGATAATATATTATCATGATGTGTTACCTATATTCCAGAGAGGGTAGTGCCCGTTCCACCTGTTACGCTGACCGCCCAGGGCAATCCAATCGGTTGTGGGATGATAATTTATGGTCGAATGGGTAATACACACATAATATATATATATATATATATACGCATCTTTATAATATTGTACACTATAGGTAGGTATTTGGTCCAGGTAAACTGGTCGGCTCTTCATCCCGACAGGCGACAACAATAACGACCGGCGACCGCCACTGCCGCCATTGGCGTTTCGTTATCGCCGTCGCATGCTCGTTTGTTTACACTCTGGACGTTGATAAGAACACTGTTAAATTTTTGTATTATTGTTTTTTTTTGTTTGTCACCAACGGCCGTTCGGTTACGCCGTTTTCGAAGTTTAGAACTGAAAAAAAAAGCCCAACAATCGTTATGCAACACTCGTTCGGTTTGTGACACGAGAAGTTGTCCGTTTGTCCAAGTCGCCGGTCATTGTATGAACCTGAGAGGAAGTCTCGAGTCGCTGATACGACGTCTTTGAAAACCTACCAAACTTGAAGATATCGTTCCAAAGTCTAAATCGACATTATGATGTCTCCTCCGGTCCAGCGATTTGCCAAGTTCAAGCCAAGGAAGCCATTACGCTCGCACTTGGCACGAGACTGACATCGATCAGGCCCCGCCAGGCCGTCGATATTCAAATCGTTTCTTGCCATCGACATTTGCCATTACTGATAATGCTCTAGAATGATATTATTATGCATTATACCAGTATTGTTGAATTTATCATTTGTTTTCGGTAAGCATTAGGTGTTCGACAATTATCACATTTATATGAAGCGATAGAAATATGAAATCATCACCCATCAGCATTGTATCTTTTCGGTTAAAAAACCTTAATAATAAGCTATAAGTAATTTTTCACATCCAATCTAATAAGTGTCATTATTTTGTTGTTTAAAAATTTGCTCTTTTAAAGTTAATGGTTAAAACATAGATTATAGATTGTTATAAGCTATTTTTAAATTGTTAAACGTTTAAGTAGAAAAATTCTTTAACTAGACAGGTGAAGGTTTTATAAATGTTTTAATCGCTTTATATAAAAGAAATATAAAATATTTATTAGTTTGGCTGGTAGTTGCACAGGTAAAATGCTGAGATATTGAATTTTTTTAATAAAGTTTATTTGGTTCTTTTGTTTTGATTTTTTTTAATTTGGTTATTCATTAATATTTTATTAATACAATATAATATAATTAAAATTTCAAATTTTTATAAAGTTAAACATGTAGGATTTATGTTATACATGTTATTTTTTTTAGATTTAAATGTTATAAGCATATTAATAATGTTTTGTATTTAAATTTAAATTTTTTACTTGGTATTTTTACCTTAAAAAATTAATATAATACTTTATTTATTTATACTTTTCAATAATCATACATTAGAATATTTCTTATATTTTCAATGTATTAAGTTTCAAAATATTTTGATCATTAGACCCACAGCTAATAATTTGTCATTACATTGAAATTATAATTTAAAATAATTAGTTTTTATAGTTGATAATAGATATAGTAGAGTAATAAGATAAAAAAAACAATTTTATAGATGGAGATTACCTAAGGGCTATGGTATGAACGAATTTGGTAGAATAGTATACACATTAGCCAATTAAAGTAGATGAGCTAAGTTTTAAAATAAACATTTTTTTGGCTTTTTATATCTGGTTACCATAATTATGAATCAATTTTGAAAATGTTACCAAAAACAAATGGGAACAAAATTAAATTATTTTTGTTCCGCATTTCAATTTAGTAATATTATCAATGTAATTTTTGCCAGCTTTGCTTTGTATTAAGTTTAATTTGTATAATAATAGTTAAAGTTATATGAAGTCATTTTTTCTGTGTATTTTTAGGGTATCCAAATTTAATATACACGACCAAGAAGGATATCCGTACGGCTAATATGTCTAAAATTAATAATAAAATAAATATTATTGTTAATGTAAGTACATATATTGAAGTGAAAAAAATTAATTTAATGGAATTAATTGCGCTGTATCTGAATTGCAGGACTTATCAGAAGGTGTTGCAATTGATTTCTATTACAAAGGTTCGCTGATTTGTTGGACAGATCATGGACAAGAATCTATCCAATGTGTTACTTTCAATGGAACTCACGTTAATAACAGGGTAAAATACAATTTAATAGGATAAAATTAATTAATTTGATTTTTTTTAACAACTGAAAATGTTTAAAACGTTTAGGTTTTTTTTACAAATAAATTACCATTCATTATTATAATATATATCACAACATTTTTGTCGGTTTCTCTAACAGGTAGCAATTTTAAATTCTGGTATCCTAACACCTGACGGGTTAGCTATTGATTGGTTGACTAAAAAAATATATTGGTCCGATGGAGATACAAATAAAATTGAAGTAGCATCCTTAGATGGTAAACTTCGTAAGGTGCTATACTGGGAAGATATCGACCAACCTCGTTCTATAGCTTTAGTTCCTATGGATGGGTATGTATTATTGAAAATAGTAAACTTTGATTACAATTTCACTAATGGTTGGGCACTTGTATTATTAATGTTGTTTGTTATTATTTATAGCATAATGTTTTGGACTGATTGGGGAGAAGTACCCAAAATCGAACGAGCCGGAATGAATGGCGATTTGTCGACACGCAAAGTGATAGTTAGTGATAACAAGATATTTTGGCCAAATGGATTGACAATAGACTTCCAAAACCGACAGGTCTACTGGGTCGATGGAAAACTTGGATTTATCGATGTTAGTATCTTCGATCTTAGTAGCATTGTTGATGATTTTTAAGATTTGTATTCAATTTTAACATGACTTCAATGTATGTATTACAGGTGATGGACTTTGACGGGAGAAACAGAAAGACTATTCTTGAGAAAGGCATACCGTATCCGTTTGGTATTGCTTTGTATCAAGATAAACTATATTGGACGGACTGGAACACATGGTTTGTTTGATTAAAACACTTTTTAATTCTATCCTTATACCTGTCGCTAGCTTAAATGTTAACGTAGATAATTAGTTAACTTATTAAATTAAGAAAAATTTGTTGAAAATGTTGACTGATCGATAACCAGTTTTGGATAATTAATTTTGAAGTTATTAAAGTTAGAATTTGAGTATTGCCTAATGTTGTAATATAACTTAAACTATAGTGTCTATAAAAAAAAAAAACTACCATGGTGCAAATATTTTAAAAGAAAATTAATGTCATCCTTAATAAATCACTCTGTATTTACTACTACTATAAAACTGTCATAAATTGTATACAAACCGAGCAAAATATTCAGTTACTGATTGTTTCAATTGTGTCCTATTTGATTTCATCAAATCTATTCTATTCACAGACTCATAAAAAGTTAATTTTACAACATAAATCTAATAAAAGTTTTACTGTAAATATTGCCCTTGTAAGTTTGTTCCCCACAAAAGAGTTTTGATGGGGAAAAAAAATTGTAATTAACATAGAATCTATTATTAACATAGAATATGTTAATTATAGATTTTATAACATAATCAAAATTGTTTTATGTACATTTCGACACAATCACTTATGAAATAATTATCTAGTATTAATAGCAAATACTTAAAATCACTTAAAAAGTAATAAATAATTTTTATTTTATTTTCCATAGGTCGATTAATGTAGCTGATCGTAAGGGAGGAGGCAGCCGTGAATTAATCCATAGCAATTTAGCGCCGATGGATATTAGAGTTTGGGATCCTGTACGACAGCCAGACAAACTTACTCCGTGCGATAAAAACAATGGTGGATGTTCAGACTTGTGTCTGTTAGCGCCCAGTTCTCCTGGATACTCGTGCGCTTGTCCTACAGGAATCAAACTTGTTGATCATCACAACTGTGACGATGGTTTGTTGTATACAGTCTATCAAATTCAAACAGATTTTTTTTTTAAAATATTTTTTATATTTTAGGTGTTCAAGAATTGCTCTTAGTTGTTCAAAAAACTGAAATTGGCCAAATATCATTAGACTCTCCAGATCATTCAATAATGACCATACCCCTTTCTGCCTTAGCTCACGCTATCGCTATCGATTACGATCCTGTGGAAGGCTACATTTATTGGACTGATGATGAAGTACAAAGAATATGTTTTAAAATTAAACATTTAAAACATACACGTTACGAGTTTTAATTATGAATATTGTTTTTAGAACAAAATGATTCAACGAGCGAAAATAAATGGTAGTAGCCAAGAAGTCGTTTTGTCTAATGAAGTAGATCATCCTGACGGAATAGCAGTTGATTGGGCCGCTCGTAATATTTACTGGACCGACACTGGGACAGACCGAATTGAAGTTGCTAGATTAAATGGAAAACATCGAAGGGTAATATTTTTCTTTTCAAATTATACATTAGGTATATGTATATATATATATATATATTATTTAATACTCCTATTGTTTTGACATAGGTGATTATTGCTAATGATTTGGTCGAGCCTCGAGGAATTGCCGTAGCACCAGAGCTTGGTTGGCTTTTTTGGTCAGACTGGTTTGAAAGGCGGCCCAAAATCGAACGTTCCAATTTCGACGGAAGTGACAGAATGATTCTTGTCACAGAAGATCTTGGATGGCCCAACGGTATTACTTTGGACGTAAAATCGAAAAATCTCTATTTCTGCGATGCTAAAACTGATAGGATTGAAGTAAGCTGGTTGTAGTACTATCTTATGTTTCATTAATATTTTCTTAATTTCAATATTTTATCATAGTTAACGTAATAACATTTTGGTTTTGCAGGTAGTTAATATGAACGGTGAAAATCGCCGAGAACTAGTAAATGAAAACTTACCACATGTTTTCGGAATAACTTTAATGGGTGATTACCTGTATTGGACCGATTGGCAACGACGGGCCATTGACAGGGTTAATAAAAACACCGGATCAGATCGCACAGTTATTATAGATCAATTGCCTAACTTAATGGGAGTAAAAGCTGTAAACCATAAGGATCCATTGACTTTCAACCCGTGTTATGACAACAATGGAAACTGTAGCCACTTATGTTTTTATAAACCTAAAGGAGACTACAGTTGTGCTTGTGAAATAGGTAATTATAATCGGCAACAGTTATTATTTTTAAAGATTATCTGTATATTTTGTACATAACCACACATTGTTCATTTTGCTTCTTTGTTTGAGATTAGAATACGAATTGGCCTCAGATGGAAAGACGTGCATATTGCCTAAAGCGTTTTTAGTGTATTCGAGAGACGATCATATTGGTTTGTTAAGTATTGAAAATACCCAGTACACCGATACCATTCCTGTAACCGGTTTGAAAGGAGTTAGGTAAAAACCAAGTCTATTTTGTTTCTGTTAGAGTGTACATTTTTTTTTAAGTTGTTTTGTTTTATATGTTAATTGTTGTTTTTTATTGTCAAGTGCTGTTGATATTGATGTATTAAACAAACGAGTTTATTGGGCAGATATCAAATTAAAAACAATAAATAGAGTATTCCTTAACGGATCAACGCCAGAAAGGATAATAGAGTTCGGTCTTCAATCTCCTGAAGGTATTCTATTAGAGATTTTTATTTCTAGTAAAAACACTGATGTAAGGTGAAATTTGAAAATAAAATGCTGTACTTAATGTTGTACATAATCAGACATGAGTGCTATTAAAAGTGCACGAGAAAAAATGCATTAGCAACATCTGAATTATTTCATAAAACAGATGTTTATAATATGTTATGTTAAACAAAACAAGTAATATTTACTGTTATTTCTTTATTTTATAGGTTTGGCCGTTGATTGGATTGGCGGTAATTTATACTGGTGTGATTCTGGTACAAGAAGAATCGAAGTCGCTAGACTAGACGGAAATATGCGCAAAGTACTGCTATGGAATGATATAAAAGACCCTAAAAATTTACTACTCGATCCCAAAAAAGGGTAAGTTTAATGACAATTTCCAACAATTGAACGTTGTAGTCTGTTAAATGGCAAATAACAACATTTTAGATTTATGTACTGGAGCGAGTACGACGGAATTACTGGTTCTATTCACAAGTCTTCAATGGACGGCGAAGGAAAACAGTGTTTAGTCAATAAAATAGGAAAAGTCATGAGTATAACGACAGATTACGATCACGGACTAATTTATTGGACTACTTTGACACCAAGTAGTGGATCTGTGGAAAGTATTGACTTAGAAGGAAAACGACAGAATAAAATAGCGACTGTTACATACGGATATCCATCGGCTATTACATATTTTAATGTAATGTATAATTCTGCTTTGCACGATAGTTTGTAGCTTATGTTAAAAATGATTGTAGGGTTTTTTATATTGGTTCGACTGGACAAATGGGTCATTTTTCCAAAACAATATTCACAGTGGAGAAACCGTGGAGAAACAAAACAAAGTTTATTTGAATAACGTTACTGATTTGATTACTTACGACAAACAAAGCCAAACTGGAACGAATCCGTGCGTAGACAACAATGGAGGTTGTCAGCAGTTGTGCCTCGTAAAAGGTTCTTCGGAAAGCCATGTTCCAATGACTTATCACTGCTCATGTGAAACCCACTTTACTCTGTTTAAAAACAACACTTGTCTGGGTATGTGTTTTATTATATTTGCTCAACGATAAAGAGTCATCAATTCACTGTTAAAACCCCCCACATTTGTGTATAAGTGTTTTATCTGCCAAATACAAAGCAACCCTTTCAGACCTGACTTTTTTTCTGTTTGTTTACAAAACTTTTTACTAATTTTTTTCTTTATCAACATTATCAAATTTGGCTACGTAGCAATTTTCAGAACAAATATAAATCTACTTTAAAAATTGATAGGTATAGTACTACAAAAACCGATAAAAATGGTTTTGGTAGAAATTCAACTATATGTGTTTTGGTGACTGTTTCACGGTTCTGACACTAAAACTATTCAAACTAATCATTCAAAACATAATCGAAACAATTTTTAAATTCTATTTTAGCCCCAAATAGTTTTTTAATTGTGGCTCAGAAAACAACATTTTATCGAGTAGTCATGGACATTGAAGACTCTTCGGATTCGTCGCTTCCTGTAATTGGATTGAAACATGTCAAAGCTGTCGAATACGATCCGATATCTCACATGATTTATTGGGTATCTTAATAATATTTTATAATACATTTTTAACAGTGTTTTTTTATTGATAATCTTTTTGGCTGTTCAGATTGATAGTCGTACCCAATCGATTAAACGATGTCACGAAAACGGTTCGAATCCAAACACGTTTATAAAAAACAACGGAAATACATTCGATTTATATGATCTTGCGTTGGATCCATACAATAGACTACTGTTCTGGTCGTGTTCAGTAACAGACACTGTTAACGTTACTCGGTTGACAAACAGCAGCTTTCAAGGTTCAATATTCAAAGCTTTCGACGGAGAAAAGCCACGAAATTTGGCTATACATCCAGAAAAAGGGTATAGGAATATTGACATGAAAGATTCAAATTAATAAACTTAATAATACGATTGTAATTTTTATTTTTTTTTTTTTTTTAGGTATATATATTGGACGGATCTAGGAAGTCAACACAGAGTAATTCGCTCTCGAATTGATGGTCAGCAGAAGGTCATTATTGCATCGGATTTATTATCACTTGAATCGCTTACCATCGACAGGGTAAAGAACATGGTGTATTTTTCATATTCCAGTAAAATTGATGTGTGCGATATCCATGGCTATCAAAGGTAAAAGTATTTATTAAAAAAAAAAAACATATCAAACATATTTTAACACGTGCTTTAATTGAAAACAGGCGAACATTGATATCATTCGATGGTAGTCAAATAACCAATATAGCCGTACTTGGTCCATATTTGTATTGGATAGACAAGGAAAAAGAAGTAATCGAAAGAGTTAACAAAACAACCGGTGTTTTCAACGAAGCAGGCAGTACTGTAATGAATGAAACACCACAGTTGGTCGATATTATCTCGATATATATTCCTTCTCCAGAGGTAAAGTGAAAAACATGTGTTTAAAATTGCTTTTCGAGTACCTGTTGTTTGTCGGATTCACTGTCACAACAGAATTGGACGGAAGTTGTGTAAAATGGTTAAAGTGTAATTTTCCTTTATATTTTTTAATGTTTTTCATAAAATGAATACAATTTGTTTGGAAAGTTGTATATGTTATAGCCCTGGTCTAGATCTACCTTTAGTCTAATTTTCAGAACTTAAACCCAAAAAATATACCTATAAGAGAGAAAAAATAAATTTCAACTCCTAGAGGAATAAACTTATAGATCAAAAATCATACCTTAAAAATACTTTATTAAGTCAAAAATTCAAAAAAAATTCACCCCTATCTTTTCGAAATTGAGAAAAATAACCTAATTTTTTAACTGAATTACGGAGCGATATAACTTTTTTAAAAATAATAAAAATTAGTTCTAAATATGTATGAAATATTCTTTAGATATACTATTATCTACACTATATATTTTGACAAAATAAAAAAAAATACCAAATACCCTTTTTCTCAAAAGGGGTAGAATTGTAGAAACTTTTCTTTATTTTCGTTTTTTTAGGTGTAGTTTTAGATCTGAAACTTAAACTGAAGATTTTTTCAAAAATCTGAAATCAAAGTTTTTTTTTATTATGGAAAAAACAAAAAAAGGGGGCAAATCGCAGTTTACCGTTATGAATTTCCAGGTTGCCATGTGTGAATCAGTGAACGAATATCAACAGGCAACAGATATTTGATAATATTTTTATTATATATTGTTAATTACAATGTATAGGTAACAATTGCAAAAATTATTATAGACCCTATAAACTCTAATCATATTCTCTCTAATACTGAAAATACAAATTTAATCACATTTTTGTCTTTACAATGCCTTTATTCGCATTTCTACCATCTACATACATGCATCGAAGCGTTTATTTAATTTTATCACTTTCAGTTGTAATAGTTGAGTAAATTTAAATTACAATCTGTAAAGAAAATAGTATAAGTACGATTGTTTTCAAGTACCTACATTATTTTTAAATAAAATGACAAAAACGCAGAAAAGTAAACTAAAATCAAATCATTGTGATCAAACATGTTATTTAGTTTTCTCTTAAACTATAGCCATTAATATACTTAGTAATTATATATATATATTATGTATGTATGTCTGTTTTTAATTAGAATCTGGCTTCACATCCATGCAGTGCGATGAACAAATACGGGCACTGTTCTCATTTTTGCGTTGTGACCGCCGTCAATGAGAGCATTTCCAACGATTACGAGTGCTCTTGTCCCCTAGGCTTGATTATGAGCGACCGGCAATGTGTCAGCGTACCAGTGTGCGGTCCTGAACAGTTTATTTGTAACTCACTGAGTGCCGAATGCATGCCGCTAATATGGCGATGCGATGGCCAAACGGATTGTCAGGACGGATCCGATGAAGTCAACTGTTCTGAATGTAACAGACACCAGTTCAAATGTCTCGATGGACATTGTATAGGTTGGTACAACCAGAGTTTGTGTACATTTTTTTTTTTTTTTAGAAAGATTTGTTAAATCATAAACTTGTCTATTGTTACAGACAAGAATTGGGTGTGTGACGGTAACAGACAATGTGCTGACGGCTCGGACGAATCTCGTTGTTGTGAAGTCGGATCGCTGACCAACGATCGTTTCCAATGTATTTCAAACGGCCTTTGCATATTAGCCAAAGAAGTGTGTGATGGATGGAAACATTGCGTCGATGGATCAGACGAAACGTTCTTGGCGTGTTCAATGATAAAAAACCTGGGCTATAATGTTAACCTCGCTGGCGACAAGTCATTTAAGGGCACATTGTTCTTCACCGTCATATTCTTCATCTTGATATTCATTGTGCTGTTAATTGTCATATATCGCTGTGCTAAAAGGTAAATATTCATATAATAATTTAGTTAAACAAAATTTGATCAACACCGTTTATTTTTTCAAAGTGACCCTGAAAACACGCCCAGCCCGTCAAACAACAATCTAGTTACGTACACTGCCATACCCGTGCCGAGAGTGTTCGCTTCAGTATCGGCTTACACTTCAATACAAAACGGCACGCACAAAGATTTAATTTCACCGTCAAACTGTAGTCCGTTGAATCCACCTCCGAGTCCTACCACAACATTGACCATCCAGACGAGCGATTACTTGAGGAGTAATCAATATTTGCACTACAACGACCGTTATGAGCCGCCGTGTCCGACACTTTGTTCTCAAACTGACCTACCAACAGACATGTACGACGATTCAGATTTCGCGTTGCCTATCGAACCTAGCCCGCCTCCGCCTTCTCCGCGGTCTCATTCGCCTTCGTCGAGCACTTATTTCAGTCCAAATCCACCACCGCCGTCGCCCAACAGTAGTCAAAAACATTGATTTAAGTGAAGAAATATTGATAATTTATTGTTATGATGTTTATAATTTTTGATAATATTTCAATATATTTCTGTTGCGTACCTTTCGACAAAGTACGTGATACAGGAGGAGGATACCTTACCTACCTCAATTGATGTGCGACTGGCATCACAAAACAATTACTGACAAAATTGATGAGCTCTAAAAAATGATATTTATTCGTTACAGTGCAATGTATTTTACGATTCTCATGTTGTTAAGACTTTGATAATGTACAGGACTATTGGTTACTTATACCAGTATATGTAAAATAAAATAGACAACATTTTGATAGTTATTTATTATTATGCCAATTATATGTATTAGTATATTTTAATAAAAATAAATTATTTTAACAAAAACTGAGTAATTGACATAACAATTAATCAATTAACAAGAAAATATAAGTGTGTGGTTTTGAATAAAAACAAACAAAAAAAAAATACAATTTTGTTATCTAATAAGAGATTTTCAGTTTTACAAGAAGTGGTTTCAAAAAAAAAAAATACAATAAAATAACAAATTTTTTAAATATATTAAATCGTGTTAATAAATATAACAGATTGCTTTTGAAGTTAACTTAATGACTCGTAATCTCTGAAAGCTCCGCCAGCTGAAACGAAATTAAAATTCTCATGAAAAATATTTGTATACAAAAGTTTCTGGCGCTATGAGCCTCGATTGCAAAGGTTGAATTGAGGCTCATAGTGCCAGAAACCTTAACCCACAAACCTATTAGTTTGAGAATAAGTAAATTATAATTTTTTGTTAATTCCAAGAAAATGAAGTTTTGCCATTTAGCGGATAGTTTTTTTGTTTTGGTTGGGTCAGGTTGGTTTTGAAATATTAATATATTGGTCTAAAACGTTTAATGCAATAAAACGAAATTAGTTTTTTTTATGAATTTAGCTTATCTGGTGCTATGTGCAGTTTTTCTTCTTGTTCACCTTACTGTATGCAATGGGATAGGCCAGCACTCTCTCTCATCATCTTTAGGAATGGGACTTTTGAAAACCGGATTTTCAAAAAAAAAAAAAAAAACCTTGTAAAATATTAACAAAACAAAACCCAATTTGTTTAATAGATTAATTTAAAGTTTAAAGATGATTTAAACATTCTCGACAAGTATTTTTAATCTCAACATATAACTTGCATTTATATCGGGTGCCTATTTTTTAGACTTAGTAACTATAGAGAACGTTTTATTTTTTTATTCGGATTTTTTGTGGTCCTACCATATTCACTTAACTTCCTTTTATGTACTAAATAGATTCTATAAAATATTATCAATGTATATAACATAAATACATCAATACATAAAGATTGTACACATCTATCCGCACATCCATTTCGACATTCTCATTAAGTTAGGTTTCGCCTCTGTACATGAAGAAGGGGAACTTTGGTAAGGAAACTGACGATAAAAAATAAAGAGTTGAACCATTTTTATTGCCCAAGAAACGCATTACTTTGTTGACATGTTTTCTGTTTGTTTTAATCAATAGTCTATAGCTGTTACCGTTGTCCTCGTCTTACCAAAGTTTCCCCTATTTAATATTACAAATCGTTCGTATTTTAAAGTTTTATCCAATCGAGAATAGCACACGACCGTTTTCCATCATACCTCGCGCTCTTCGTCGATGTCTTCTTCGTCCGATCCGTGTACAGAGGCCCCTGGCGTGGTGGGTCTACTGCTCATCGGCGATGGCGGTTCAGAGTACGGACGAGGGTAGTTGTACCGGCCTCTCGAGGCCTGGGTGATGCACAGCTCCTCGGTTTCTTTGTCGAACATGTCCGGGAACACTTGGCACAGCGCTTTTAGTCTGGCCTGCCGATAGTACTGCGGGAAAACAAACGGAAAAAACCCGTCAAAACCATTCGCAGCATTGCAACGCCCCACCCCCCCCCCAAAAAAAAACCACTCACGATGCCCAAATTGCGCCAGTCCAGCAAATCGCTGAGCCTCTCGTTCCGGTTACGTTGGATGACCCTCTGCCGGCGGCTCAACCGAGCAAAATCGTACATGTACTGGGCCAGTTGTCTGACCGAATCTTCCACGCTGATGTTCTGCCGGTCGACGATGTAAATCCCGTAGCTCAGCGGGTCGGCTATGTGTTGACCCATGAAACAGCCGAACCCTATAGTAGGACCACCAATGCAAATGCTAATCAAAATATATATTATGTTCGTGTAGAGCACCGCGTGGATGGACACAAACGAGAGGTGTACAGGGGAGACGTAAGATGTGTGTAGGCGTACCTGACAGGTTTGTGGTTATGGACGGTATGCCCATGACGGTGCATTCTGCGGGCGTGTAACCCCAAGGCTCGTAGTAGCTGGGAAACACTCCCAAGTGGCATCCGCGAACAAACTCCTCGTAGTCCAGACCGAACAGCGGGTTGGTAGAGGACAAAAACTCCGGATGGAACACGATCTGCAACAGCCGAGGAACGCGCAAAACGGTTAGGAACACCGGTAAAGTAAAAATGTAAACACCGGTGTAAGACAATTTGTATTCATGTTGTTTAAGATAAAATATATAGTATATAGTATTATATAGTATATATATATATATTACTGTATTACCTATATAGTATTGGTCGTAAATTAAGATTAAATATTCGTTAGTAAAAAAGCTTTAGCTAATTATTATTTTATGTTAGAAATTTACAAGCGTATTTTATCGCATCCGCTACACACGTTTTAAGTACCTATTTTAATGTGTGTAGGTACAACGGTGTACATGTATACATGTATAAACAGATAAACTAATTGGTAAACTAACTGTGAATAGATAAACTAGTCGTCATACCCAACATGTATAAACAGATAAACTAATTGGTAAACTAACTGTGAATAGATAAACTAGTCGTCATACCCAACATGTATAAACAGATAAACTAATTGGTAAACTAACTGTGAATAGATAAACTAGTCGTCAACCCACAAAATTAATTATGGTTAACGTTTGAATAACAACGGATCGGTTAAACATGGAGAGTTAGTATAAAATTATGGTGCCGGTGAGGATAAAGGAAGGGAGGGCGTGAAGGACGTTGGGTGTGCGGTTAAAAAAGCATATTTAAAAAAAAGGAAAAATTGACAAAAAAATTTGAGGGCCTTTGACAATGCCGGGGAGGGACACAGCGTAACGTACTGGGGACTTTCAGAGATCTATCGGTGGATTGTTGGATCATCCACCGCTTTTCGTCTCGGATGAAAGATTTCAACTGCATCACTGCGGTGTCGACGGGCATCGGGAGAGCACTGGATGACGTGTAGTGGTAACAGTGATGAGCGGCCGGGCATTTAAATTCCGCGCAGAGTACTGTGAAACGGCTCTGCGCGAAGGGGGGCACACCCTATTGTTGAGAGGGTGGACTTTTTGTCGATCGATGCCTCGGAAGTCCCCTCCCACTACGTACCTATTCTACCCCCACAGAAGGGGTAGGACAGTGTAGAGTTCTCACCTTATGGTGATGCTGGTACGTACAACTGCAAGCCCGGAAGTGCTCTAATACAGCACTGGCCCGTTGATGGCCGTTCACCGCGTCTCCCTGTATATACTTCGCAGCCGGCCGGAAACGATTTTCTGGGTTTAGCGACACAGCCACGCGATTCAACCATTCAACCCTCGCCGACTACCTACGGTGTTTGCCGCACAGATAGCGCACGTTTTATCCCTGCGTCGACTACATTGTGCTAGCGTCGAAAAACGGAGAAAAATCACAACCCTATTTTTTTAAGCAGAATACCGCAGTTCTTAGAATAAAATACAATTCAAATTTAAAACAAATCGTCAAAAAATACCAAAAAAAGTCAGCACAGTGAGGGGTCGGACCATAGTGGTGTCGGAGAGGTTGCAGGTTTTTCATTTTTTTTTTTATTATTAATAAACGTTTTAAAAATAAATCTTTAGATGATAGAATATACATAATACACGCAATGTATATTATAAATCATACAATTTTACAAAATTACTATTCCGATGTAGTCGAAATGATGTTAAACTGTTAGAAAAGTAAAAACAATTAACCAGGGTTCAGACTTTAAATTTGTCGAATAATGTATGTGGATTGTGGAAATACTTTTATTATTTTAAAGGCACTATTCTATAAACTTTTGTTCCAAGCATTCGATGGTTCGATAATAATGTATACAACAATAATTAACTATTGATAGTATTTATTGTTTTAAAATTATGGTAGATTAAAATTTAATGCTAGGTTACACAACAAAACTTTATTGGTTCCATAAACCGCGGTTCAACCAATCAGCGCTCAAAAATAAAAGGGGGTTTTTGTACCAATAAAGTTGTATGCAATTCAAAAACTGATGTTTTAATGTTATTTTGAATACTTAATGTGAAACAGGAAATATATTGATAGGATTAACATTCAGTGTTTTATATTTTTTATTGATTATTACAAATCGAATGTTGCTTCTCTTTTATAATTAAAGATATGACTAAATGTGAAATAAAAATTAAGTAAAATTATGTATATTTTATAAATTTAGAGTTACACCACTTTTACAATAAACGACACATATAATGGTATACAAAGCTAGTGTTTTCTTTTATGTTTCGATTCACAATAACAATTTAACTTTAATTAACTTTAACTTTAATTCCAACATAACAATTATACAATATTTACCTTATTATACGAATACGAAACGTTTAACAAACAAAAATGTACCAGGAATATATTATTCGAGCAGACATTCGAGTAGCGACGAGCAGGTAATGTCAAACAGCAAACTACGAACATACGACCCTGGTACCGTTTCACTTCACTCGGTGGAAGCACACTACAGTCATGTGTTCGTCGAGTCCGCAATTTTAAACTAACTTTTTTCAATTATTTTTGGGGGTAAGGATTTTTTTTTTACAACAGTCGACCGTTGCGTATAATATATATAATATAATTCTCAATTTTACGACATGGCAAAAAAAATCAATAACTATGACCAGGCAAAACCTTTCCAAATATTTGCCTGCAATCAATCTGAAGATAACTCAGACGTGAAGTACTTTTTTTTATTCCCCTGGTTGTTCGACGTGACGGTTTCCAAGTTTTTTTTAACGAAAATTGAGCGATAAGCAATGCAGTAAAATCTCCACAGTATTTTTTGGCTCGTTCGATTTGGTCGAATAAAGAGATTATTCGGATAATGTAGTTATTGTTCGTTATTCGAATAAAAAATGCCCACTCTGCCTGTGATTCTGTGTTTTTGCGTGTGGCGAAGAAAATGTCTGGTCTTTTTTACTAAAACCATAGGCCAGTCTACATAAAACCTACCTTGACTTTGTCTGCGGTGGTGTTGAACAATTTGCATCTTCTGATCGTGTTGAGTACCGGATCACTCCAGTCGTTTATAACGTTGTGAGTGGTCACGGGCGGCAAATCGTCCCTTTGTAGAGCGTACAAACACCGTTTCAACCGCACCGTGTCTTCTTTGGTTAACAACTCGTCCTCGGCAGGCATTCGGCCCCTGTACATAAAATATAAACAAAAGCCATTACCAAAAAGTAGAGATCAAAGTTGCACAGACGTCAGTTAGAGGAATGACTAGAATGGATACCGAAGAAATGGGACCCAGTATTATTTTTGAGAATTTTAATATATTAATTACTATTACTAGTATATAAATGTCCTTAAAAATTATTTCAATTGTTCTTAAAATAAAAACTACACAAAGAAATCATTAATTTGTAATTTTTATGCTTGACTTTTTATATTTTATGTAAGACTGGAGAAGCTGCTTAACTGGGAAAGTCATAGCGGCATCCACGGGTCCAGGAGAGGTTTGAGGTTCCCCTCCCCTGAAATTTCTTAATTATTTTCTATAAAGACTGTATGTAATTATGTTAGAAAAGAGCAGGATATCCATGTGTAGAAAACATTGAAACCATCATTCTCCATGCGCAGGGTCAGTATTTAAGTTTTTTTCAATAAAGATGCTACTCACCTCAAACACGTCTCGTATATCCTCCGACCGATTTTCGTTTGTATTTCCAATATGGTGTCTCGCAGACTTTTGGTGACCGCGTGACCTCGCAGACTCTCCACGTTAAAGTTATCCGTTTTGGCCGGAAAAATCAGAAAAGCCACGACGGTCACGTCGGAGTTGGCGCTCTTTAGAATAAAAAAAAATTATGTTTGTTAAAACGATGTATCAATCGAGAGACATCCGAGAGTTTTCAACGTATCTCAAAGTCTGGATCCGGTTAGATTGGGAGCTAATTAACTGCCCACAAACCTATTTCCTGCCACTAGCACTACCACCAATTAAGTTTTAACACCTCTACGTCACCTGACTGTCGCCGTCCAAGACCTTGTCAATTGTACCCTTACACTTCAGATTAAGGCAGGAGATACTGACACTCTCGTCTATCTTACCTCCCTCAATTTTTATCTAGAGTCATACTCGCCAAATCTTCTTCACTCGTTGATTAGAAACCCATATTACATACTTAATCGTCCAATGGCTTACTTTCAAGTAGTGATTCAGACGGGCCAGGGCCTCGATGAATATGTCGGCTCCTTTGTTGGAAAATTCGTATCGGCCGGCCGTGAAGAAGTACAGGGTTTTCTCCAAGTCGAAGTTGTAATGGCTGAGAAGATGAAAAAAAAATAAAATACGGATTACAAAAATAATATGTTCGCAACAATTACAAAATCAAAAAAAAAATCGTTGCCGTTCAGTCACGCCTACCCGTGAAAGTGTCCGCGCACGAAATCGTGGATTTTCTCTTTGGACATGGAATGGAGATTTTGGAACTCGTGCAGGGCTGAGAACTTGACCACATTAAGACCGTTCGGTGTGATAATGTCCGGATCTCGGGATAGTAAGTACTGCGATTCCTTGCCCGTAATATCCGACACTGTGGTGAACACGTGGGCAATGTGCGCCGCTGCTCTCTCCATGCAGTACCGGTGATAAATCTGTCTTTTACCGGCTTCTTCGTCTAGGTTGAACTGGAAGCATACGCGTCAGGTAGATACCTGTTAGATAGTAATAAGCAACAACGGACAGAGCCTGCTGGACTACTGTCCTACAGAACGGTAGACAGTCTTACTAAGGGTCCTTTTTTAGCGAAGGCACAAAAAGAACGTACAACACAATTTTAAAATAAAAGCTAAAACACGTCAACATTTTTAAAATAAAAACTAAAACACGTAAAATTTTTTTTTTTTTTTTATCTAAGTCGATTTTGTCCTCCAAATACACGTCTACAGCACGTCTAGTTCATTTTTTTAATCGCCACCAAAGTTGTAAAAAAAAAATTACGTTTTGTGAAATTTTCAGCGCGGTTTATGCATTTGAACTTCTTTCATTAAATGTATTTAATATTTATTTTTTTATTTAAATTTCTTTGCTTAACCAGTCTAAAAATAAATATATTAATTGTAATTTTTTATGCACAAAAAAAAAATTAGAATAACCTGTTTTTTTTTTTTTAGAGAGAGAGTACAACAATATTTAGGTACATCAATCAGGGGTTTAAATAATTTAAGTCGAGTACGAAATTCAGCAAACAAATCATAAAATGTATGCATTTTGGTTGTTCCAAAAATGTGTTTGTACTGTGTATTTAGGGTGAAGTAGAATAACTGCAATAAACCCCGGATGTTGAAGCATTTTAACGGTAAAACACATAGTAATTTTTTTACAAATATAAACCGTACTTTAAAAAGATCTTGTGATTGAGTCGCCGACAAGATTAATAGGCAAATCGTACACTTTTTAGTCAACTCAAACTTTTAAAAATTGCTGTAATTTTTTTGTGTAAAGTGTTAGGTATATTCGTTTTTTTTTGTGATAGTATTTCGACAGCAACCGACCTTATCTAAATTGTTGTAGAAATCTGTGTTTCCGGCACACAGGTAACGACCAAGGAGCGTGGCGTGAGTTGTAAATACTGTAGCGATTGGTTCTTGTTTCATGCGCAAAGCTATAAGTCCAACGCCAGCTTGCCATTCGTGAAAATGGGCAACGACCAAAGGAGTCGAGTCCGTGTATAAGACAGCCGCTGCGTAAAACTAAAACATTTAAACATTGGCAAGTTATTGTTTTATTACTCTACGGTGTTGTTGTCATTCTACTTTTTTCCTACCACAATATTGGGCCATTTAAAATAAACAGTGTCATACTTATGGCATAGATACAATTATTCAATCTCTACTTTGCCCTGGCCCCTACTATGCTGGCTATTTGTAGTTTTCGCTTGGTTTATATTTTACTAGGTACCTAAATATAGGTCCAAAAATAAGTGCATGTAATACAAATATATACAAATACTCGTCGACTCGCACATGGTAGTATCCTAGACATTTTGTAATTTCCCCCTTTTACTATTTTAAAGGGGTAAAACTTTTGAAATGTTGGCTCAATTAAGTACGTTTAAGGTTCAATATGTGATCTATATTGTCTTGCAACATGAAGAAATCGGTTCAGTGGCTAGTAATCGTGAGTCCAGAAAAAACAAAACCCATTATTGAAAAAACAAAACCTTCTCAGTTCCGCATCGTAGCTTAAGGGAAAAATCACACTGACCGTATTCAATTTCTACATTGTTATAAGTAGATAAATCAACAGCAAGTATCGGAAAATATGTGTGTTATAGTTTTAATTACCACACATGGGAAATAACAATAATACATTTAAATAATGGATAGACGATGAACCATTATCGTATCCCCCTTAAGACTAATATTACAATTTTAGCACAGTATTGCCTTTACAATGGTTTCTTTCGATGTTAAAAATAATCGTACTATCTACAGGTCCGCATCGAAGCGTTTATTTGAGAGTGGTTTTTATCATTCTTAGCTATAAAAATGTCTTTTGACCAACCCGACCTCACTCTGCTCTGTGACCACTGGTATTATAGCTTTTTAATATACGTTTTATACATTATACCTTTTAATAAATATACTATATAAATAAATTTACTACTGCTAGTAGTAGTATTTGTGAATTTTCTCGATTTATACCAACTATTTATTTACTAACTATAGGATATAATACTCACTTCGGAAATGAATTGCGATATTTGATAACCCAAAATAACCGAATCGTTGGCCTCTATGTCCAAATGTGGTATACCTATATTGCAAGAATCCCACAGTGTTTGCTTGTATTCGTCCAATTTCCACGCCGCCGACCCGATATCGAACAAAATCACTTGAGGACTACCGTCGACAAGCCACCGGCCTGTCACCAACTGTTTAACACAATGTAAGATTTTTATAAGATTATTAAACACGGAATATTCACTTCAAACCCCCGACATGGACACAGATGATACGTGTATATTATAAATATAAATAGTATTAAAAAATGAATTAAAAAACGAAGCTAATGTTACACTATTCAAACGCCTTAAATGTGAAAATTGAATTTAAAACAATAATTATTGTTTACCTTAAACCCTAAATCTCTCATTTTTGACACCGCGGTGTGATACGGTGTACCCTCTTCAAACTCCATTTCTTCGACGGCGGTCCGTGCATAGTTTTCTTTATATGGACCTAACAAGCAATATTGATCTCCCATTTCTTCAGTCGAAACGAAAGCTTTTGATCTGATCACTGTATAAATACCACCGACTAGAACAAAATTGCTAATCAGTTAGAATATAATATATTAACTGAATAATGTCTTATTACAGTCTACATCTTTTTGTAACACAATTCTTTTAGTTCACCAAACTAATCATTGCATTTTTTTTTTGTTGATAGATTAAACATTTTTTTTCTGTAAAACTACATAGGCTTTTAGCTGGTATTTTCCATTAAATTATTAAAAAAAAATTAGTGGATTGAGTAATCGAAAATTTTAAAACGCTTAATCACGGATAATATTTTCCTCAAGTTACTGTGAAAATTTAGTGATTTTACAATACCAATTTTCGGTTTTGATTCGTACGAATCTATTTTGAAGGAAAATAATTTTATCTATAGAAATGAGTGATAGACTGACAAAAAAAGAACAGCCAATAGAGACTTTTCATTACTGTATTGAATTAATACATAATTATTAATACTATTAACAAATATATACACTACAGTTTAAGTTCTCAGTTATGATTTTGTAAAAAATAGCGTCTCGTAACTAAAAAAACAATAGTATCAATTATCACCAAAAACGATTTCCGGTGAAATTCATTTAATTTATGCTCAAATCTCCGTAATGTAATGTTAATATTTTTTTGGTCTTGCAGGTTTCCTATGCAAATGAATAATGATAGTGAATAAATAATAATCCAAATATACCATTGAAAAGTAGAGGATAAAAATTATAATTAAGTGATTAGGAAATATAATATCGCATTTATCGACCACATGTTTAAAAAAAAAAAATGTATAAATAATAATTGAACTCTTAATTTTTTGGGATAACTTTATTTGTGCCGCCCCTTAAAATTTGCCACTGAGAGCGCATTTGCTCCTGTTGGAGGTAAATGCACGGCTCTGATTAGGCCATGGGTAATTAAGTACACTAAATATAAATTGGTACACTACTAGTTGAATAAAGCCGCAGGTAATAGCCAAGGTACAGGCGTTCATAAATTGGTAAACAGCGAACCCAATTGTCACTATTAATAGATAACTTCTTACTTGTTATATATTATTGAATTTTAAACGCGTACAACAGCTACGCGTTCGGTTATATAACCATTATTATTATCGTTTCAATGTTCAAAGGTATCCAATATTGTATTGAATAGGCTTACAAAACTACTTAGGTACACGACTTATCGATTAGGTTATAGGCGGGAACGGACACCCGAATTTATGTTATCGAATGTTCGTGCGTTTTCTAGAATATATTTTCAATGGCAAACAAAAATCTGTTTTAGGAAGCCAAAAACACAGTTTTTCACTTTTTCACTTATAGGGTTGTTTACCTGAAGAAATTTTATTAAATGTACACTTCTCTAACCGTTGCACTTTTTAACCTTTAACCTTTGAACAGTGTACTCTATAACGTTTTCCTATAATTGGTTATTACGACATTAATACACAAATAGGGGTTGTGACTTGTCTGTATGTTAATAATATAGATTAAAATTTCAATTTTTTTTTAATTAAAAAATTTAAAACATTATAATACCAAATATCAAATTTGTATACTAAAATTTGATTTTAAATATATTTTTTTAGCACATAAAATTGTTCTAAAAACAACAAATAATGTTAATAGTGTATTAAACATTTTTCTGTCATATTTTAAGGGCAGTTAAGAAAGTCAGAGCTTAGCTATATAGTGTAGAACTTCTTCCTCCTTGTTGATAGTGAGTCTGGGGTATGAAGAAACGTGGTCTAACATTTGAGGTTTTTTTTTTAAATCTTGATGAGACCAGACCATTTTTTACAAAGTTATAGCGCATCCAAGTTGAAATTCGAAAAAAATTGTTCATTATTCTGTTTGTTGCTTATTTACATGGGAAAAAATACCAAAATACTTATTTAACTTTTTCCCATAGGCAAATGTTAAGCACGATATACCACATTTCGGCCAACTATTTAAAAATAGATGTCCTATTTAAACTTGAATTACTTGGACAAATTCTAAATAATACCTATTTTCTTTAGTGTCTCAATTTTAAAAATTTAGTCTTTTAAAATCAAATATGATTTGATTGGATTCGCACGACAACTTCAAATAAAAGCACAGATTTGAACAATAAACTCACCTGCTCTAACAGTGATCAATAATAGTAATTATAGGCGAAGTAATACAAATGAAATAAATCTGATTTATAGCTGTTCAGATTAATTATCACGGTAAAACGCTCCTATTTCAATCACCAATTTTAGTCGAGGCCTCTCATCCGGTTACCTTAATACTGGATAATAATGAAAGTAATACTATTTTATGAGAATATTAAAATAATATTTTTAGATTCGACGCGATAGCCGAGAAGGTATTTTTTTTTTTGTGTTTTAATCTAGACAAATTTATGAAAGTATTGCGTAAAACAGGGGAAAAAAAGAAGGGAAACCTCCACCGCCTAAGAGTCGAGTTCTGTCTCCGTGAGAAATACCGTGTAGATTTCAGGGTTAAACTGTTTACCAAACGGTGTGCACTGCACACGCGTCAACTGACAAGTGCTACTGAACAATAGCAATAAAAAAAAACATTTTATTTAAAAACGCATACCTTTATTGCAGACTTCCCAGGCTGCCTCGAACACCCATCTGTTTTCGTACGCGGCCGTTTGGCCTCGATCCATGAACGCGGTAAAATCATAGTTACTGTCCACACGATAAAAACGTTTGCTCGCTTGATCTCTAGTCATTGTACCTAAAGTACAAAAAAAAAAAAAAATATATGATTTAACAATTTCGGGTAAAGCAATTTTTCTCTAACACACAAACAGTAACTTTTTGAAAAAATCACATTCGATTGGTCGTGTTAATTCTAAGCCAGCCAGTATTGTAACGCGGGTGTACCTAGTTCAAGGGTATCGCTCAACCTTTGGCAACAATTCGCAAGCATCCTGGCCCAAGACCAACTTTGAAAAGGCATGTTTAACAAACATGTAAATTCATTTTTGATATATATATATATATATATATATATATATATATATGTTTTTTTAATGCGTTTTGCTACCGAAACGAGTACGACGCTAATAAGTCAAAATAATTTTCACTCATAACGACTACAACCAAGACTCAAGAGCTAAAGCCAGTCGCATAATATGTGTAAGCGGCAAGCGCGCTTTATATTTGGCATCCAAAAATTGTATGTTAAATTTATTATTCGACCTACACATACACTATACACATCATAATGTTATCGAAAGTAATAATAAAATGTATTGTAAATACAATTATTCCGAGGGGATCGACTGCAGGAAATGTGTAGATTAAGCTTTTATGCGGGCCTGAAAAGACGTTTTTAAAAATTTTTTTTTTCTGCTGACCCACGATATCTTCTAACCGCTGAACCGATTTCTTCGTGTGGTAACACTACAGTTCAGAAATCGTACCGGCAAGGTACTTTATTGGACGAAAATTTTAAAAAGTTCACCCCTTCCACTTGAAAGCGAGAAAAACATCCAACAACTTAACATATTTTTAAACTTAAAATCACGGCGCTACAACTTTTTTAAAAAAATAGTCAAATAGACCTGTGGCTTTCCCTCGTCTTCACCACGTCACCCCGACCTCGATGTACTAGTCCTTTTTTTTTTAATAACTTAAAAAAAAATCGAAACGTCCAATTACAAGGAACGTATATGAAATATAAACTCCAATATGTTAAGACACAATTTTTATTTTGATGTATCATAAAAAAGTGAAAGAGTAAGTACTAGATCTCTCGTTGCTAACTTCCCGAAAATGTTTTAAAAACTATTTACTCTGTAACGGTGTCGATGAATTGAAACATTATAGTAATTGCATTTTACAAAATGTGTGCACCAGAACCTAATATGTTTTATATTTTATGCTGGACGAACATTGTGAGTTGTGACATTGAGTATTCACGAGAGCAAGGCTCTCGGCAAAGCTACCTCATATGAAACACAACTTAAAAGTTTTATAAACATAAATTTTTGAAATTTGGCCCCCATGTTTTATGTTTTAGTTAAAAAGTGAAAAATAGTATTATAGTATAGTAGTATAGTAGTATAGTATTAAATAGTATTATTTCCGGTAGACTTTCTCCGTAATGCATAAAATATATCCTCAAACACAATTCACATTACACCGAGGCCATACAGAATTCATTTTAAACGAATAAGTAACAAGAGCCTTTGCTGGCTCCAAACAAACTACTCACGGAAATTACTCTAATGCTAATAGGTACTCACATTTTACTACCCCCCCCCCCCAAAAAAAAAAAAATTAAAATTAAAAATTCATAAACGCCACACGACCTTTAGCTAAAAGCGTTTGGGTAAATAAATAATAATCACGATGGCGCCGCGCCTTGTTGAACCGCGGTTGTTTAAGTTTTCATTGAAAAATATCAAGACAAGAGGGGACTTTCCACCCGCTAGACCCATGCCCGACTCACAGCATACATATTAAGTATACTCTGAGATTTGGTACTTATAAAAAAAAAACTTACCGAAATCCAATTGCAGTTAAAGTACAAAATCAAATAGGTAATTTCGGATAAGATTGGCGGATGCGACGACTGTATGGGTTTTTGTTTTTAATCACAGTACTACTACGCTATTTAAAGGAAAAGTTATAATTGTAAAACAAACACCGACAGTAAGGGCGTTGGGAGCGCATACTTAACGAACTTCGAACCGGACGGTGAACGTTTAGAGACCTAAAACTGTTGACTGACTTGGCCGACCGCTCGTAAAAAAATACAACGACCGAACGACGATAAGTAGATTAGTATATACAGGGTTATCGGAATTTCATTTTACAGTGATTTTTATCAATGAAAGTATAAGTTGAAAAAGTTTCTTATGAAATCCTTATTATATATATATATATATATATATATTATATAAATATATATCGTAAAGGGTAGTTTTAATGAGTAATTATTAAAAGTTAAGCAGCAACGTAAATTATTTAATTATCATATAAAAGCAGAACGATAAAAATAATGACTGTTCTAAAACCAGTTCTGTTTAAATGTTTGTAAATCGTGCTAGTATAAATAACATCACAGTAATCTATAGCTAATACAGTAATCTATATAACATTAAATGCTAATAACGGATAACCCAACAAGTATTTATTCAAAACTGGTGTAACGGTCACATTTAGCCGCCTACAACCACTCGCAGTGATCGATCACTTATTATTTTTACCTATACGTTGATATTTGACATATAAATTTTGCCCTTTAAATATTACCATTTAAAAACAATTTTTAACTTGAGTATCAAATATATTTTCATAATCATTAAATATAATAGTGATTTTATTTTAAAGTTTTTTTTTTACCTTAAACAATTATTTTATACAACAAATCACTGTAACGTAACATTTGAATAACCCTGTACAGGGTCAATTACTCATTAAGGATAAGACACACGATTTTTCTTAAAATATTGCAATTTTATAGTTTTTCTTTTAAGAGACATTTAACCTGATGACAGTATTCAATTTTTTTTCTTCCGGACTTTCCCAACTTTTAAAACATAAATGGTAACGTATAAATTTAATTTAACTTTTTTGAATTAAAATATAATTTGCTAACCATTGTGATTGATCGATAACCACTTTTGGATAATTACTTTCAAAGTTTGAAATTTATCACGGGAGGTGGACTGCGGTAGAGTAATGCACGCAGATAAAAAATAATAACATACTCGTGTTAATACTCATACTCAATTTCATCCCATCCCAAGTTTTAAACTTTAATAGTAATTCATTGAATTGGTCGTCGACCAGTCAAAATAATTTCAGCAAATAATTGTTCTTAATTTAAAAAGTGTACTACACATTGTACGTTACGGTTTAAAAAGTTGACAGAGCTCTAGGAAATACTAAGGAAATTAAATATTTGGTAATTTTATAATAACATAACCAAAACTATTTTCAAGAAGAAACACACTGCAAAATTGCAATTGTTTTAAAAATTAACGAGTGCCTTATCCTTAATGAATCACCCTGTATATTATCCACACACACACACACACAACAGTTGTACGTGTAAACAAAATGTCTATGGCTGAGTAAGGTTGAACTCTGGCGGTTGATCAGGTGCAATCAGTATATAATATATACATATATCCATGTTACGTGCCTACCTCTATATGATAAGGCACGCAATCAAAGTATTCACATCAGTTCTAAACTTCTAAGGTTATCGGCCGCGTTAAAAAGGTCCTCGGGTAGATTTTAGGGAAACAATAAAACATTTTTGTTTTATTAATTACTTTTTACTTCTGTATAATAATATTGAAAATATGCACTCGTGAATAGTTTAGGCATTTAATAACCCAAATTACATGTTCCCCGTGCGTTTTTTTAGCAAACGCCAAGAGACGCATATCGGCTGTTCCTCTTGGCAAAAACCATTTATATATAAACAATTATTTTACTTATTACAAACAAAATTGTACTATAATTTTTTGACCAGAAATTTAAAGTCTTACAAACATTGCAAAAACAAAATATAGTTTAAATTTTGTGAAACAATTACGAAAGGATTTACAACACTAACAAAATATTGAAAACATATTTAAATTCATGTATTGTCATTTATTTTTTTCGGGAATCAACAGTTTTCCGAATGTTTGTTTACCAATACAATCGGTTTTTTAGCGTCCGTAGAAAAACTCGTAAGCTCTCCATAAAAATAAAATAACATTAAAGTCCGTTCAATTGCAGATACGCCCGAAAGCCAAAACGAGATTGGATTTGCATTAATACATTTTCCATAACTCAAATAAAAATAACTACGAGACTAGACAAATTTAATATTTTTCTACCTTTAAACAAATTGGCATACTCGAAATAGGGTTCCGAGATCAATTAATCTTGTCCCTCAATCCTATCCCATTAATATATAGCTCTTTTCATTGCCCTCGAGGATATTGAGCTTTTTGGCTGTTTGGATGTAGCTTTTAACTATGTGTTAGTATTGGAAAAATAAATACACAAGGTACTTTTGTATTAAATGGTTAATCGAACGTTTGCATAATAATAATATTGATACAACATTCATAATAATACTGTACGTAGATAATAATAGAATAACATTGATAAAAAAAAAAAAATTGAGACTAGAATGATCTGGAAGTGAGAAAACACATTGGCCAAAATGTTACTTTTGTGACGCCATGTTTTTCCTTTTTGGCCGAACAATGGATGAAATAATGGATTTTTCATATGATATCTATTTCTGTGTAATAATTAATAGCTGTTATGACGTAGGCAAACAAGTCAAAGATCAAATAGGTACCTAGGTAATTATATTGTATTTAACCAATTAATAAGCATTGGGACTGCGATTTATTAAAGGGCATTGTGTAGGCAACTTATCACTAAAACTTTACATTTATGCTAAAATTTGTTAACACACATAACACAAGGAAAAAGGGTCTATTTTGATATTTAATTGTTTTTCTTCAATTATTTTTTAACTTAATTTAAACTTAACCCATAAGGACTCTATTTTTATAACACAATAGACCCTTGGCGTTTCCATTAACCCGTGTTGAAAAAGCATTGAATTCATCATCATCTCATCTGTGGCTTGTAGTAGTATCGACTATTTTTCTAATTATTTGTTTTCATTTTAAAATTAGTTTTCGTAAACAATTTTTGTTGAACTATTCTTAAATATTGGAAAATAATAACAGCTTATAAACAATAAAGTCCGATACTAAAAACCACAGAAGACATGAAGAGGAATACAAACATTTTTTTTTTCAGGCCTCTTGACCAGACGAACTTGGTTTTTTTCCCAAGTACCACGACCCAATATAACTGATTAGGTAATAAAGAGTATTGGATATATTTCTAAAACCGGCACAATCCCTCCAACTCCATCGGTCAATTTAGTTACCGAACAAAGCTGTTTTAGGTAATTCTCGTCTGATGTATTGAAACTAATTATTTTTATAATTAAACTAATCGACGAGTAGTTTTTATTGCAATATATTATTATCTCGCACGATAACTTAAGCGCAAAATTACTAGCAAAAAAAAAAAAAAAATTACTATTGGCTATTCCAAAGTAAATATCAATTCATACACCCGCGAATGTGAATTTCAATAATATTCAACGTCTGGCATTATTATAATATACATACTAATTTATTATCGATTATGGCACACTTTCAATAATAATAATTAACTATAATAAACTTCAGTTTGGTCATCTGACCCAATGATGAATAACCTAATGAAACAATTTTTGTGATAACATAGGCCAGAATTCTCAGAACATGTGTAAAAATAGTACGGTCTGACCTTAATGCAATGATATATATATATATATTATATATAAATTATATATATTATATATATATACTATACTACAATTCGTTGAACCAAAAATAACAACAAACGTCATCAGTTTGAAAAATTTAGTTGTGGAACTATTGATTCCTATTCAGAATTGAAATTTTTCCAATACAAAATGATTGTAATAATTAATAAGAGTATCAATGATCAAGTTTAAGCGATTACCGGCATTATCACGAACGGTACAACTGGCCCTTAGTAGTTACCGTTAAGGTGAAACTAACTAAATTCTGACGTACTCGCATAATGTTATGACTTATGTACGAGCACAATGTTCACAACACAGTTAACGAAGTAAAAAGTTGGGGAAAGTCTTACTTAATTTCTTACGTCTATTTACACTTGATAAAAATAAAGTTGATAAGAGTACAAATTTGACGAGTAAAATTTGAAAACGATTAAACGGTTTTTTGCAACTCGGCATTATTGTAAGCTTAGATGTGATTAATTAAGCTTATCCAGAAGGAAACGGATAATAATACATAATATGTAGGTTAAAGATACGTAACAAAAAAATCGAATTTTTTGAAAAACAATGTGTCTAAAAATATTGTTTATTGCAACAATTACATTTTAATAAGAATAATTCTTAATAATTCTTGTATAAGATATTCAAGACAGAATTAACTTAAAAATTTTGTGAACTTATAAACTTTATTTTATACTTCAGTAAACGATTTTTTATGACACATAATAATAGTATATGTATTTATTAACCAACAAATGACTGGAGGGGGCTACAGCCACAGCCATTCATTGCTAACAACTGAGCCATAGGAGGCTCTTATATTGTAAGTATTACAATGTAAATATTGATTTTACATTTTATAAAACTAATAGGTATTGATATCTTATAAACTGAACATTATAAATTTTTAATATTTTGTATAACTGGTAATTTAAATTATTTACAACATATTCGGTTAGTTCTATATATTTTGTAGGTGAACATATATTTAAAATATGTCAATATAAGTGTAACCCGACATTTTGTAAATAATTTTAACTTTACATTTTACTAACAGCCGTATTGATTTTTTATTTAATTGAATTTTAAATACATTTTGGACAAAAAGTACTTTTGACTAAATCAACAGCCAAACATGTCGGGGCAATGTCTGATTTTGCCTTAAACGAAAAACATAATATTTTAAAAAAGTATATATTTGATAAGACTATTTTTGAATCTGACAATTTGTTTTTCAGTATTTTACTTGGACTTTCAAAAATAAGAGCAACTAGATAAATTAAAAATGTATAGTATGTAAAACACAATCTCTTAGGCTGTTAACTAGCTATATATTATGCCAAAAATTCCAGTACAGTGGCGGCGGGCCATAGTGCATATTGGAACGACGGGAGGACACGGGTCTATAGGATTTATTGTAAATGAAATTGATAAAATCACTTTTAAATTAAAGCTTCAATTATAAATCTGCAAATGGTAGAAATATAAAATCTGATAACAGTATTGTAAAAGGTGTAATGTGCATAAAATTATATTTTCAAGTGAGGATACTATTTGATTAGGTTTAGGTGTTACAATTGGGTTAACGGTTCAAAATATATGACATCTTTTATTTTTTTAGAAAAATATGAACAAATAAATGGGTACACACAATAATTTATGAAAAGCCAAATTTTTCTTACTTTTCACAAATATTATATTTTAATAGGTAGTTTGTAGCTTTGTATCTTGTATACAATTTGCTCAAGTTGTATTATAACTTGAATAATTTTTAGGCCTTTCCCTCCAAACCCTGCCCATTTTATTTTATTTTAATATTAAAACTTTGGATTGTTTACTGTTATTTAATCATATTATATTTTTAATCAGACACCCTCAGGTGTATGAAATAATGTAAGGCGTAGACGGTTATTGTGTATGCTAGCTATTAAAAATAACAATAATATAAATTGGTACTATACCCAGTGTACAAAATGAAAGACTAATTGCAAATAGATAGAACTAATGGATTATGATATACAATCCGAGCAATATGAATTTGGAATGCAAAATCTGAACAAAAAATATAAATGTTTAACAGTTTAAGACGGCACTTTAAATTCTGAATGTAAAGCAGGTGTTGGTTCTATCAGGTGAGAACACACATACAACATCTGCACTGTTTGCACATACAAACAGTGCAGATTTTGTAAAAACTGTCTTAGCGGATAGAACCGGTTTTCTTACACTTTCTTAAAAATAAAACTAATGGGAAAATTAAAAAATTGCCAAATTTCTGTGCTACCCGGCTTTGTTTCACGTAAAAAAAAAAATAATAATAACAACAATTGTTAAATTTTAGTAGAGTACTTTTTTTAAATACTCGGACAAAATAAATTGTTTAACGCATTTTGAATTATAATCGTGAATATAATTCAATAATATAATATATTGATTTTTATGATTTTGATTTAAACTAAAACTACAGCCGAATGGGTTGTGACTAAATTTTCTCTTTGGATCCAAACAACAATGATGTCAAGTGAACAAAAAACAGAAAATACCTACCCATAGGCCGAAACATAAAACAATATTATCCCTGTCGTCCATGTGAGTAAGACACACACAAACACAACATATTATTTTCTATTACTAACACACTATATTATTACACATACACATTACATTTTGTGTTAACGCTAATGTTAAGTAATAAGCGAGTTTAATGTACCCATTAATCTGGTGCTTACCGATTACACGCTGCAAATAAACGCGAGCAATAAAAATAAATAAAAGTTAAAAATTACTAATGAAATTCACGGTCCCTGATCATAAATATAACTTGATAAAAATTTAAAAAAAAACGTTTGAAATTCACTAAAATCGAAGAACGTTTACTACGACAGAGAATGCGTTTTTAAATTAACATTGTCGGTAGGTAGAGTATGTTTAGCTGTTTAAAATGTAATAGCTATGTAAAAACGATCAATCTACTTTGGTCTTTAAATCAGCGGTAAACGGGACCTATCATATTTCAGTCACAGACGATGATTTTCTTCTTTTTTTTTTTTTCTCCTCTCTTTCACAGACGGTTTGACATAAAACCGGTCGTTTAAAAGCACAAAGAATGGGTAAGTACAGTGCCCGGTGGTGTTCACAGTTTGGTGTTAGAAATCGCGATAACAGATTACAGAAATCAGAATAGCAAGTAGTAAGTTATCGCAGACGTCCGGGGGCCGGTTTCACGACACCAGTGTGGCCGCGCTGTAGAAATGAAATTACCGTAACGGCCGATACCGATACCCGATACCGTATATGTATGCTTATACTTAAGTCTTTCTCTTTCTTCTTCGTCTACTATTGTCTAATAGGCATTAGGCATCGCCTTGTCGTTGCAGGAGAACTGCCGTCCTAAGAAATTGGGTATGGTGCGGTGGTTTCCCGTTGCTTTCCGCACTGAGGGCTAATACTAAAAGTCTACAAGTACTTTTAGTCAAGGACAAGAATTTTTTTTATAAAAAGCAACAAAGTAATCGCTCTATTTTCGGTCCCTAACCCGTACATTTACAAAAGTTAGCTGCCAAAGAGATATTACAAGTTACAATGTTCAATACAAAACATATACATCATATTGTAATGATATCCAATATATAAATATGCAATTGGAAAATAAAAGTAAGAGTGGGTTTATTAATTGAATTATATATAAATGTAGTCCATGACATAGAGTATACAAACATGTACATAAATACACCAACATTAAGTAGAAATAGTTGGTGTAGGTGTTTATTTTTGAAAATTGTCAAATTACTATAAACTGATCGTACAAAAGACGGCGTATCGTGTAATAATCTTGACTTATTAATCCTTCTATAAGTATTTTCCCCGATGAATTCTATTAAACAAAACAAAAAACAAAATTTTATTTTTTTTTTTTTTTCATTATACTTTAATCAAAAAGTTTTAAACAAGCGGTTTTTTTTAATATAAGTATTTTTTCAGCCAATGGCATGTAATATAAATTTTTATACTCTAAACATTTTGAAAAACCATTCAAAAAATAAAACAAAATCCACACTTACTCTACGAACACACACAGTGCGATTACAACACCATAGAACTCCTCCTGATAGTTCACAGCATATATTGTTCTTTGATAATAATTGTTTAAAATGTGACAGTTTCAAACGATTAATGAATAATTTCTCATGAGAACAAACTTCCTAGAAAATAATTTCAATACAAGCATAAATTTTAACAACAGCAATAATCTAGATGTGTTTCTTCCTTCTCCGTCATTTATAAACTAAAAATAATATGTACCCGCATATTATTATTTTTCTATTTTACTTCATCTAAGCATTAGACTCAATAATATATATATATATATATATATATTTATATATACTTTTTTTAATAATACATTATAATAAATAATAATAACAGTATAATACTTAAATAACACGACAACACAAAAACAAAAATTGGGTTTCCGACGGACCCGACTAGCCGCTGAATCCGAATCTGAGGTGGAAATTTAAAAATTAAATAGCTTCCATTTTCAACGTTACATCAAAAACATACTTTAATTGTACAATTTCTTTGTAAAAAAAAAAAAACGCGAGCTAGAATAGCAGTCATAGTTGTAAATAAAAATCTAGCAGACTGAAATGTACAAGAATTCACTAGTTTGATATCTCGCTGTGCAAAGTACAAGCCCGATGGCTTCATCTTGAAAAAGGGGTTGCTTTAGCAGACCAGGCTAGTGAATTCCTATGTATTTCGAGTCGCTGACTCCGATTGTGTAGTCAAAAATTAGAGATTTGCCCCTTTAGTTACAACATTGCTTAAAAAAAAACCTACATTTTTTGTACATTTTCGCCATGATAAGAAACGTGAGCTAAATTTGCAATTCTGTCTGTACATACAAATCCATTACAGCAAAATGTATGAAAATCTACTAGTTTGACCACTAGAGTAGTCCACTTAAGTTTGATCACTTTTGAGCACACAAAAAACTTAAGTTATTGAAAATGTTGAGATAAAACAACATTCTTACGACCATTTTATTATATAAACTAATCGATACGTACTGACTTTGGTAAAGGTTCTAGTGAATACAGCTGTTGTTCTTCCACGTTTAACACTAAAAGTAAATCACGAGTCTTGGTGTTATTAAAAAAAAAAACATTATTCTTATGTATTGAGAAATAAAAACAAATATTACATTTATCATGCTGGGGGGTATTCCCATCAATTTCCATATCACTTTCACCAGTCACATTGTCTTTTAGTTTTAATTTCGCGTCAATATACGCTAACTCTTCATTTTTACCTTTTCGAAAACTTATCGTTGAAAGTAGCTTATTGGTTAAACGTACCTGAAAAGTTATAAGTCAACTTTTTAAAAGACCGTAAGACAGTTTTGAGTATTTTACGAGTTATTTTATTCATGAGCCTTTACTTGGTAAATATGGGTCTCTGCTGTAACGTTTAAAAACTGGCCCACCTCAGGTGCAAATACTCTACTGTCGGACAAAACTTTTGTAAAGTCCAAAACAGTGTTTGTGTTTGTTTCCGAACCCCTCACTAACAATAAACGCCTTGGCCTCAATGAAAGTACAGTTTGTTTTAACGATTCCCCATCAGAACGTCCTTCAAAATCGATTTGTGTAATTTTCGCAGCAACGTGTATCACACATTCGTACTCCACACATTTGGAAGGAAGGTCATTCGGATCGACTTCTTCCTGTACATCGACTGCCTTGTTATTGTGTGCATATGCAGCATTCACGTCACTCACATAGCCGTTATCGAAATTGATATAATCTTCTTGTCTAAAACAAAATTGTAAATAACGAAGAAATCATATAAATTACAAAACATCAACTTTACAGTATACTTGATTATTTTGCCGTATGCGTCATATTTGAATTTTTCTTCATAATAAGGAAACACTGGTTCCGTGTCTTTTTTTGTTAGCTCTGTCGAGTGTGAACAATCAGTGTCCGCCAACAACTTTTGTTCATCTTGCATCGATACAGTGTCATTGTCAAAACCAGAACAATCTAGAGTACTACAAAAAAAAAAAAAAAAGTGTATACTTAAAATTTTCCTATCGCCGAATGATTCCAAGTAGTGTTTTTCAATAATTAGTATTCAACTTATGTGTTCTTTTAAATACAAAATATGATCATGTTGTTAGTGATGGCCCCTGGGAAAAATGCACTTTGTTTTGTTTAGGAAACAACAAATTAATAGAATTATTAAAAAAAAATAGTAAGAAATAGATTAAGTACGATTGCATTAAGTAAGACTATCCCCTAAAATGTTTGAAAAAAATAATTGGTCATCGACAAAATACTTTTTGATAAATAACTACCTAATTGGAGAAAAAAGCTAAATAAACAATATCTAATATCAAAAATTACTTAACTTATTTTTGCAGAGTGGCATACAAATTTAGAGATTTCAACATTTGTGTAACTTTTTTTGGTAAAAAAATAATGGCAGTGACGTATTTACATGCAGTGAATGTTCTTATGGGGTGATATTGTACAAAAAATATTGTCCCTAAGACCCTCTTGTGTAAATTTTGCCCTTTATGGTCAGGTTAAAAATATCGGAACTGTAGAAACTATTTGTCAAATAATTCTATAGTTTGTTGATTTTTTGTTTCAACTAGACAAAATGTAGTTTAAAGTCAATTTTTAAAATATTGCTTTTTATCAAAGTAATATTTTTATGATTACAACATTTATATCAAATGAATACATATTTAATAGGTAATTTTATATATAAAAAAAAAAAAAAAAACCTAGGACTATATCACCCTGTAGTGTGCTGAGCTTATTACAACCCTCAGTAAATAAGTCACTAGATAATGGAGATAAATTATAACTTTTGTTTTTATTATATTAACAAATAACGCCGTTTTATTCATAAAATGTGAATATTATGAAATTGTGAACATAAAAATTCGTTTAAAATCGGTTCGGTAGACAATTTAGAAAGTGACTTTTCGTCTCGGTCTTTATTTGTATAAAATTTGGCCTTTTCCTTGGTCCCCTCAACGCGCGCCATTGATTATAATAAGGCAGCACCCAATTCAACAACTTCATAAGCACTTACTTTTTATTAGAGTCAATCTTGTTATTATATTCTTCCAATTCTACTCCTTCTAATGGTACACGTTTCTTAATTGTCAATTTAACATTTCTATTGCCTCCGTGGTCAATTAAGTCCCGAGTCAGTGTACCGGGAGCAGTTCTAAATAATAGTCAGACATTATCAGACAAATAATGCACGACACACAGTTGTAATAATTATTACTATTTTAAATAGGTTTTGTTTTAAATTTATTAATTTTATTTACTACTATTTGTTGTTGTTGTTACCTATGAGTGAGAATAATGGTATTTTTTGGATTGGATGCCCACATCAGAAAGACTTCACGCGAAAATCCGCTTTCCAGGTTAGCATTACTAGCTAGTACAAGCTATAAATTAAAAAAAAATATTTTATAATAGGTTTTTTTTTTGTCAAGATATTAGTATTTTACTAATACCAGGTGATTGTCTAATAATTATAACCCAGCGATTTTATTTTACAGTTCTATCTTTTTTTATTTTACACTTTTTGTCATCTAAATTGTACAACATTTTATATAAAAATATCACTTTATATTAGAATGTTTACAAAAATTAAAAAATTATTGTAATAATTGTAAGATAAATTAGTTGGGCAATAATAATTAGTCAATCACTTTGTATACGACATAAAAATCACATAATATTTAAATATATACTTTAAATAAGTATTTAAAAAAAATATATATACAATAAAAAAACTCTAAGAAAGGATAAATTGGATTACAAGAAAACGGTAGGATTTTGAGTTCACTGTTGTGATACTAATACAAAATTAATACATTTTATTTGAAATAGAATTATCGAGATCTAAGGACAAAATTCATAAGATATAATCTCATCAAAGCCAATTTAGGCAAGTTTTATTTAAATAACAAATGATAACTATTGAATATAAATTATTTAAAATACGCTTTTATTAAATGTTATAAATATTTTATTTTTTTAAATAATTTATTATTAAGAAATATTTGTGTTTTATTTTTATAGATACATACATATTATGCACATTATACTTTATACCTCCCTAGTGTTTTTTTTTTTTTTTTAAACAGTTTCCAAATTAATTGAGGCGCTACTCAAATATATTGGTCCTGCCTTTTTTAAAAAAATATTTTCTCTAATGACAAAACAACAAATGGTTTTAAAAATATTTAGGTAAAAAATATTTATATTGGAACTTTTATTTAAAAAGTTAAAAATGTAAATAGTTTGTAATTAAAAAAAAAATATATATATATATATATATTTTTTTTAAATATATTATTTAATTTAGTTTGACTAAAAGTTTTGACAAATGCCAAACGGAAAGTCATCGAGGGATAAGTGGAAAGAACACTGTTATATTACAATTTTGGGTAATTAAAAATAACATATGAATTGTTTGTATACTTTTGGTTCTGGAACATTATTCAAATCATTCATGTTGTGACATAGCTTAACGTGTTTTAAGGAAAAAGGATTACTTCTTGCACCTTCGAAACTTTTCATTAATTTATCGCTTATCCATTCAATCTAAAAAGTAAACACAACACCAATCTGTGAGTGTGTAAATTTACATGACGATGACGATAACAATCTTAATAATTGAACATACTTGTGATTTTGCAAATTCTACAGTGTTATAACTAACGTTAGTCAAGAATATCAACGAATAAAGAAAAAGACCAGAGTTTCTATTGCGCCACAATTGGTCTAACATATGCACTAATTCTAAAACACGTCCAGCAGTGTCTGTTGGTATTAAAACGTTACCCTTGTTACGAAGAGTAGTGAAAATATTTGCTAAATGACAAAACAATTGATGATGTAGTAACAACATGCAGCAGTTAATCAAAATAAACAACACCCAAATGGGTGTGATTTTTAAAATGTCGTTACCAACGTGAAACGTACTTATTAGGGTTTCGTCTCTAGTTCTGCGCCTTGCTTGCAGGTAAGCGGCATTGGAACAATCTAAAATCAATAAAGACGGTCGTGTAAGTTTTTCCAAAGCGCTACCGTTCAAATGTCTCTCTTTTTTTTGATTAAAATCCACTGCGTAGACAATATCTTCTTCGCCCGCTTTTGATATTTTCCATATAGCTCCACCGACCGTATGACCTGCTGGTAAAGCCACTACACTTATACCGATCCCTTTACCTAAAACAATAAAGAATATTACATTTGATGTGTAAATAATATAATAACAGCTCGTCGTCGTCGTCGTCGAGTAGGTTAATTTCTTTGAATCGTACACACCTTTCAACGCAATAACTTGATTGAATTTCACTTGAACAACCTTATCGAAAGCAGCGTCGACATCATCCAAATTAAATAAATTAAAATCTTCTACGTTGTACATAGACTACAGACACGGGGTTATTTATTAAAAATATTAAGCATCGTCATCAATATAGAACTATTATTCCGAATAACATACTTGATACAAGTCGTACATGAACATTTGACCCATTTGATAAACGGGGATAGTGGCATACACTGGACAGTTTAGACCGCATTTACCGACCAGGTACGGAAGAGCGCCCAGATGAAATTGATCCGGATGCGATAGCAAGACTGCGTCTATTTGGTCAATGTGTCTGTTGCAAAAAAAAACCATTCATTAGTGTAAGCTGACATTGTATGTAAACTAACTGTTACAATAAATGTATTCGGGACGACAGTACTAAACCTTTTTAAATTATCAATTACACCCATACTGAAGTGTTCGTCCCATCCACAATCCAAAAGGAATTTATATTCGTCTATCTGCAATAGGTAACAAGGTGGAGATTCGTCCATAGCACCCGATAACGAGTGAAAATGTATTATGGACGTCATAATATCGAGGTAAGAAGATATTGGACTCGGAGACTTATTTAATGGATAATAGTTTTTTTTAATTTTTTTATAACATGGGGGCGCATACGGCTACGACTACTAGTAATATACACATTGATATGTTAGCTGGAGTAATAATTGTAGAAGCATCGTTTAAAGAGTGTATTGGCCAACGTATTGGCGTACATTTTAACGTTTGTCGTTGTAACTAACAAATGAAGTCAGAACTATAGACGTGTATACATAAATTTCAATAGCAATAAACTGATACTCGATAATTATAATAAATATTATGAATTGTATTATCATAATTTTTATTTGGCGAGCTGTTCACACACAGAGCAGCTCTCGAGTGGTCACCGGTTGCCAAGTGTCAACAACCGTACGCGTACCAAGTATGGTCTACGGTAAGGTCAATGGGATGATTCCACGTATCCACGGCCTATCAAAACTTCAGGCCGGCTCGCCCGACGCCATATCAATTACAGTCGAATCACAGAATAGATAAATGGTCTATCAATGTAAAAAAAAAAAAAATATAAAGTTTGAACAAAAATAGTGATCTATTCGCGTACGACTTATTTGTCGATCGATCAGAGCGTATATTCGAGGATTGACCGCGACTCTCTGATAATATTTTTTGAAGCCCTTAACTAAATTTCCCTCTAAACAATACCACGCGCGTTTCAAGTTGAATACCTATTATCTTAAATCGTCATTCCACGTAGTCGTTTAATGATAACAAAATACCTCCAACGTGATAACTGATAACAATAATTTGTGTTAATCGTTGATATGAAATAATATTGTTACTTCATTTGATATTCCATTTGAAAATTCTGGTCGCGGACCATTTGGCCGGGTGTCGACCGACTCGTGAAAAGCCAAAAATCAAATGTACTTACCTAACACCACTTAAGGTGTCTGACAAATTAGGAGTTTAAGTTTAATAGTATTTATAGTAATATTCAATCGTAATTATTGTTCCTAGTCAAAATGTGGGCCGATACCATTGTTATTGTGTTCATTTCTGTTTGTACAGCACTTTTCGGAGAAGGTAAACAATAAAATATTCGTTTTGAGTGTTAACAGCTAATACATATTAGGTTTGGTATCCGTTGACCGTTTTATTTAATCATGTCCAAATCACCATGTTTCGCTTTGTGTGTGTGAACATGGCTTTAGAGACACTACAATTTGCATGCTTCTCCCCAAAATTATTATTTCTGTTTTGCAACTATCGGCATACAACAAAGTGTTCACAAATATTTAAATTTCTCTTATAACCTGTTTTACCCCTCTATTTAACCTTATTGCATTTACGTTTTTTTATAACTATAATACTACTTTTGTTATACTATTTATATATATATATATATATATATGTGTGTGTTCTATAATTTATGTATTATCTGTTATTACATTTAGTATAACAAAAAACTTCAAAACAATATGCAGCTATCTTTAACCAGTTTTTTTTTTTTTAGGATTAACATGGTTATTAGTCTACAGAACAGAAAAGTACCAAAAACTTAAAACAGAAATCGAGAAATCTAGTAAAAAATGTATGTATCTCACAAAAAATATAATTAGAATGTTGTGTTTATTTTATTACTACACCACTACTAGTGATGGTGTATTTTTGTTTTTGTTAGTTTAAAATACAACTTCTTTGTCGAAACATAAATTATAGATAGTAAAGAATGTAAAATCGAAATTATTATTCTATTTGAAATTGCTTCACAAAATCACAGCAGCTAGTTTGAATTTTATGTGTACTTATGTTGATGTAGGGTTGTGTAAAAAAAAAAACAATGTTTCAAAGATTAATAACTTTATGTATATACGTTGGTTAATAAAACGGGCGATATTAAATGTAAATACGGGCTTTTTTCTTATGCATAAACTGGGTTAAAATCAATAATGGTTTATACGCAGCCATCCTACGCTGGATGAAGGTATTTCGAATTAGGTTTTGATAATATTGTGGATATGACATATATGTAATGATATGCTTACTAAGTGGAATTTTCGAAAAGTACTATGCCAATTATCTTCGCGGGAGTGTACACAACAACTTCATAAAAATTCATAGCAATCGAATGAATGGTGTACTAATACACAAGGACACACACACGCACACATACACATTCATTTATATATATATATATATATATATATATATATAGATAGATAGATATTACAATATCTGATGATAAGATTGACCAAGAAGTGTTGATGTGTGATTGATAGAGTTTTGTGGAGTAGATAGTAACACAAAATTTGTTCTTTATAGACTTTTATAGTATTCCTTTCGAAACAAATAACTTAAAAAAAAAAAAACAAATATGATATTACTTGCTTCGGCACGTGGAGAAAACAGTCAATCGAGAACAAATTCTGGATCTCTCGGCAATATATTAATAAAGCGGCGATACCATTGGTACAAAAATAAGAACAAATATTAAAATAATTTTTTTTTTGTCATTTCAGTAGAAAAACGTAAAGAGGCACACGGAGACTCGGTTGACAAACAACAAAAGAAAAAAATCGAGCGTGTTGAAGAGAAACTAAAAATTAACAATCGTGACTTATCAATGGTTAAAATGAAATCAATGTTTGCAATTGGATTTGCATTCACCGCATTATTAAGCATGTTTAACAGCATGTAAGTCGATAAAATAAAAATTATACGTAAATATTTGTATTTAATTTAAAAATAATTGTAATATTGTTTTTTTTGTATACTTGAAATTATGTCATTATTTATTATTTTTTCTAAATAGATCAAAAAAAATGTTACCAATATGAATTAGTGGGTGGTATAATTGATTTCGTTTTGTTCTATTGTTTATTTTTGATACCTAACTTTATCACTGTCCATTGAATAGAATACACAATATACATTAGAGACAAACAATAGTAATAACATAATTATGATTTTTAATTTTACAGATTTGATGGTCGTGTAGTTGCGAGATTACCGTTTACACCTATTCACTGGGTTCAAGGGTTATCGCATAGAAATTTGCCGGGCGATAATTTTACAGAATGTTCATTTATATTTTTGTATGTATTGTGTACAATGTCTATACGTCAGGTAAATGATGTTTTCAAATATTTATAATATCTACATTAAAATTGGGATTGGTCAACTGCGCCCCAATGACTTTTTCAAGTGTGCTTTAGATTTTAAAAAAAAATATACAATTAATCTAAGTAATTTTAATTTCTACGGCGCGCAGTTGACCACAACCCGCATTAAAAATCTATAAACAAATTATATTTTACTTTACATATTTTGTTCAATACAGAATATTCAAAAAATTCTTGGATTTGCACCTTCTAGAATGGCCAGTAAACAAAGTGGTGGCTTATTTGGACCGCAGCCACAGCAATTCAAGTAAAATTTTAGAAATAATACAATTTTTTTTTAAATCTAATTTTGGTATAAATTAGTACAAAATATGGTATACTCATTAAAATCAGAAGCTTCAATTGTGTAGGTAGCTGTAAAATTGTATGAATGATTTTTTTTTTTTTAATATTTCTATAATATTTGTTATTTAGGTGTATTGGAATGTTAAAGAAATTGATCTTAACTTTGTTCTTAATTAAATTGTACAATTATAAATGTACAAATAATAATTATTTATTTTCATTGATTATTAGCAACAACAATTATGTAATATATTTAATTATAATAAGTATTAAAATTAATCATGTCTATTTTTTTGTTTAGTACAATAGTCCCAAATATTATAATATTATATAAAGACAAAAATATATATATATATATATATATTTATGTCTATATTTATATTTAGTGTCCCATAAAGTTTTACCGAGCTACAAATGAGACATTTAGGACGATCCTAAATAGATTCAAAATCCTACGAGTGCAATAATAATTATATGTTATTAATTTTTTTTTAATTATAAAATTATTTAAAATAGAACTTGTATCTCATTGAAAATGGTCTTATGAAAAAAATGTTTACAAATTTGACATTGTGACCAAAATCTTGTTTAATTATTGATATGTTACACTATTATTTTTTGGTATTCGGCCACACATGCGTCCACAGAATAAAAAAAAAAATTTAGGATAAAATTTAGAATTAAGCCGGAATGTGACTTAATCCAACTTATAGCATGTGACATATTATTGTTTTGAGGTAGAATTTTATTCTCAATGCAGTAGTGTGCTTAGATTGAATATTGAATTTATTTTTAATATTTTAGAAATTGGTACCAATTTTTTTTGTTAAAAATGTATTTTTTGTGAACAAGTGTTTGTCACTAGTTTTCACCTTCTAACAAGAATAATTTTGTTTTATATTTTCGAGTCATCAATTAACATTAATCATGTCAAATTTGTAATCAAAGACAAATTAAAAATGATACCTCTTTAAAAAACATTTGTTTAGTATCAAATTTTGCGAGTACAATTAAAAGAACTTTTTTAAAGGCAGCCGTATGAGCTTCTTAAAATGTATTTGAAGCTAGATAGATAGCTTTATGGAACACTCTATATAATGGTCTTCATAAAATTCTACTTGTGATCCCCAACACAATAATGATCTTAGTTTAAATGTTTTTAACAAATGTGTAATTGTTCATCCAGAAAGGGTAATTTAGAGTAAACAAATCGATAGTGATAATATAGTAATATATCATACAGTGTTTGAAGAATAACAATTATTTAGACGTAAAATAATAACTGATTAATTCCTGGTGAAAAATCGTGTCCAGACTCCACTTTGTAGCTCCAGCCGATGCGAACTTGGCCATTATCTAGCTCTAGACGATGCAAACCTAACCATTATCTAGCTCTAGACGATGCAAACCTAACCATTATCTAGCTCTAGACAATACAAACCTAACCATTATCTTACTTACTGTACTCTGTTCACCAAGAGTATTAGGACTGCACGGAAACCAAAACGAGTTACTTCTGTCAGCGCAAACGCATTCGATAGTAATGCGTTTTTCATTTGTGCGCACTTGTTTTCTCCCGGTAATGGGTTATTTATGGGGGTACAGACTATCTTGTCTATACCCCCATTACCGATAACTTATGTGATATATGACAAATAAAACTCCGTCAAATGTAATTTATAAATCTTCAAAATGTATTTTATAAATTTTATTTATAAATATGAACAACACACACAGTACAATTTTAAAAAATGCGTATGCCATATAGAAGCATAATAGTAAATCATCTTAATATATATATTATATAATGTGTAAATATTTTAGTATACTTTGGAAAAATTGTATTCAATCGTAATTAAATCTAATATAATATAATAAATAAGTGTACCGAGTGATTGTATTAAACTTAATAAATAAATTAGCTACCAAGCAGTCTATGTATATATATTATATATAAATATAAATTTTAAGATTTCGTAAAACGTCTTGATGTGTAAAATTAACTAGCTTATAAAACAAATAATGAATTTGACGGTAATAATTTTGTTACCAAGCAAAATGAAATCGAAAGTAATACAAATTGTCTATCAATTGTTGTTTTAAGTAAGTAAATATAGATAAAAATAGGTACAATGATGAATCACTCTTTGGGACTAGGTTCAAAAAATAGAAATAAATAATACACACTACTGTTGTTTACAATACATATTACCAAAAACCATTTGACTGTCCACCGGGTGGATTCCTGACACGAATACTTGATTTCTTGACGTCATTGTTGTCGGCTGTAAAATTTCATTCGTCGTACATATTTTGTCGAAAATTAGATTACAACATAAATAAGCTGCTGCAATACTTACAGCTGAGCGAAAACGAAGAACTTTGAAGATCGCGTTGTCCTTCCATGCGCATAGCTCTGCCGGTGTGAATCGTTGAAGCTTTTGAACAGTTTGATATCTCGCTAGTGACGCTCGAGGCTGGAGATATTTTTAAACCGGCCGGTTTGAAATTTTCAAAATATTCATGCCTTCCGTTGGATTTTTTCCCAGTATCGACTTCCTCTTCCAAAGCTTTTGACTCATTTGCATAAACAAAATCTGCATGTGTCGGCATGGAAACGTATTTGCCATGTCCCTGAACAACTTTCAGATGTCCCTCATCCAGACAAACTCGTCCGCCCACCAACACATATTCTGGAACACCGTGGCACTCTATTCCCTGGAAGATAAAATTAGAACACTTATGTTTATAGTTGCAAAAAACGTTACCCTCCACCCCGATCCAAAAACAAAAACCGATTCAGCTCAGCCTGAAAATGATAAAAATCTAAAGTGACCAAACTTGATATACAAAATCATATTTCTCACCCCTGTCCAACACGGCCCAATTAAAAAAAAAAAAATTTAAAAAGACCAACCTTACCTCGATGTAAAATCTAAAAATGGTTCATATTTTGATGTGATTCAAAACAAAAACATCAGCCCAATTAACAATTACGAGCCCATAGAGGCTTATATAATATATATATATGCCTCTATGGGCTCGTACACGTGGTATTAACACTGCGACTTTTAGTATTATTTAAATACAGAAGTTCAATGGCGATTTAAACACTAGATTTTTTAAGACGCAACTGCTTGGAGGTTAAATAAGTATTTTTCTATGTGTGTACGCTGTGTATGGTGTCGATGTTGCGATAAATGTGGCGACGACGGTTAGCAAGTAAGCTTTAGGCGGAGAGAAATATTTTTACACGTAATCGACTGCATGTTTATATGCCTTGCCTCAACAACCTTTCATAATTTACCTGAGCATGTACAATTTGCATTTCAAATTTCGATCAAATATTTCCCATATACATTGGTCTAACTAAAATCCTACTCGATATATTATTTGTTGGACGAGACCTAGCTTAACCCTAAAATCGACACGACTCAATATGTAGTGTTACACCTGTGTAAAAACTTGTCAATGAACAAGTCATTGTATTACTAATAGTGACTTTTAATGTTTACAAACAAGTGCATAAACGTAACACATAACTGTTGTAGTGTACACATAATTGTTACGCATAATGGTTAAGGAAAACTTCTTTAAACAGTGTTAAAATTACTGATTTACCTCGAATATATTGTAATCGACAGCCTGATGATGAGTTTTTGACGATATTGTACGTTTAGCCCTCGGATTCCACACAACAATATCAGCATCAGATCCTACATCTATGTAACCCTGAAAAAAAAAATTGCGTTCGTGGGATTATAAAACCAATGTAATACGATATATATTAGGCTAGGGGCATTAACGAGTTGGAAAGTTAAAAGTTACTTATGATAATTTACAACAAAGAGGTCATTTGTAAGATTTTAAACTTAAAGATGATATTTGTAAGAAAAACTGAATAATAATTTAAACTTTTTTCAGACAACTTTTAACTTTGTTATTTTTAAAAAGTAACTTTGAACTTAAATAAGTTAAATTTTCTTCAATATTAACTTAAACAGCTAGTTTAAACAAAATAATTTTGCCTACCAATGAGTATAGATTATAAAGGTACCTACATTATAAATAGACTTTTATAACACAACAAATATGTATAATTCAATAATTGATAATAATAATAATTATTATTATTCATCTTACTTTTCTTGGAAAAATATTAAAGATCTTTGCGGCATTGGTGCTGGTAATCGCAACAAATCTGCACGGATCAAGTATCCCAGACTCGACGCCTTTTTCCCAAATTACCGACATACGATCTTCGACGCCATTAACTCCGTTTGGTATTTTACTGAAGTCTCCTTTGCCCATGGCTTTCTGATCAGAACTAAAAGTAGCATTGTCACTTCCGGTAGTTTGCAAATTATCTCTGAAACATTTTAAAAATATATGTTACCTTGGTTGGTTGTACACACAAAATTACTAAACAATATTATTGAACAACAGTCCAGAAACATAAAATGTTGCGCGTGTGCGTCATTACACTCGGCTGAAATGATACTAATTACGCTAAATTAGTTGAATAATCTGGAATAACAAGAGAGAGAATGTTGTTCTATTGGAGATTAGCGGGAGGAAACTAACCATATAGAAAAGTTTTATAAAATATTAAAATTTATTTCAATAATAAATTACTTATTATAGACAATAACTGACATTATTCAAAGGTTTTTATAGTATAAAATAAAAACTATTATAATGTTAACATTGTTATTACTCTTGTCATAATAGTTCTATAAACAGAAGTTATTGTACAAAATGTATGAATAATATAGTAATTTGTAATCTGATAAGAGGAAACCGATAACTGAAACAGAAAATCACATACCCCAAATGGCAAGTAGCGGGCCACACGCATAATCGTTTAACATTTTTTTGCTTTGGAGTCGCACTTCCTTCAATAAAAAAAACCGTTTGTGCTCTTTACTTACTTTGCTAACATTTCCAATAGAAAGGATGGTGTATTCGGATCTTCTCTTAAAGGTGGACTCAATACATGAGCAGCCGCATCGTGCCAACACTTCATTTTAGTTGAATCCCAATGTGTTCCCACGGCTGCAGCCAATGTCTCGCCATATATGTTTGTTTTTCCACTGCGTTGCAGTTGGTTTTTACGATGTTTAGTTAGAACTTCAGAGGCCGATTTACTCATAACGTGCACAACGTAAAGTGGTGTTCCCACCTTGTGAAGAATAAAAAAAAATTGTATTAGTTAAATATTTTTGTAAAAAGGACACATATTATATTATATAGTAATACTACAAAAAAAATAGTACTTGATTTGCTAATGTGCACGCTCTATTGACAGCCTCTGCTTCAACGTCTTCGGGGCGTGACAACCCATGACCGTCAGGACCGTTGATACCGGATTTCAATAATCTCTTTGTATTCTTAAAACCAACACGGACATTTTATTTCAAACAGTAATAGGATAACTCAATAGTTCATGATCTAGTTAGATATCTACCTCGTGTATAATGTTTCCGTTTTCTGCATGAACCATCGGCAGAGCACCAAGTTCTTTACATGCTTCAAAAGTATTATACAGTTCAGAATCATCCAACATAAATGCTCCTTTGTAAGCCATAAACATCTTGAACGAATTCACACCGTGTCGCGTACTAAGCTCTTCCATTTCTTTTCTTACCTAGATTTAGATGAAACGAGATAAAAATATAAAAATTTGTAATTAAATACACCAGAAGTTATTCAAAATAACAAAAATTTTATTCTTAATTATTAAAATAATTTTTATCCAATGACAAAAATTATTCTTAATAATTAAAATAATTTTTATCAATGACAAAAATTATTCTTAATATTAAAATAATTTTTATCAATGACAAAAATTATTCTTAATTATTAAAATAATTTTTATCCAATGAGTTTCAGTGTAAAACACAACTATTATCACATGATGGCTAATGTTAATGGTATTCCTTATGTAAAACAAAACCTACCTGATCTGACCATGATGATATACAGACGTGCAAACCATAATCACAACATACTTTATTGGTTGCTCGGGTTCGATATTTTTGATATGTATCCATCAACGATTCTCCTTTACTCGACAGAGCAAAATCAACTACAAGTATTTTTTTTAAAATTATTTTTAATACATCCAAATTCGAAATCATAAAAAAAAAAATCAATATTTTTAACATGTATGCATACTTATCATAGTAGTTCCCCCGGCTATGGCGGCTTTGGTTCCCTGATAGAAATCATCGACAGATACTGCTCCCATAAATTCCATCTCCAAATGTGTGTGCGGATCGATACCACCTAAAATTCAACAAGTTGTTACAACAAGATTTAATTAAATACCTAATAATAATAATCATAAATCATTTATGCATCTTATTTTTAAATTACATATCGTATACAGTCATCTTAAATTTGCAATTTCTATTTTAGTTTACTATTTTTCGATTTTTCTAGTAACAAATTAATCCTTACTGGTAACTTTAATATCATGACATAAAAATAAAATATATAATACACATTTTAGAAGTTATGCTGTATTTTTAAAAGTTTACCTTTTTTGTTTTTTTATTAAAAAAATAACAATTTAAAACTATCATGATAGTTATGCACCACCATAATGAAATTGTATTTCAAGTAGTTTTAAAGTAATTCAAGTAGTATACTATATTTAATTATAAACATATTAACCATACATTTCAATACTGTAGTAGCGTTTAACACGATTTTGAATTGGTTTACTAACTCGATACGCCTGGATATCGCCTATACCAATAAAAACAAAGTAGCTAAGTAGTCACCCATAATCTCGATACCGTACTTAGCCAAGGGAAGGAGTTGTGCTGCATGTTGCATTCGTCACATCGCGTTGATATCAAAATATATTACTCAATAATCATTGCTGTAATAAGATAATTATATTCTGTCATTGAAATATATAAAATATTGAAATTGAAGCTAAAAGCAAACTTAATGTCCTCTCAATTGAAAGCCCTTAAAACGTGCAAAGCAAGTCAAATAATCCTGCCAAAACAAATGGAAATTAATCATATTTATGTCAGTAGATAATAGATGCACATCAATTGAATGCCCAATTATGTTGAATAATTAGCTTTTATGCAGCTATATTATTATTGAAATACATCAAAATCGGTTATTTCTCACGTAGTTTCTTCAATACCTTTACCGCCTGAAGAAAAATTAGCAGCTATTTTAAAAGTTTCTTATATTTATCTGAAGATTATATATTTAATCAATTTCATAATAGACTATTAGGTTATACGAAATATAACGACACAAGCTTTCTTTTACATAGTACTGGTCAGACAAGTAATTAAGCGTTAATTTCTGTGGGGACTGTTATAGTATAGTACATATATATATATATAAAGTGTACACCATAAAACAATAGTTTCATACTTATTATTTATTTTGTATCAAATAAATAATTTTTATGGAATATAATATTGCCAGTATAATTGATCAGAGAAGATTGACATTTTTTTGGCGGGTCGAGTGGTTAAACTTAGCTTGAATAGAATATACATTCTTGTTAAAATAAAAAACACAGCAGTCTAAACTAACACAAAATAAATCAGAACAGATAAAGTTATCAAAGTTGGATCTCTCTTACGTCCCTTATTCCCACCCAAGATCGGGCTTGACGGTTTAGATCTGGAATTTTTGGCTTAAGCTGACTGCCGACTTTAAGCTACCAAACAAGTTGGCCCTAGAGAGAGGCGCAGGTGGGCATATTGCTTTCCCCAGACAGTTGCCCGTCCAGATGAACAAACCGCCAGAGGCCGAGATTCGAACGTGCCGTGCGTTTCGATACACTGCCACCTTATCTCACTCTGCCACGCGCCTGCGCAAGTAGCCAAAGTTGGATCAAAGCAATAATTATTGAATCTGAAGGTGATTTTATCACAATCAACTAGCAATGATAAAAGCTCAACGAGTTAATAGCCGATAGCAATTAATTTTCCAAAAACACTTAAATTAAAACACATCAAGTACTGTTAACTGTTATTCGATAAAATTCATTCAATACTCATCAGAAATATTTTAGAAGCAAATTTTTAAACTATCATACTTTTCTTATATTTCAAAAAAATTGTTTTGCTTTTGTTAGAACCCACTTAGAAGTTAGAACTTATTTGATTTTTAACCTAAGAAAGAAAGCCTTGTTTTTTGTACATGTATTCAGCGATGCCCAATTTTTAATAAAGTTTTAGTATATATATTGTATTATTATGTTTCAAATTAAACTAAAAACCATTGCTACAAATACATTCCTTTGTTAAGTGACATAGTAATAGCGAGAGCGTTTTGAGTACATATAATAAAAATAACAAGTTAGCATTTCATTATAATATCTGAATCAATGTCCAATCTATTTGTAGGGCAGTGTGTTTTTATAAATAGTCATTGAAGGGTCATAAAAAACATACTTCTGTTAACAAAAAGAATTTACTGGAGCTCTTACACGCACTAAGTCACTAATAAAGAAAAACAAGTTATTTGTAGCAAGAATATCAAATATAATAATAATAACAAATATTGTGTTAATCATATTTACCTGGCATAACAAGCATTGAACTTGCATCAATTACTCTTGTCCCTCCTGGTATCACAAGATTACGACCAATCATTCTGAATCAAATTAATTACATATTATATTATCAAACTACTTTGACTGCACGGTATTATTTAAAACTTATGAAGTGTGTACATACTTAATGATTCCATCTTCAACAAAAATATCATTATCCATTATCTTGTCATAGTTAACAACCTTTCCGTTTTTTATTAGTACTCGATTTTGGGAGCTCTGAAAAGTTTAAAAAATGTATTATAGAGTAATCGGATCATAGAAGAGATTCTGTATCGATGGTGGTGATGACTGCTAGGTAACATAAGGTTTTTAATAATAGAGGAATTGCTAAATTTTAAAAAGTACTTTTTTGGATTTATATGTCGGGTGGTAACCATACAATGTTCCTAAACAATTGTATTCAATATTTTTGTTTACAATAAACAATAATTATAGCTCTAATTTTTGTTTTTTTTATATTATGTTAAGTTTTAGTTCAATAATTCAAACTAATTGATATTCTATTGATTTACCAAATTATTTACTTTTATTTTAATGTGAAAATCATCATATTATAATGTATTCAGCATGAATAACAGAATAGGGTAGTTTTACAACAACATAACTATTAGACTATATCATATAATAGTTTACTATTTTGCTATTTGCATAGAACCTATCTATGGAAATTTTAATTAGATGCACTAAATAGGTATCATAATAGATTTATTATAATTATTTTTGATAAACATCATAATATGCAATTCATTCATTGGTATTTACAAAACCAAAAATGTGTTAAATGTTTATTCACTTTTCTTTTTTTTAATGAAACACAGTGTTGTTATGATCTCACTAATTTTTTTATTAATGTAGATTACTCGCAGCTAAAGGGTGTGACAGGAAGAGGAAAGTCATGCTACGGTAACTATTCTTTTACACACTCGCATTAGTGTTAATTTATTAAATAAAATATAGCATGGTTCGATGAACAGCTGTGGGAAAAAACCTACAATTGAAAAATACACAGTTTATAATTTAATCCCAGCATTAAACATAAATATAATTAAATACAAATACGTTAATAATAGAAATGTATTGAGAGACTTAAATGGTAGGTTTTCTATTATAATATTAGATAAATTTATTTTTTTCTCATTTTATATTATACAAAGAAAATATACTTTAAATGCACAATCCAATTTTGTAATATTATATATTTAAAAATATTTTAATATTTTAATTTGTTTGCTCACTAGGATTACTTATTATAATTAATTTGTTACAATGAGTTTTTTTTTTTTTACCTGTAAATGTATGGGAACTTTTTTCACTGGATTCGGTGCTGGACTCTCCATGTTTATTTCTACAACAACAATCAATTAAATTTCAATAGTTATAAGTATTTTCTATTTAAACTAACAAGTTTAAAATACTAATAGTAATATAAACCCAATTAGCAGTGAAATCTAGTTGTGTCGGTATTATTTAAATACCAAACAATTATCAAGTGAAAATATTTGTACGACCTATTAAAAAAATGTTTTCAAACTTTTTATGACCCAGCAATACACATGCACGTGATTAATAGCTAAATGTCATGTTCCTATTTACATCACCTCTATTTTTTTTTTATATGAAACATAAAATCAATATTGTCAATGGTAAAATATCTACACACAAGGTCGCATAAATTAAAAAATACATCAAGTGGGTTAGTAGCATGTTGATAGATATTCATAACTATATTACTTTAATACATCATAAAACACTCTACATTTAAAGTACTTGTACATAAAATGACTCATATAAACATTAAAAAATATGTACTCTTACAAAGATAGAAAAAAATTGTTGACTTAATATGTCAGCTGCTATTAAAATACGATATTTGAACATTGTATTATAATGTTAGTTAATATAACACAAACTAATTTTTAATTTGTATAATTAATGTATCAGCTGGTTTGAATTGATACATGAAAGTTTAATTATAGGTAACAATAAATTGATGTTACCTGATATTTAATGCATTTTGTTTCATAGTGTCATAGATACTTGTAATTAGGGATGTATCAATAATAATGTACCATAACATGTAGTTAGGGATATACTTTATAATATTATTGTTGGTGCTCAACCACCCCTTTTCCCTGTTAGCTTTGATTCGGATCTGAAAAGGTATAGTGATGTGTTTTTCTTTTTCTATTTTTGTGCCTGAACTTACAATTTCTTCTAAACCACTGAACCAATTTCTTCACGTAGTAAAACTATAGACCAGAAAAATATAGAAAACTATAGACCAGAACTTCAATGGGAGGACACTTTTTCTTTATTTTCCTTTTTATAGGTGTAATTCTAAACATTAAAGTCTGAAAATTAGACTGAATGTAGTTCTAGAGTGGATCATATCGTTTATGTTATACATAAGATTTTCTCAAAATTATATAGTCAAACCTTATTTTTATTACCTAAGGAGAGCCCCCAAAAAAGGGGAAAATAGTAGAGGTGATAGGTACATATTTACTATTATTTTTTAGAACAATCAAAAATAACAAGTGCACTTTACCGGACACCTTTTTTTTTTGCAATATTCTGTTTGCCATATTATAGTGTTTTTTACATTGATTATGAATTAAACTGACTCCTCTAGATCAGCTAAAGTTACAGCTACTTGAACTTTAGAAAACTGTTACGCGACATGACTGCGGCGCGGAATTTAAATTAATTTTTTTTTTCAATCAATTAGTTTTTTAATGCTAAAAACGCTTAGTTTTGAAGTTACAGCTACTGAATTTGGAGAAATATTGTTACGCAGACGGCTTGGGCGTCTCATACAACAATAATTCTCCAACTTCAAGTAGCTGTAACTTAAAAACTAAGCGTTTCCACAATTTGTTTTCTTTGCACCATGTTTTCAGCATTAAAAAACAAATCTATTGGAAAAAAAAAATCAAAATTCGGGTCTGGGTTGGTAAAGTCGATTAAAGCTCTAAAATTCAAAATTATAAGAAAAACAGACATGCCACTTTAAATGAAGCTTTAAACTGTTTTTAACTAGTTTTCAAACATTTTGCAACAAACAAACTCATAATTTTAGTTTTGAAAAGGGCCGCCAAATTAACTTAAGTAATGTAGAATAATATTTATATCTAAGACTTTTGAGTTACAAGTTCGAAACAAATATATCTTTGCCAATTATTGGCAAATATATAAATTGCCCGAAACCACACTAAAATATTTACACGTGTACAAGCAGTAAACAGTAGGTATTTACTTTAAAGAAGCTCGACTTCAGAACTTTAAACTATTTTTTTTTGACTCTATTGACCTTCAGTGATTTACATTAAGACAAGTTTTTTCACTTGTACCTGTATCGCGGTAACTCGCACTATACAATTCAAATTCAAAACTATACAACTCACCTGTGTTAATGTATTTAAATTATTGCGATTCCAAATTGTAGTAGCGGTGTCTCTCGGTTGACAATTGTTGTACTTGGACCGTAGAACGGTTTTTAAAGACTGCTTAGGACATTAATAATATCATTAGTATGATAGACTCGGTTGACGGCCAGTTACGGACGACGAAAGCTAACGGTGCCGATTCAATGGATACGCGAGGAATATATTATTATTATGAAGTTATTGTACAATTATTATAATAGGTACAATACACGTAAGTATAAATATTATTGTTTATAGAAAATCGCCCAACGGAACGACTGATAAGCACGAGCGGATGCGGTTGCTCTACTACTGATGTTTTCGCCGCAAGATTAAGGATATCATACAGATTTTTTGACAACCGACGTAGATTGTTCGTTGGTAGGAACACGATTTATATACTATAACGCTTTACGCGCGCACACAAGTCACAACACAGGCGTAGCTGGCGACCCACCACAAAATCATTGATTGAAAGGATGAGGAAAAAAGGGGGCAAAAACCTCCAGCGTTAGTGTGTACACTTGTGTGTAGATGGCGTTTTCTATGCGCGGGTAAAATAGAGTTGGTCAATGTCCTTGGTTAGTTCTAGAGAAAACTACTTTATTTTAATTATACAAATATTCAAGAAGACTAAAAAAAAAAATACAATTTTTCCTTATGGTTGTACGCGATACGTATTTCAGCACACAAACATTTATAAAATACATTATATTATGTGAGGCGAAAAGGCAGAGGGATCTCTTGTTGCAAAAATCAAATTTTGAGTCATTGTTTATTCCAAATTGTGAACATTTAAAATACTATTAACTTGAAATTTGGCCGAGTTCAATTTGTTTGATAATTTTTCGGAAATTTTCGGGTTTTTGTGCACTTTATATTATATTTTACAATTTATTTTCCCTAGCAAATCCTAGATATTGTGTTAAATACCCGGGCCCCAGTGTCTCTGAGGCTTAGGGGGCCCGGACCGCGTTCTGACTTCTTATTGCCGAATAAAAACATTGTAATGTTAATGGGGATCCCTCTAAGTTCTAGGCTCTTTCAGGGAAAAAGATTAATAATATTTTCTTGAGTTTTTCACTATATTAGGAGTACTATATGATATAGTATGCATATTATTTATACCCTACAAAGCTTCATTGCGAATAGCGATATTTAATACATTTAACATGCATTGACGGTGCAATGTTTTTTGACTTCCCAAGACATTAAATACTATCAATACTCGTACAATTCAAATCTGCCTCGAAAAATCAAAACTTAACAGGAATTGTACAAAAAACATGACTCGAGAGTAGACTATTCTGACCAGTTTTACCGTAAAAATGCATTGGTACAAAATTATAACTTCGTTTTAATTAAAAAATGTTTGGCCAGAATTATAGAATTAGAACTCCATTATTACTATGGTTATACGAATATCCTCTCCTAGGAATACCTTACCTAGGAATTCCTTTTTTATACCTTTTGGCTTTTGCTTGCCCATCAATGCTTTGTAATTTCTTTTATTTAATTTTAATTCCTTGATTCTTAGATAACAACAGTTTTTCACTTTTTTATTCGCGAATCATTCTCCCGCTGATTTCTCTTTTAAACTTTCTTCTAACTTTTAAGCAGTACTATATACTATAACAATTAATCTTAGAGTATATATACTAGTTTATATGATATTAAGTCGTAAGGAAAACTTGAGTGTATCTATAGAAATTATAAATTTAAAATCAGTAAAAAACAAATAATATCTGTAACGGAGTATGTGTAAATGTTGGTCGTTGACCGTAATAAAAAAACATAGATGGTATAGGAAATGATCCATACTATTTCGGACGTAAATCCGTGCCGCAGCCGCAGCTGTTATTGAGGAAGAGGCAACGGGGGGTAAAGAGCTCCACTCTTGACGCCGCGCCGCGCCGTGCCGAATTACCACTAGAACGCGTAGCACGGTTTTTCTTTTTTTTACGTATAACCTTAGTGATTTAAAATTTTTTTAAAGAATATTTACAATCTATGCTACAAGGCATAATAAGCAAACAGTAACATTAACTGTATATATATAGAAAAAATAAAACCGTAATAAAATATGAAAAGGAAGGTCATCCAGTGATAGAACCCAACGTGATTTTTTCCTAATTATTTTTAATTAGATTAATTTTTAAACTGTTAGATTAATAAATCTCGACACCCAATATCTTCGGGGTAAGACGTTTTGAAATGTGCAATTGGATGCATACCATGGGGCGGAAGAAATAATACGTAGAGTAATGGATTGGAAGGACTGTAAGCCGTAAGGTACGAAGTTGGGATGGTTTGCCACATCCTCAAATTTAGATTGCATAGCTGCCCAAATAGTCCTTAATAGGGATTTCGAGTTTGTATATTATAATCTTAGTATGGAAAGCTAGTTTTGATTTAAGGATTAGTCGTAGTAAATGGAGTCTGCTGTTAAGGACTTTTTTTTTTAGATATTATGCGAGGGCCCCAAGTTAAGAGGATTCGATACCGACCATTTTTAAGGAGTTTTGTATAGGCAATATTTAAGAAAAAAGTGGTTTTAATACATTTCGACCGTGTCAATTAATTGACCGGTTAATTTGTACAGGCTTCATGGTATTATTTTTAATTTAAATCATTTTGTCTATGAGTAAAAGCCATTTTAGTTAATATAATAGTGTAATTATTTTTGTCCATCGCACAGGCCGAACCAGTGATCCGATTAGTAATCTGAAAACAGATTTGAATTCGTTATGAAGTTTACTTGGGATCCTACAAGCTATTTTTTCGATATATTTTTCTTACTACGACTAAGAAACGTTTGAATATTTTATAAAATTTCAAATTTTGAAACCTGTTTTCAGATTAGTAATCGGAATTTGGATCACTGGTTCGGCCTGTGCGACGGACAAAAGATATACTTTTATATTAACTAAAATGGCTTTTGCTCATAGAAAAAATTATGTGTTTTGACTTAAAAACCGCCGGTATCTAATCCTCTTAATAGTTTGTTGAGTATGACACCCAAGATATTTGACTTCCGAAGATATCGGGATAGGTATTCCTTGGAATTGGGGAGGGACGAATGGGATTTTTTAAACATAAAAGGAACATATAATGATTTTTTAGGATTAGTTTTAATTCTCCATTTATTTTAAATTATATTTAAGTGCGTTTGAAGAAAATTGGAAGTTACTTCAGGGTCATTACCCGGGGAAAGTATTGCAGTGTCATCTGCATCTGTAATCTCGTGGGATGTACGTACGTAGCAATAATTGGTCTTAAATAATTTGTGCACAGTTTCTCTTTGGTATTTCTGGACAGTAATCTAGAATTAACAACGAGACCATAGCGAAACACGCTTTGTTAGCAGACTTCAGGCGTAGTTCAATTTCCTCGTGCTAGGTAATTTGGTTAGGTACCTACCTAAAAACAATTTGTTTAAGGAAATTATGAAAAATTTAACACTTAAGTGATAATTGTCCGGTGAATGTTTTGTGTATTCAGTGAATTTTAATAATGTAATACTCATTAAGTAACAAAGCCGTTAACTTAAGGTTTTTTTATAACAAATTTACAAAATGTTGCATCGTCCGAGAAAAAAAAAAAAGCTGTAGATTTATTTTTCACTTTTTTGCTATAAGGCATACAAATCTGAGGCATTTAAAAAATAGCACACAAATTAGGTGATCATTTACAATGAATATATATATAATATATAGTGCTCTAAAAATGATTGCTCAATGTAATTAATTTTTTCACGTATGACATGAATGAGTTTTGAAAACAAGCATAATTTACATTTTAGGTCACTCCCATTTGATTCGAAATCCTGTCCATTATATGTGTATGTTTTTACTCTTAAAAGTCAGTTGGGTACATTTTGTTTTTTTTTTTAGTCATAACTCATTACTTAAAATTAATTAATTAAATTTTAAAATACATGTAGTCCGTGAAGCGGGAACATAGACATATTTTATAATATATGATGTATATGTATATGTATTCATAGACCTATAAAGAATATTGATATTTATAGGTCTGTGTATGTATTATGTATCGTATATTCGTATAACATGTCTATAAGCGTGAACATGATCTTTCATCTATCTACTATCTAATCTATTATCTCTGAACTCTTATCAACTTTAAATTGTTTTATTGATAAGAATAAGTGAAGAGACGAGTGACCTTGTCCAATGGCATTACGTATATTTATCACAGATTAGGTTTCATTTAATTTGTGATTACAAATTTTAACATTTGACTTGACGTTTAGACTTTAGGCTTAGTTTTAACTTTTATTTAACATTTGTAAACGTTAAATTTGTAAATTTATTTAATTTAATTTTCATATTATGCGGTTGAGATATCTTACAAAATGCTGTTTTCTCTATCAAAATCATATCGATGCGTCCAAATGTATGGCGTGCCAATTTGTCCGTCAAGTAAATATTGTATTTTTTATTTTTGAAGTGTACCTTTCGTTATTGTATTAAGTCCTAATTTGTACTCGTAGATTTCTCAGTCATCAGTGAAACCAAACTCATCACCTTCAGCCATTCTTATTGATAAAAGTATACCTATATTGCCTGTCATTGGGCCAGACTCATTGCGATCAACAGATCCTGCCCTCGATGCCAAGAGTGTTGACAAACTAAAATGGTTGGAAACGAAAATAAATATCAAAGACTTACACCTTCATTATTTAAAATTATCTAAAAGTCGATTGACGTGTATGTATAAATGTGTATTTTACATAACTATTTCTACAATCTAATTTATAATCTATTTTAGCGTTAGTGGTAATGACAACTCTAGCTGGCTATACGATGGCGCCCGCTCCATTCGATCTAGCTACAATGGTACTTTGCTGTACTGGCACTGGTCTAGTGTCTGCAGCAGCTAATTCTATTAATCAATACCACGAAGTTCCATTTGATTCTCAAATGTCTAGAACAAAAAACAGAGTATTAGTCAAAGGCATATTATCGTAAGTACTGTTGCATTGTGGTAATATTTTATAATGGTTTAATGGTGATTGATAACAAACTAATTATACTAAAAAACAAAGGTTTTTGTATATTTTATTAATAAAAAAAAATAGTGTGTCAAATTAAAGTGTTTATTCTTAGGCAGCACAACCATGATGGTCAATTATAAATATTTGTCAGAAAGTACACATTATAAATTATAAATTTATTCTTCAATCATTTTACAGTGTAGTAAAATTTTTACACACTCGTTATCTTATTTGTCAATTGAATAGTATTATTTATGATCTGAACAGCCGATTTAAGCTATTGACCGCATGTTTTATAGTTAAAACATTCCAGCAGACACACTATTAGCTTTAATAAGAGTAGTTGTGCGTTAAACAATTTACAACAATTCTAATATGTGGTAATAATCTTGCATTTATTAAGTATTAATACATTTACTTAACCATAATGTTTATGGCATACACCTTAATAAATTAACAAGCTTTTATTTATTAATATCATAGTAAGTTAACCTTAATTAATAGTTAGTTATCCTGTTAATAAATAAAACTATTGTGCTATTTACAACAGAGCACTCACTAAGAAGTTTAAAAAAAAAAATCCAAGGACATAATTTTTTTTTTTGTTGTACCATACAGTTATAATTTTATTAAACCTGCCTTTTCAAATGTTAATAATAAAATTTAAACAATTATTTTTTTAATTTGATATTTTTTATTTTTTGTAGACCATTACATGCTCTTATGTTTGCAACCGTAAGTGGATCATTGGGCTTAGTCACATTGTATTATGGAGTAAATCCTGTATCAGCTGCTTTAGGTGCAGCAAATTTATTTCTGTACACATCGATTTATACGCCCATGAAACGTATTAGTATTGCTAATACTTGGATCGGTTCAATAGGTACTAAAGTATATATATGTATATGTATATAGTTTAATAATGCTACTACTTTTATCAACATATTAGCTGCGATGGGTAGTGCCGGAGGTCAAGTAATCGAATTAGGACCCCTAATAGTTTATGTACCAAATTATAACAATTTCGTTGTTATATTTTGTAAATAATTGACATTAGTGTACTTGACTTTTGACAACTGCCTGTTTTACAAAAAAAAAAAAAAAAAATGTTTCGTTATTGTATGTAGTTGGTGCGATTCCACCATTAATGGGTTGGGCTGGCTGTACCGGCGGCATAATTGATTCTGGCGGCTTATTATTGGCTGGCTTGTTGTATGCGTGGCAATTTCCTCATTTCAATGCTTTGTCTTGGAATTTACGACCAGATTATTCAAGAGCCGGTTACAGAATGATGGCGGTTACAAATCCAGGTAACAGTTTTTAGGTTTTAGTTTTTTCCAAAGTTCTTTGGCCTTGAACAATCTCATTTTATTTTTTTTGCAGGTCTGTGTAGAAGAACAGCATTGCGATACACCATCAGTATATTCGGCTTATGTAGTGTAGCTCCATTATGCGATCTCACTAATGTATATTTTTCAATAGCTGTTGCACCATTAAATGCCTATTTTATATACCTAGGTGAGTTGAACCATTAACAATTTCAAATTATCACATGCTAATGACTGGTAATTGATTGACAGCTTGGAAGTTTCATCAAGAGTCTGATAGTAAAACTTCTCGGAAGCTTTTCAGGTTTTCTTTAATTCATTTACCCGCCTTAATGATTTTGTTACTAGTCAATAAACATGGCATGTGGTCAGAAAACAGGTAAATAGTACACAACTATTTAGTTGTATATCATTAATCTCACCCATGAAAAATCTATATTATGTTTATAGAAACGAAACAGAAAACAGCGAGTTTAATTCAACAAAAAAAGACCAGAAGAAAATAAATGTTATTTTTAAAACTCCTGAACCATTATGATATTTGTTCGTACTGTAGTATCATTGTTGTTGTTAATTTTTTGTTGACCTTTTTCAATAAGGTATACATTATTATATTATTTTTATGTATATTATAATAATAATATATTATGTTTTATAAGCAATACTGAAAAATTTGGTCTGCTTGACCGTCTAAATGCTTTTCACATTAATATTGCATAAGAAGTAAGAACAAATAAAATCGTATTTAATAATTGTCTAGGCTACAAAAAATCATTGCTTAAAATATGTATATTGTAATATCGTCAAAAATACATTGATAAAATAGAATTCCTATATGTGAATTATGTTTTATTACAAAACAGATAATATGAATGTTTAATACTTTTATAAGTGTACGAATTCCCATGGCATACCCGTTCTCCATGAATTCTATCATTTGTTTCCTAATGATATGCTACTGATTACCCTAAGCATACAACTATTGATACTTTTAGTTTTAAATACTGTAACTGATATTTATTTTCCGTTAAATACTTTGTGATAGATTAAAAACTAATAATTATTATTTTCACTTTGAAAGTCAAGAATTTGAATTTTTTTTTGAAAACATCAAATAACTAAGCAAATTTCAAGTTGTGTAACGAACCATTTTTGATGTCTTAAAAATATAGATTAGTTTCGGCGAACTTTTGTGGAGGTGAAATCTTCTTCAAAACAGCTTAATCCATTGATCATTTTGTTCTTGGTTTGATGTATATAACTGTTGTAGCATTTTTTTTATCTATATATATATATATAAATCGTAATAAATTATAAAGATAGCAATGCCACTTTGTTAAGTGCTAGCTAAATACTCAGTCAGTAGGTCAGCCATGTAAGATGTATTAGTGTAACCTATAGTATTTACTAACCATTAACCTACTAAAGTGATTAAAATTTATATATGAATAGTGAGCGAATATTGAATACGTTATATATTCTGTACCTTTTGGTCTAAATGAGCCAATCTCATTTGTAACTTTTGCCAAATAAGTTTAAGTTTTTTTTCCGGCGTTAACTGATTTATAAGACTACATATACTAATTCAGTTTTTGTTCTGAAAATGACATTTTCACAGAATGTATAGAGCGAACTAATTAACACGTTGAGTGGTCTTAGTTAAAATTCTACTTTTTTTTGGCAAGTTTAGGCTCTATACTTAATGTACATGGACATATCTGTTTACATAAAGTACCAACTTTCAAAAATAAAGAAAAGTTTAATAAAATAACAAAAAACAACACTAAAAAATTGAAAATCAAAGTAATTGAAATTATTTATTACAATTTTCGAATAAAAATTTAATGTGAAATGAAATTAAATGTGGGGTTTATTCGAATAAATGTAATAGTAAAAATATTTTTTAGTTTAATTTATACTTTTATTAATGCATTTCTAAAAATTGTTTTATTTTTACCTAGCAAGTGTTTTCTGAGCATCTAAATTAATAAGGAAATAACAATATTTATTTATTTTTATTCTATTATTAATTATTATTTTTTTTTTTATTTATTAAAGGTACACTATATATATACGTAACTTCATCTCATATAGATTATAGTATTTACTATAGAGTATATTATATAGAGTACTTAGAATAAATCAATGAACATTACAGCTATTATTTAAATTTCTATACAACACTTTGAATAGTTTAATAAGAAGGCCAAAACTCAAAGCTCCAAAATAATAAATAAGACCCTGCGACCCACTGAACTCAATATTTATATATTATACTATGTAATATTATTAATATATTATTGAGTTCAGTGCTGCGACCTGCGTAGTGCGTAGGTTTGAATGTTTGATATCAGCGGCGCAATGCGCATGGAGGTAAATTGCTAAGTAGGGTAAAGATCTGGTGATTGTAGTAGATATAAACAGTACTGTTATCTTCCAGTTACTTTGGTTATCCTAACATTGTGATAAGTGATTTAAATGGTTCAATTTTTTTCCCCCTTGTTAGTTGCTAATTATTTTGCTATACTTTTTAACAATCCCCGCTTAGAAACAAGTTAATGCTATACTTATATCCATGATCACATAACGAATAATAATGTTCACTAACATGAAGTACTTAAGTGTAAGTATCATTGTGTATATCTTAAATTAGGTATAGATATAAAATATATTGTGTATAACTGGTGAGAAATTTTTGGTCGGCCTAAAAAATTATATTTTTCAAACTAAAAATGCTTTTGTATTTATCGGTCTTCAACACGTCTTACATTCCCAAATTAGTTTTTTTTTATTGGATTATTTTAGACATTATATTGAATGCTCCATGTGACCTTCATATTATATCAAAATGTATCGTTATTTTTCGATGTATCGAGAAAAATATACTGTTCTGTAACATCGATTCAGCTTGGCCAGTGACATTAAATTATTTAAGCTTTATGTAAAATATAGCAAGTTGACACTACCCGCAAAATGTGTTATTAGCAAACTGCAGTGTGTGTTATTATTATAATTAGCCGTGAACTGTTTTATTCTTCATGCCATTATCGAGCCATAGGTGCAAATTGACAGCTGACTACAACTCTAGTAGAGCTGTGACTCACACTAAAGCACTAAGTCTAGTTCGGACAATACTATAACAGAACATATATTTTACCATTTTGATATGATGCACAACATATTATAATTTTATAAGTATGTCAATACAACCAGTCCACTCTTGTCTATCTGAATTAAACTTAGACAAAATCCATCAACAAGATCCACTAGCTTAATTAATCCGAATCACCCCTTGTTTTATTCTGCCGCAATACGTTGTGTTTACATCTTTCCAAAGCTGAGTGTTGTATTGACGGTATGTCTGTGCGAGTTTCCACAAGTTCGTGCCTACTGGTCAATTTTTTTCTATTTTATATTGTACTACAACAATGTTTATGGTTACACTAAAGTAGACACAAATTAACACTGACCTTTCTTGCAATAACACATTAACTCTGGCACTGACCAAACAAATTTCACATGTTTTTAATCATCTTGCAACATTGATCTCTCACCTCTCAACTAACTTTAACATATATGTATTATGACTAATGAATAGTTAAAATTGTATAATACAAGTTTACTTATACCATATTAATTAAATTCTAACTGTTATATGTTTGATTCATTTTTAGCTTAGTTGTGTAGCTGAAAAGGTTTTGTTTTTACAATAATGGGTATTAATTTTATTTTATTTTTGTGTCTGAATCCTTGGTATCTTTTATCTGCTGAACTAATTCCTCTGTGTAGCTACTCTATAGATCAGAAATCGTCGTATCTGTAAGGTGCTTTATACTTGAGCCCTAATTATATCCTCCATCATTACCAAAGTATAATTATATGCACATTATGACTTTTACAGCACTTTCATTGATTTTTGATTTTCTGTTATCTACTGATTCAAATTAATGCGTTTATTGTTATCTACTGATTCACATTGATGCGTTTATTTAAAAGTGACTATCCCTTTTAGTTATAACAACTTAGACCTGTGACCTCCCCTGTCCTAATATACTCCATTCTCACTGTACTTTTATGATAATCATTTAATTTTAATACAAGCAGATATTTTTTTCCTGTTTTTTTTAAAAAAAAACTTATTCAGGACATTATTTGAAATGAGTAATTTTGTTAAGCAGCAATTTACATTATAATTTGTTTTTGTTAAGTATTATTGTAATAATGCATTGAATTATTAACGAATAATAATATTTTTATAATACAAATTTTAACATTTCTTCTTGGATAAAATTAATTTTTTTATTAACATGTGTTTGAAATCAAATAATAGTAGAATGAAAATAAAACGTCGTTTGCTTATTTTTCAGGACTATTGAAAACTTGATATATATATACATATTTATATGGTGGTAAGTAATAGTATATATTTTCAACTGTAATGGATGACTTAGTCGAAGACAAAATTATATATCAAGTTTATTTGTCACATGTGAAATTATTTACATCTAAAATATTGTCGGCTAAATCTAAAGTTATTACCTTAAGCAACATGTGGACCTACATTCGATTCTACTTAACTAAGCCAGAAACAATATTATGTTTGGCGTTAATATTTTGCTTATTTGCTTTAACTGGCAATGTCTATCAGTATATGAATGGATTTCTAAAAAAAATAAACCGTGGTATCAATTCGTTTGGAGTCAGTAATTTTCAACAGTTAATGCTAGATGAAAAAGATGCACTGAGCAAAAATTGGTCCTTTGATGGAAAAAATGTTGCTTTATACGCTATTAAAGGAAGACGTTCACAAATGGAAGACAGATATGTTATCAAAACTAATATTATGGATACTGGTATCTCATTATTTGCTATATTTGATGGACACGGTGGAGAAGTAAATATATTTTTAATATTTTATTCTTATTATTATGGAGGAAAATAGGGGCTTACCCACCAAAATATAAAAAACAATATGCCTGTAGCCCTCTCAATATTGTTTATGTTTTCTATATGAGATAATGACACATTGGCTAACTGAAAAGTTTATAATATAAAAAATGATTTGCTAAAAAATAGATGCTTTTTGTAACCAGTCAACAGTAATATAATATTTAGTCTAAATCTAGTATTATATAACTAAATTTTTATAAATGTACACGAAAAAACAAAAAAAAGTATTTTTTACAAGAAAATTGAAACCTTACATGACTTGGTCCTATAATGGCCCACAATTAGTTCCGACTCATTATTCTTATTGAGGAGGTTTCTAGTAGCCCTATATAATTCGCTTGAGCTTCTTATAGATCTTACCATTTAAAGTGAAATCTGCTTATTATACTTTTGAAATTATTTTTCATGCCATATTTGTATCAACTATTATATCTAATGTTAAAATAATGATAAATCTACAAGTTTAAATGTAATATAATCTAATTTATTTTTTTTTTTTCCAGTTTGCCGCGGAGTACGCAACTACTAATTTAATGCCGAATCTTATGAACAAAGTAATTGAGATAAAAAAATTGCTCAACGAAAAAAATATCAATACAGATGATAATTATAAATCCTTAATATCAAACACACCAGAAAACTTAACTCCACAGATGAAGCCAAAACTCACTAAACCAGAAGGATTGATGGCTTTGAAAGCCAGACATATGAATTTTACAGACGACAGTGCAATTAAGGGCAGATTAAGTTTTAATATAAAAATGGATTCATTAAAACTTGAGGCATCAAAAGAAAATGATACTGTAGTAATAAATCCATCCACGTACTTGTCAAATGATGGAAGTATAAATTTCTCAAAATTATTAATTGATGAAGTATTAGCGGCTGACAAGTTGTTAATTGAAACGGCAAAGCGTACTTATGATATTGCAGGTCACTATTAATAATTCTATCATTGCTTATGTTTAATTTTTTAATGAGTAAGGCATCTTAAAAAAACATTATTTCTTTCTTAGTAGATTCTATAGTTTTGAATAAACAGCAATTGTTTTAATAATTACAATTTTGAATTTTGAAACTTCCTAATTTAAAAAATAGTTAAGTCAATGGAAAAAGATCAAACTACTAGTTATAAAATCTTAACTTTATTAAGTAATATATTTTACATTTAATTTTAAATGTATTTCAGGAAGTACAGCACTTATTGCTTTGATTGAAAACGATACATTGTTTGTTGCCAACGTTGGAGATTCTAGAGGTGTTATGTGCGATAAGAAGGGAAACGCTATACCTCTCTCGTTCGATCATAAACCACAACAAGTAAGTGTTGTACAATCTAAATCAGATTTGAGAATTATTTGAATAATTTTTTATCTAAATGAAACGATAAATATTATATTTTATCTAATAATTTTAATATTTATGACAAAATTATTATAAAAATAAATAAACAAAAATGTGTTCAATTCTATTAAGCAATTTATTTATTATTACTTATGAGTACATTTTTGTATTGATTATTGAATTTATTATTTATTTGAATGTCTAACAATTTTAAAATTTCTATAATTTTATTGAAATGCTTTGCAGTTTGTGTAAATATAGAGCAATGTTGATATCAAAATCAAGATCGCTCAACCTTGAGACCTTTGTATAATTTGTTTTAATTGAAGTGCGCTTTTTATATAAAATTATAAATTATTTAAGAAAAAACTTTTTTTCTCCAAATTATTAAGTTACATTAATATTCATAAATACAATAAACATTTTTTTTATTTACTGTATATGAAAATTTATCTTTAATTTACTAAGATTATAAATTTGTCATAAATAATAAATAAACAGAAACTAAAAGACTATTTTCTATTAGTCTAAAATAAATGATGTATTATTCTATTTAATTTTGCCTATTACAGTCGAGAATAATAACAATAATTCCAACATCAAAATTTAAATATATTAAATTGTATCAATACACGTCAACTGTCTAATGTGATTTGAATAATTTATTTAATTAGATGCGAGAAAAGAAGCGTATAGCAGACGCTGGAGGTTTCATATCGTTCAATGGAGTTTGGCGTGTTGCTGGTGTTTTAGCTACATCGAGGGCACTAGGAGATTATCCATTAAAAGAAAATAAATATGTTATTGCCGATCCTGACGTCTTGACTTTTGATTTATCACATCATGACCCTCAGTTCATCGTATTAGCGTCCGACGGCCTATGGGATACATTTACCAATGAAGAAGCAGTTGAATGCATTAAACACCATATTGATGATTCGTTTTATGGAGCAAAATATTTAACATTACAATCATTTAATAGAGGATCTCTGGATAACATCACTGTACTAGTCATTAAATTTCCACCATCATGGAGTAAACAATCACACAACGGAAACAACGCAGGAAATAAATAAATGCACGTTTCAACAATAGTTCATATTTGTTTTAATGAAATACCTCAAATGTATACTTAAGTGTTTTGTTAACTAATTTTGAATATACCGAGTATTTGTGTAGTTCTAATTGAAATAATAGTTTTTTGTTTTGCTGGTTATTTAGTTATTGTTACGTTTATTAAATGAGAATTTCTATTGTACGTTAGTTGAAGTAAACATTATTATTTTTACAATTTGTATCCATTTATATAATATTTATGTAAATATATTATACTTCTTTGTACAACCTCCAAAATTGTTGGGTAATTATATTTTATGATACTCGATACAATCAATTGTAATTATGTTTACGGAGCCAAAATGAATATTTATTTTGTACACTAAATATCTTCAAAGTAACCCACCACGCACATGATGAACAATATTTTTATACTTATATCAATGTTTGTTATAATTTGTGGATAACTTCAAAACAAATTAAACTACAAATAATCATAACTCGACATTTAATAATACATAATTAATAAGTTCATTATTTATTGGACGGATTTATTATCATTTTTAACTTACAGCCACTTATTGAAAATCACATAATACACGTTTTGTACTTAATGCAAATGATATTCACTTAATAAACAATATGATAGTTACGTAGATTTTATATATAAATAAAATAATCAACACAACATAATTTTGTTAAAAAAAAAAATATGGAAATACTTTACATGTTATTGTTAAGTTAGAAATTGTATAGGTTATTAATATTTATCACATTATAGTCACAAAAATTAAAATACAATAAAATATATTTACTTAATTCAACATTGGTATTATTAACTTGTTTATTAATAATAATAGTTACATGACAAAAAAAAAAAAAATGTATAAAGTGCATGGTTAAAAAAAAAAATTGCTACCTAATTTATTATTAATAAAACCCTGAAATCCGTAGTATTAACTATTAAATATTCTTAAAAGAATGTTTGGGACCAAATTAAGTATTTACATATTTTATAATTTACATTATATTAAACTAATCAAATTGCATAGCGGTTTTACTTTTTTTTATAACATACAAAGAGTGTTGTCTCAAAGATAACATTTATTTTCACGTGAACTACATACAAATTGTATACATAGGAAAACAACAATTTTAATACAATAATGTGTTGAGTACAAATTACGTTTATGAGCAATCCTTTAGTTGCATTAAAATACAATTTATTTCATTTCTATAGTTATTATTATTCATTGCTTTAATATTTATTGGTATTAAGATTTTAACAAGTAATAAAATACTTATTTTATACTTATTTAAATAATTAAATGAAAAAAATAACATTACTTATATTTACATACTGACAAGGCACATTGGACGGATAACTTGTTTGTAAAATAAACATTCATATAATAAAAATAATGAATAAATACTAGTCAATTAACTATGTAAAATGTTAAATTTTATCAAATTCTTTAATAGGTACTTAAAAACTAAATAATAATAATTGTTTTATACAACTAAAAAAAAAAGAAGAAAACTCTTGAACAAAAACAACTAATCTGAAATTAATCACATAAAAACCCAAAACTGTCAACTGTCAACTGTCCTTTAAAAAAAAATAGGTAGGTATATTAATACCAATATGTTTTATAGTGACTATAAATGAAAACGTACAACTTTCATACCAGGAAAAATTATATTTGTACTATTGTAATTATATATAAAATAAATAGTCAATTAAGTAAATAATAATTACAACAAAAAAAAAAAAAAAATAAAGAAGTACGCTTTAGAGAAATTTTAATGTCAAAAAAACTAGTTTGAATATCCAGTAGCAAACAATACATTAAACACTCTACAAAAGAAACATGGAAAAATATCAAGCAAATTATTACAAATTTAAAACAAAAGTATTCATACTAAAAAAAGAATCATAATAGCATACTTTAAAATTTGTATAAAATATAGAATGTTTAATAAGTTGATAAATAAAATAAATAAGATAAACTGACAGCACAGTATGTTAGGTAACTCGTTATTTTGAGATACAGGTTAAGAACACCAATTTTTATACAGTGTTTTTATAATACTGAAGTTATAATGCTTTTGGTTAAACTTTATGTTTCAAAGAAATAATTACTTCCAACAAAAATGATAGAACCATTACTTCAATACACAATTTTTTTTGTAGTAACAATAAGTTTTAAAATTTTGTTAACACAAAAAAAATTTAAATTATAGTATTAACAATTTCTGAAGGAGATTTATTGTTTTCAAAAGGCAATCAGTAGCAATGAATGACTAAACATTATTCATTGATGATTTTTGCTTAACAAATGGGAATTGAATTCATACACGTTGCTACATTGTTCTCCGCAAATATTACATTTCCAAGGATTTGTTTCTGAGTGACACCCTTTGTGAAGGAAGTAAAGGGTTTGATCGGGGAATGCGATACCACAAAATGAACACTGCAGTGTTTTTTTAAAAGCCATACATTTCCAAAAATTTGGGTCGTTATTAGGTGGTTGCGATGATTCGGGTGTTTTAATTAAATTTATTTTTCGATTAAACTCATCACGCAGTAGTGATTTTAATGGAGAAAGTTTGATTAATGATGATAAATTTGCGGCCGATTGATAACGTCCCGATTCAGTTTCTCCATTATGGCTAGCGTTTAAATTGCTTTTTCTCGAAGGTTCTTCTCCTTGTTCTTGTTTTATTGGTATCAGAGAAACAGACGGTGTAATGGTACTTACTTCACCTTCTTGCCTGGTGTTGCCTGACAACATTGGTAAAGTGGTTAAGTTTGAATTTGAATCTGTAGACTGTGGAGAATTTGGACAATCGTTATCGGCGAGTACCACCTCTTCATTGTTGGCATTTTGAACATTGTCTCTTTTGACGCTATTGTCAACAATCTAAAACATAGTAAAAAAAACAGTTAATTAACTTTACTAATAAAAATCTGTTAAACAATAAACTACATATAGAATTATAATTTATTTTTAAATTCATTCTTATACGCTAACTAGCAAGGAGTTATGACAGAAATAATTGGTTATTAAGTTTGAGAATGTTGTATTACAGGCTGTAGTGCACACCAAGTAAGTGTAACTAAAGAAATAAAATTAAGTGTTTCTGAGTTACAATCTGTAGTCACATTTAAATACTCTTCTACATTTTTGTTACACACTTTTTAAAGTTATAACCAATAAATAACTTATGTACAAAACAACAATTAATACTACTTTAAAGTCACGAAAAATATAGTATATATAATTTCTTAAAAACAATGTCTCTAGGTAAAAATTGTATCCGATTGAAAATAATTGTTATTAAGAACTATTAAACTTCAATTTGTAATTTAAAGTTATTTCTGCTAACATCAATATGTGTCATATATGTTATTTTTTTTATTAACTTAAAGAGTCAAATAACAACAATAGATGATTTTAATTTAGTATAAATAATTTAAATAAATAATAAAATATTAATTAAGGTGTCATAAAAATATAAAAAGAGTAAAATGTCTAATTATTTTTAAGTCATAACTATTATTTGAATGTATAAAAAATGTGTAATATGTTAACATAACAACACGTTCTAATTTATAATGATTTACAGTAAAAACTCTATCCTATTTAAAATAAAATATGTAATATACTAGTGAAGCGTTGATAAATTATTTTTTATTTAATAATTGTAAAATAGAAAAATAATCCATCTAGAAACCATCATCTCATAATAAAAGAGTTGGGCCTTAAAGGCCCGTTAAGCTGATGATGATGAAGATAGAAAAAACATATCAGAGTATTATTATTAAAGTATAAAAATTAGTATCTGACATATTAAGGAAGTCTTATTCGTGAACTGAAAAGAAATGTGAAAAAAAAAATCATGTTTTACTTACAGGTGGGGAAATAAAAGACGAACACTCTAGTGGATTTGGTTCTGCCATAGATATCTCGACATGCGGTGTAAGAAAATGCATAGGTGGCGTAGCATTGCTTTCAGAACGATTACCACTAATTGATTCTCCGCTGTCACTGCATGCTCCACTGTTACTGATATTGCCACTATTGAAGTCAACAGTCAAATTATTTGTAGAAGTAGAATTCATCATTCCAACACCAGGATTGTCCAAGTCGATTCCATGTCTGCATTGTAAAACGTTCATTAAAATATTTACTACTTATATATTATTGTTGAAAGGCATAAAAAAATATTGAAACCTGTTAAAAAAGTGAACACGTAAACTTTTCATAGAACTCGCACGGAAATTACAAAGTGGGCAAGACTTGACCATGTCGTGTTGTCCTACGTGTTCGTTTTGAAAATGGGCTCTCATTGCAATTTGACGCTGAAAACCTCTATTGCAAATTGGGCAGTGAAATGGTAATGTTTTTGTGTGAGTAGTGAAATGTTCGGCTAAATGGTCCTTTCTAAAAAATCTCTTCTGGCATATTTTACATTCGTAAGGCTTAACACCTGTATGTCGCATTTTATGCCTTCTCATGTTAGCTCCGTTTGAAAATTTCATATTACATATATCACATTCAAACAATTTACGATTTGTTTGCGATTCATTATCATTATTGCTTTCATTTCCTTGGCAAGTAGCTATATGTGACACTAAATTGGATTCATTATGTGTTTCATAATTATCGCACCTATCACATCGATGAACAGAGGTTCCTCCATCTGAAGTCGTATCGTAATTGGAATGTAAACCACTTGTATCGTTTTCTGCATCACCATTTTCATCAAAATTATTATTGGAGTTATCATCATTGTTTCCAACAGATACATTGAATTCAGTTTTCACAATCATATCGGGAGAAAACGATACAACTTCAGACATGATATCGTTTGTATCTTTTCCTCCAATAATATGACTAATGCAAATATTTTTTGGATTAACATAAGCTAAAGTACTAGTTGATTATTTCTGAAACAAAAATTATAGCACGCAATTTAGCAACAACTTAAGATGTTATTAATCAAATCACATGTGTAAAAGTGCATATAAAACCAATAAATTTAGTACTGCCAAGTATAAAAAAAAAATAACTAATACAGGATAAAAATTAGTTACTTAAAACAATAATAGACTATACTTCCCATGACTACATTGTGTGCCATAAATCATAACGTATATATTGAAACTGTACAATTAAAATAATCACCAATTAAAATATTGAAAAAAATAAAAATGATTGACTAAAAAATTATAATAGATAAATATTATTACATAAATTAGCTAATTGCAGACTTATCATATTATGTTTAAAGGTCATGGCACACATCTGAATTATAAAAACAATCAAGAAAATAAACTAGTCACAAGTGTCTTCACTAATTGATTTAAAATGTTTTAAAATTAAGGAAATATTTTGTGTAAAGCACAATTTAAATCAATGATTTAATGATTAAAATAAAAACAGTACTTAACGTAATCATATTAAAATTTGTATTCAGGTAATTTAGTAGATTCATACATTATACGATAAACTGCATTGACAATATAGGTAATTATACTTCAAAACATTCCTTGCCTCAGGTTACTCAATCCTAAATAAGTTGGGCAAGATTATAGTACACTAAAAACTAGGTCAATTTCATGAAAAGTGGGTATTACTACTAGACTTACTAATGTAAAATTGATAATAAGGTACACGGAGTTGTTGAACAGCAAACGCGTCTATAGTGGTTTTTTCCATTTTAATCTATACAAAAAAAAACTCAGGAACTAATTTACACGTATATAATAGTTAAAAATGATTTTAACAAAAACACTAGTTTTTTGTGATAAATAAAAACCCATTAGGTACTTTCGTTTGTTTGAAAAGAATTATTTCAAGAATTATAATAAAGTAATGTTTACGTTACAGTCTAGAAATAGGTATTTTTTTGAATAATTTATTAGAAAAAAACTTTAATTGAACAAAAAAAGATTACAAAAACGTTCTAACTTTTTTAATAAAAAAAATCATAATTTGTTATATACAACCAGTGTATCCTTAAACACTAAATGAGTAATGAGTGATAATATTATACTACACTAGTGTAGTGCATGACCGCAATGGTGTAGTGTATGTACGAGCAAGGTACATTTATCAGGTGTTTGAACTCAAATATTATGTCCTCAGTACTAACTACTAACCATAATATTTGACCACTAGATTGTGTTGTATCCAATGGAAAATAATATTCCCAATTAAATATAATAATACTAACTCACACGATTAAGTGGACTCAGGACTAGGTAATCGAAGTAATATTAATGCTACCGTATCCTAAAACTGTAGATTGATATAATTTAAAATTTAGTAGTGCATCTTGTGCAATTAGTCGGCGAGAGGGGACAAGGGGTTTCAAGGAACAAGATTTGATAACAATAGGAATCTGATACAAATTATTCTTCAGTCTTCACCTGTATTTTCTATTTTCCATTTTTTTAAATGGGTCTACGAGTAATTTTCTCATTTTAGACCTCAATTTAGTAGCATAGGCATATTTACCTGAACATAGTAATTTTTTTATAACCCGTCTATAACTACACTTAGGGGCGTATTTAGATATTTTATTTTTGGGAGGAGGCTGAGGCACTTATTCCTAATAAAATCTCCACAATATTAAATTTCTACAATTCACATCCTATAGGCAGTTTTAATATAAAAATAAAAATATACCAATATATTATATTGGTATATTTTCAAAGTAAAATACCTATGTAGCTAGGATCTCTTCATAAAAGCTAAAAGGACCGTCGAATTTGGTTTTATTTAGAATTACATTAATATTTTAACGTAGAATAAGTAATTTATATAAACCGTTACTTTTAAAATTACGTTTTAAAAAAAAACAATTTTCAAGAAAAACATTTTCTGGGGTGTCTATAGGTAGCATCCATGATTAAAATACTTATAGACAATTACGCCTATGTTTTCTATCTAATAAAATTGCATTCCTTTATAAAATGAAAACATTAAAGCCGCGTATACACGGTTCACTCTGGACGATTTATATGGATCAATCATCCAAAGTAAATTAAAAATGAACAGTGTATTTAGAAGATATTTTATTGATGTATTAGAAATAATAATTAGTCAAATCAGTAGCTTAGTTACTAATGCAAGATGTTGTAAAGGAGAGGAGAGATGCCAACTAGTGTTGAGTTAAGCCTAACAGAACCGTATCTATAGAATAAGTTTTTCTACAATTTTGACTGGTTTTCGACCAGTTTAAAGGTGATTACAACAATATTAATTTTATCGACGATCTCGAACGGAAGAAAGGAAACACTTCAAATTTATGAGGTTAAATATTATGTTTAACTATTTTTATGTATTCATACATAAATATAAACAAAATACAAATTAAAACTAAAATTAAGATTTTAATTGTTATTATTTAAAAGACAAAGTTTACAAGTAGAAAACATCTAAGATATCGTTGTTTCCTATTATAACTCACTTATTATACTCTGACGTCTCGGCCGGCACCGATCCCAGTAGCTGCCTTGGCAACTTCGAGATGATGCAAAGATAGCTAAAATGAAATAGAGATGATGCAAAGATAGCTTAAAAGTATACAAGCACGTCTTACGTGGAAACGTGGTTGTTAGAGCTTTAATATCCTATCATCACGTAGGTTTACTACAATCAAATAAAAAAAAAAATAAAACTTAAAAACATTTAAAATATTTATATTATGATTAGCGAGTCTCCCCTAAAAAAGAAAAGAGCCCACGAGAAAGGCCCTACCGGGTTTTTTCCGGTATCACAGTGTGCCTATCCTCCTGTGGACGAAACAATGGTTAGGCCTACTACTTAGTACTTATACATTAATAATAAAAAAATAGGGTTGTATATAATAGTTCTAGATACTTTTTTTCGTTAGTAAAATTTGCATTTTTATACTATAAACTAAAATGTTTTTAAATAAATAACAAAATTGAAATTATTTTCTGGGAAAATTAGTGAATAATTAAAAAATAATCTAGTTGTAAACGCAAGCAATGGCTCAACTTACAACATGATAGATATTCTTTTAAATTGCCAAAATATTTTAAAAATTTTTGGTCAATATAACAAAAAGTTAAATATTGATAATTCTTTTAGAAAACGTTAAATGACTTGAAGATTTCACCAAAAACAGCAAAAATACCTAGTGTTTACGGCAAGGAGAACAATTAAAACCAGGAGACATTCTAATATCATGGAAAATGCATAGTAAACACATGAAATACAAAATTTTTCAACGACACGCGTTTCATAATAATTGTAAAAAAAAATAATATTAAAACTATTATTTTCATGTATATGTTCTTGTTATTAAAGTAGACGATATTGAATGTAAATACATATACATTTTTTAATTCTACGCTGGGTACCTACTCTATTTTGGGGTTTAAGTCGTCAAGTGCAGTAGTTTTGTGTTAAGTTACAATAATTATATATTACTAACAAAGTCTAACTAAAATTCTTATAGGTAAAAGAAATTGAAAAAATCTAATATGTAGAAAAAATGCATTACTTCGTTATTACTTATTAGTTAATGTCGTGATATTATTAATTAATTTAAGTCTAGTTTTAAACATGCAATATATTTTTAATGTAATATTAAGGCAATAAATGCAAAGGAGATTTATTACAGACAAAATAATATTTTTATTGCATTCTTAGAAGGTAGAACTGCTAAACTGATCATATACAAATTAAATAAATATTATCACAAAATAAATGGCAATTCGTGAAGGAAAAATTAATGTTAACTTTAAACCTATTAGTTCGCTCTAAAAATCGGATAACAGAGGTAAGACCTAGTCCTTATCTGTAGGACAAAAATCAAAATAAACAGGTATGCCAGCAATTTGTATTAATCGCGAAATAGCTGCGGGTTTCTAGGGCGGTCATATATTTCTTACGGAGAAAACCGACAACCATATTGTAAAAATTGATAACACAAGTTGTTGACATACCTATTTGTTTTGTAATATACCATAAATTCGTCTATCGACATACATATTAAGAGATAAACACGAGTTTCCAAACGTTGAACAAATGTTCATTGGAAGAAAGAAATATGTGGAACAAGTTGTACTCGCCCGATATGATATTCTCTACTTATTCAAATCTCTAAAAAGTAAACCCAGGGCATGGTTACATTAAGAGCGACGTCGTTCGTTTGTTTCAAAATAGTAATTATTTATTATAATTTTGCAATAGTTATTAATTATTATACAACAAATATACTGCATAAATACTGACGATTCAACTCCAGTGTTTATCGAATCACCAACAAAGTAATATCGTGATCACTGATAAGATTTTTTGATGCTCAACAGTATCGCCTGGTGTAGTTCATTAAAATTAAAAAAAAAAAACAACAATCTGCATTCCACAATATTTTAACAATAACATTAGATATTAGTATACATGTGTTGAAGAATTTTTCGTTTAATTTATGTTTATAATAACATAGTCGATATCAGAAACGGTTCGGCTAATGCAAAAGGTCACATAAAAACGTTGGAACAACAACATTTCAATTTTGACAATGTTACGGCACTGTCTGTGCGTTCCGCTCTTTATCCCATTTACAGTTTAGTACACACACACACACACACCATTTTTTTTGTAATATATTATGACCAGTCGTACAGCCCTTGTACCGTGTACATCTATATATTATATTATATGCAGTTTTTGAGTTAGTGATTAGATATTGTCAGTGTGCGCGTGTACAATAGTGTGTTTGTATGTGTGTTTAGTGTACACAAATATAATATATATATATATACAATACAAATATATAGATATTATATACCGTACGGCGTACGCGGTATATATTGTAATCTCATCGTACATATATACATATACATAAATTGTATTTATATTAATATTATTATTATTGTTGTCGGGCCGTTTTGAAAAAGTCTTTATTGCACTTAACAAATAACAATTTGTATATAATATAACAAACATATACATACGCATACGCCTAATAAAAATATATTAATCCCGTCGGCCCGTACGCCGTTCAAAGCGTTCGCACACACCACAAACCGTCGGCCGGCCAAACCCTAAAAATCAAGTAAGTGCGTTTTAATTTTTTTTTTTTAAACATTTAAAACAGTAGTATTGTTTTTTTTCTTTCATTCACTTATTGTCTCACGGGATCTGTCAGTCGCACGCACGCGTTTGTGATTCGTCATTATCGCGACGATCCGGTAACACCTTATTTCACGCAATATCGCAATACGTATTTTATTTGATTGTTGTTATTTTATTATCTAAAGTAAACTCCGTCTGTCAGTAAATGCCAATGTTTTAGTGTTGCGCGCAGAGTGCAGAGTTTTAACAGCCGTACTGAATTTCGTTCCGGGGTTTTTTTTTTTTTTGGAAAAATGTACATACGCACGACGTAAGCCGCCGAGTTAATGATTCCTCTCGTTTAAAACGTACATCCACTCCCAATATCAACCACTTTTCTAGGCCGCCCAGATCCGCCGCCCGCGTTTCTTATCAATTGGCACGGTTATTTTAATGTTATTCTATTTCGCATCAAACAACTTGTTTGTGTGTACTCGGTTATTTTAAAATTTTTATTTCATTTTTCTGGACCCTTGGGATTTGAAACGCCAAGCGCTCCGCAACACATCAAGTACATCTCGCGTTCGATCATACATGTTACGAGTCTTGAATACGTCAAATCACACTAGTATCGTATCCGACAGAGCGTAAGTGTTTGATAGTAAATTTCCATCGTTAATACCCACCTATGTACACACTGATATAACTATAAATAAATACATTGAAACAAATTATTGAACCTACTTAATTTAATGAGATTTAAATGTGATAGGATCAATGAGTGCTATGTTAATCAAAGTCTGGATAAAGTCCTCTAGCAAAGTTCACATATTACTCGCTAACTAAAATAAAATAAATTTATATTTGTTATAGTGACAACAACTCATTTGAATTGAACTTTTATTCTTAGTGTGTTTAATGATTGCCTAACTTGGAGACATTTGATTTTACAAAAAAAGTGTTTGTCCATACTCTGTTTAAATATAATATCGGACTTGTGCAGAGACGGTAACACCTTTTCGGTTGCACAGGCATAGTCGGGTGTGGCACATTTCGTACTCTGTGTCTCAGAGTCCAGTCTCATTATGAACAATGAGTATAGAGTAATGTGAATTTTGCCTGGAATTTTATCCAAACCCTTGGCCTTAATAGGGTCAGTATAAGGAGATAATAATTTTTTCATAATGTGTTGGGTTTACTAGAAGTCATGACTGGTAAAAAAAAAAAATGTATATATTTTGTACACCTATTTATATATTATTAACGCCTATTAAGCATACAACCAGTTAAATCAGAAATTATGTCATAATGTGCCTGTTGTTATAACATAGACTACAATTAAATTATTTGCTATACTGTACAAATTTTGTAAAAACCTATATTTATGTATATATTATACAATTACTCAAATCTTTACAAAGTTCATATCAAAATAATTTTATTTCAATTATTCGATTACATTTTCTTTTTAATTTATGTATTTTAATTTATTATATTTTTGTTTTGTTTTTACTTATACAAGTTCTAAGCAATCTTTAAGCTTTATGTTATAAATTAAATGATTCTTTACATTAAAAAAGAACAGACGAAAATAACTATTTTATCCTTACTGGCTCAATTAACCTAGGTCAATTGGCAAAGAAACTCTTAAGAAAATATAAAAAAAAACATTAAATTGTTATTACTGAAAAAGAATGATATTAATTATTTGACCATATCAATTTACAGAATAGTGCCTATTCAACTTAATTAAAAAATATATTTAGAAGTTCCTTTTATTTTGTTTTCAATTCTACTATTTTGACTAATTATTAGTTTACAAATAGATTTCACAGCATTCATTAAATGGTTGTATTTATTACAGAAGTTACTATTCCAGCTGATAATTACCATTTATATTAATACTGTGTTAAATTCATCTTGGGTGGTAATTTCACAGCACTGGTCCTTTTGTGTTCTTGTCACTTGTATATAATTCATTTTTAGATCTTTGTACATATGATAGTTTAAAATTAAAGTTATGGACTTATATATCCATGTTAATAACTAAAGTCATAACAATAATATTACTCAATTCGGTAATAGCTTTTTTTTTTAGTTTAACATTTTTTAAGTTTTAATATTGATTGGGAAAAAGAAAACTATAATAAGGAATTATTAAAATTTTTAGTTATTACTCTACATTTAAAGTATCATTAATAAATGAACCAATTCAATTGTTAAATATTATATTGTATACATATTATATTCATTGATCCATGTACAGAATTGTATTTATTATGTTCTCACTTCTTCTAAATATGCTGAATTTGTGCTATTCAGGGTAAATGACTTACGTTGGTGGGTGCTAATTGAGCATAATAACCTTTGAAATTCTTTAATCCTTACTAACAGTATATCTGTTGCAAAAGTTTCATTTTAAAAAGATTTTTATTCATTGTTTATTTCTTTAGAAGCATACAATAATTTTAATAAAATTTTACTTTAAAATTTACGATGTATGTGCTATACTTCAAACACTCTAAGAAGCTACCTGCGCGGTGGAAAACAACTCGTTAGTCGCCGCCTAGGTCGTATCTGTATGCACAGTAAGCGGTGCCAAACTATGAAGATGTTGTGAGGTGGAAACCGGTCGCTAATGAGTCGACGAGGTACCTTCTTAAAGTGTCCGGAGTATAGAAATTAATCTATTATAACTCGCACAAAGTTATTATTTTATTTTGTGAAAAATTGTTTTTCATAACAATTATTATAATATATTAAAATTAACATTAGGTTTTCCAATTTTATTGAATTATTATTAACGATCGTTTTCAGATTCTAATATTACAAAATGGCCAATAGAACAGTACCTCAACGTCCAAATGGTCAAACTCCAGGAAAACTATGTCAGTTTAAACTGGTACTTTTGGGTGAATCATCTGTGGGAAAATCTAGTTTAGTGCTAAGATTTGTGAAGGGTCAATTTCATGAATATCAAGAGAGCACCATTGGTGGTAAGTTAATTTTAAGTTAATGATAATAATAATGTGTGTGTACATTAAGTGAAAGCAGTGTAGTGAGCTAACAGTGATAATAGAAAATGATGATGATACAAATATTTTAAAAAACAGAAGGGTGTGGCCATTATAATATGTGTAATATTGAGATGACATCAAACGAGTAAAGGGTTTTTTTACTCAAAAAAAATATCAATTATGGATGCAAAAATAATTGAAGAGAATTAGAGAAGACAAAATCATTTCTTTTCTCCACTATACGGAAAAATATTGAATCATTAAAAATAAGTTTTTGGATATTTCCTTAGTGTAGCTACCTGCCTAAATAAACGTCATGTTATCAATGACTCGTAATTCCCATTTTTTTGTTAGTATTATTAAGAGATCATTTTAGTTTATAATTTGAGAATAACTGGTTGTAAGAAATGAAAAAAGTTTTAGATTCACAAGCAGGGATAGAACCATGAACCAGTCGCAGTAAAAACGCCAAAATCAGCCATTTATCATGCGAGTTATCGCAAATTTGATTACTTAAAATAATTTTTGAAACCAGCTCAAAAACATTCATGTTAACAAATAAACAAATGTATGAGGTGAAAAGAAGATTTGGGAAAAAAATATGGTTAGAATATTCTGCGATGTAGAATAACTGTTAATACTGATGAATCCAATTTCCAAAATATTTTGTGGGTTTTTTTTTCTAGAAAAATTACTAACAGTTATTTATACACTATAAACATAAAAAAATGATAACATTGTATAAAAACTAAAAACTGAGTATCTATAGGTTTAGTTGAAAAATCACACAAGACTAATAAAATAATTTATAATGTAATTAAATGTGTTATCTTACTATCAAAGTAAAACTATAAACGCTATTTTTAATTTTATTTACAAATTTTTTTCTCATTGGATAAAAATATAAAAATGGTCCATTAGAAAATACAAACTATACAAATTATAATAATACATTTTATTATTACTGCATGTGTAATATTTCAATGTACCTAATCTAAAATGTTCTGTGCAAAATGTTCATATCTTAAATATTTTGCTATTTATTTTATCTACTCGAACACAAACATAATTTGAAACATTAAAATATAATTGTTGATGAAAAATGTGTTTACAATAATATTATTATGCACTTAAAAAAATGATAATGCACAAGAAATTACTTGATCATAAGTACTTCTTAAATGCTTTATTTATTTATAGTATTTAACAAAATTGATTACTTGTTTGTTGTTGATTTTATTTTAATGAAAGCTGAAGCTATTACAAACAATAAATTATTGAGTATAAGCTTTCTATAATATTAGATTGTTTAAACAATTAAAGAATTTTCTGTTTATAATTAAAGATCATATGTATAGTTTTAACCAGCTTATTTATTGAAATTTAGCTGCCTTTCTCACACAAACCATTCATCTGAACGATGTAGCTGTAAAATTCGAAATTTGGGATACAGCAGGACAAGAACGTTACCACAGCTTAGCACCTATGTACTATAGAGGTGCCCAAGCAGCTATTGTAGTTTATGACATTACTAATCAAGTAATTACTTATTGTACTAATTATTTGAGCTGATCTATTTTAATAATTTCATTGTATTATTAATTTATAACTTTTTTTTCAGGATACATTTGAAAGAGCTAAAAACTGGGTCAAGGAACTTCAACGACAAGCTACTCCGGGTATTGTTATAGCGTTAGCTGGAAACAAGTTAGATTTAAATAATATGAGGAGCGTCCAGACTGATGAGTCTCAAACCTATGCCTATGACAACGGCTTGCTGTTTATGGAAACTTCAGCGAAAACTAGCGCTAATGTTACTGAAATTTTCAAAGCAATTGGTAAAAACTGATTGATGTTTAGTTACAAAATATATGACAAAGATTAACATTTGTATATTATTTACAGCTGAAAAACTTCCAAAGAATGAAACGTCAAACACTGCTGGTCAAGGTCGACGTCTTGTTGAATCAGAGGGTCCTAATAGAAGTCTGAGCAACTGTTGCAAGTGATATAATAAAATGAAGTCAGTTCTCAATTGGATTATTGACATCTAATTATCTATTAAACTATATAGCTTTGTACAATTATTAAGCCGCAAAATTATATTAATCAATTTGCATTTAATATATGTATGGTTATATTACCTATATTTAAAGAGATAATTATTATTATTATAATCAGCTTTTATGTGCATGTATTTTGGTCTTAGAATTTGGAATGGCCAATATTCAGTAATAGCTATTATTTTTTTTCCTTTATTAGGATATTAATATTGTATTTAATAATGACGTTTAAAAATTAAAATATAGTTTTATATAAATATATATATTTTAGGATTATTTTCCCCTCAAAAATATATTATTATTATTATTATTATTACAATTTAAATTATAAATTATATTTATTTTTACTTCTATTATTATTATATATTTTTTTATTCAATTCCACAATCAACATTTTCTAATATAAATAAACTTGTTTATATCTATTAGCTACTGATTTATAATTTATACCTAATGAAACTGTCCAATATATATATATTACATGCATTTTTTTGTTTAATTAATAACCTTGCTATAATATATAAATACTTGTATATTCCTTTAAAACAATTTTATCTTTAAAATTCTACACTGTATTTATTTTGTGTTACAAAACTTGCATGAGATAAATATGTTCCCATAAGTGGTAAACAAATAACTTAAGTACCTATGCAACATGTTTTCATACATTTTACTTATTAAATATTCATATTTGTAAGAAAAATATTTGGAATATAATTTTGATCATAAATACAATATTATAAATGGAATAAAAACTTAGCACATTTTGAATTTGTTGTGTCTTTGTAGTAACCCTATTTCTTGTACATATATATTAATATACATATAAATATATATATATATATATATATATAATTTTAAAACCATAACATTTTTATTAATTATTTAGTCTACAATTATAGATTTATCTATGCATTTTATTGTTGTTCATTTTATTCAAACAGTTATGTAAATTTATTATGTATAATATTTCTTAGTTTTAGTTGCAGTCTTGTAACTAGGTTTTTGTAAATGGTGGAAGAATATTAACGAATATTGTATTTAATCATTGTAGCGCGAAACATTTTAATATAAAAAGCTAATATTTAAGTTTATAAATAATATTTCTAATTTTAGTCATTGTTTCAACAATTAATTTGAGTAATTGGTTTATAAAAGTTACAACTAAGTAAAATACAAATATACATAATATATAATATAAGATAATTAGCTAAATTTCTGTTATACGTTTCGTGTGCATTAGAATTTTCTCTACTTTTTTTTTTTCATAAATTTAATAAAACTGAAAATAAATTATGGAAATCGGTATGTTTATTACAATATGAAGTATTTAGAAAAACCTAAGAAAAAGTTTTCAGCTCTTTTTTGGCAATGTTTGTATTTCAAAATATTAAAGCAAACAGTTATTAACAATTATATTATGATAAAATATATAATATAAAACGAAAAACAATATTTATATTAAAAAATATGTAACATACAAATAAGTTAAGTTTTTTTGGAATGTAGAACAACTTATAAATAATCTATATTGTTTATTCCATAAATGTATATGTTCAAATTACTTAAATAATGAAATAAAGAGTTCTTAAATTTGGTTTTAACTAATGCTTTTAATTTTTAAAACACATTACAAAATAATCTTAATTTATCTCAACATTTTTTTTCACCTTTATAGTACGGTAGTAAATGAGTGTGTATGTAAATTGGCTTAGAGATGATAATTAATTAGAAATATGTGATAGTGTTGAAAATGCATTTGTTTGGTCTAGGCATACACATTTTTTTAACTGTGCTTCTTTCTAAAAATTCTTACGTTATCAATATAAGTGTTATTTTTTATATATAAGCAACTTAATTTAAAAAAAATACTAAGTGGACTACTCATTACATAAGTTGTCTGATCAGACACAGTATTACAATTCTTAGAAGTTCACTTAAATAATCCAAAATCGCCCATAGCAAAATGTAATTAAAGTTCCCTTAGAAAAGTCCATCCCCTGACTCGCATTTATTGGACTGTTAGCTTTTGTTGTTTATTAGACTATTTTTTTTTAAATAATTGTTTTTCAAATTTTAAAAAAAATGTTGATAGTTTTCAAGTAAGAATTGAAATGAAAATTTTAAACTTCCCATGTTAATAAAATGCAAAAGAAAATTCATGAAGAAATAATTGGAGTTGAGTTAAGGAACTGAAATCTTAGTGATTTCTTATTGGAATATTCAACTATCAATTAACAGAGTAAGCCGTAGACAAAATTAATTTGAAAACAACAGTTTGAATATTCTAAAATTATTAAAATAACGTGCACCAATATTAGACAAACAATTTTTATAATAATTTACTATCTATCATTTTTAGGCCAGAAATTGAATGTTTTAAAAATATCGCTGATAGGTATTGTTGAAATATTTACAATGCAATATTAATAAAATATTTGTTATAAATTACATTTCTGGCTAAAAAATAGTAACAAAATGTTGAGAGTTTATCGCTAACGGTATAAACCGTTCTTATACCAGATTTATAACAGATTTGTACAACAAGAATGGATAAATGATAAGGATATTTTACCAGAATACAAGCTCTATTAAATAATTGCCTACATTATTTATTACTCCTTAACAAATTAAGGGTGTGATATCCTTTTAGGAATACAATATTAGCTTCGATGCGGATCTGAGAAGGTACAGTATTTAAATATAGTAGGTACTACAGATAAATATTGACCAACCAAAAAAATATCGTACGCCCTTTCCCCTAGAAGAAATAGACATTTCTTCTTTATTTTATTTTTTCAAGCAGTTTTAGAGATTTAGATCTGAAAATTAGACCGAAAGTAGATCTAGAATAAGCCTATAACATAGGTGTACAGTTTTCTTAAAAATCTGCAGTCAAACTTTTCTTTTATTAAGGAAAATAACCGAAAAATAGGGGAAAATTACACTGACCGTAGTCGTTTTTTTCGGTTGCAATGTGTGAGTGAATCAACAATCAACAGATATGTGGTTGATACTGGATTGAACCTTCTATAATATTCTCAGATTCGCATCGAAGCGTTTATTTAAAAGTGATTTTATCATTTTTACAATAGTTATCTCATAATAATTCCTGTAGATCTGTGACCTCCCCGTTACCACATGTCCCGACCACCCTGTACTAGCTGTTATTGATTTATCTTGCAGCGACATCTATATTTTGCAAAATGTGTGGTTTTGCGTTGCGCTTACAGTGGCAGTTCTGGCCCGGGAGCAGGGTGGCCGGGATTTCAGACGACGGCCACCATCTTGAGATTCGGATCCTGGAAAAAGGGTGTGGTACTTGTTATCTATATATATACATATATATATATATAAATATATATACACATATATATATATACATACATATATATATATATATACATATATATATATATATATATATATATATATATATATATATATATATATATATATATATATATATATAAGATAGAGGGGTACAAAAGTATTGATCTAAGCTGAGCTTATGCGACCCAATTTATTTGGCCAGGGCAGCACCCGGCGCAGCACCTGGCGCAGCAGTTGTTGCTCAGTAGCCGCCATTGTCGAAACGACTTCAGTCGAAGAAGTGGACCACCGTTTGTGGTTTGCCATTTTTATTATAAAATTATTTAATTACATGCATTTATTTTAAATAAGCGTTATCTAAATTGCAAAACGGTGATCTAAAAATAACACAAAAATGGAAGAAGACATTGCTGTTGTTGAACTATCTACCGTTTCCAAAGAAATTATGACAGAAGCCTGTCGTGAAAATCCTTCGACTACGGTAATGAACGAGCAACTAGTGTCAAATCCGATGCCTCCGTTTCAACAATCCGGTAACTAAATATAATTGTATTATCTCATCAAATCGTTTTACTAATTATTAATACTTATTAATACATTTGAGTAGACAGTAAAACGACCCTTCCGTTTATGAGTCATTTGCCTATGGTTGTACCCCAGCTCAGCAGCAACAAAAACCTAATATGTAGTAGAATGCGGTTACCGATAATGCAAAAAAATGAACTCATTATTCAATTAATTGAAAATAACCCAGTAATAATTATAAGTGGCGAAACTGGATGTGGAAAAACCACTCAGGTAGACAAATGCATATCTTAAAAGAGTAATAACTTATAATATTGTATTATTTGTATAAATATATACAGAGTGTAACGTAAAGTTTTACCGAGCATCAAATGAGACATTCAGGATGCTCTATGTGTACAATAAATGGTATTAATTTTTTTAAAATTTAAACATTATTTAAAATAGAACTCGTATCTCATTAAAAAATTGTCTTACGAAAAAAATAATTTCAGATTTGAAATTGCGAAAAAAAAATCTTGTTGAATTGATATGTAACATGATTTTTTGATATCTGGCCACACATACGTCCACAGGGTGGCCACTCAGTGGCCGGCATGTGACTAAAACCAACATATGGCATGCGACACATCATTTAATATAAAATAATACTAAGGACACCACTGAATTGAAAATAAAATTCTAGCCCAAAATGATGTGTCACATGCCGGCCATTAAGTGGCCACTCAGTGGACGCAAGTGTGGCCAGATACCAAAAAATCATGTTACATGTCAAATCAACAAGATTTTTTTCTCGCGATTTCAAATCTGAAATTATTTTAGAACTTTACATTACACCCTGTATAAATAATATATAGTATTTGTTATAATTTTTCTTTTACATTTATTAATATTTCTTAGGTGTACATATAGGTAATACTTAAAGTGTGCATACATAATATATAATTTTTAAAATACAAGTATTATTTAGTGATGTATACTATATAGGTACCACAAATGATAATTGATCATTCTGCGACGACAAAGAGACCGAGTCGTGTGGTGTGTTGTCAACCCAGGAGAATAGCCGCTATATCTATGGCACATAGGGTGTCTAATGAACGGGGTGAAAAAATCGGAACGAGCGTTGGTTATCAAGTTCGATTCCAAAGCTGGTAAAGTTTAACCTATAACGTTTTTAATGACTTTTTATGGTACATTGTATTTTTTGATCCAGCCTCGGAAGTAACGCAACAATAACTTATTGCACGATTGGAATTCTGACCAGGGCACTTGTAATCCATCATCAAAACGACAATGAACCAATTAAGAACATGTTTATGAACATTTCACATATAATTATTGATGAAGTCCACGAACGTACTAAGCACGTAGACTTTCTGCTGGTAGCGCTGCGAATGATTTTGCCAAGATATCCACATCTGAAACTGATTCTTATGTCTGCATCGGCAGATATAAGATTGTTTTCATCTTACTTTTACGATTGCCCCGTTTTGCAAGGTGAACAATAATAATTACACACTAATTGTTTATGTATTTGTTTATAATAGCCTTAAGACAGTATTGTAACGGGCCTTTTTGCGGATAGCATGTCTAGGGCTAGTGGTAACGGGTGGCCGAATGAATAGAAACGTCTGCTTTACTTCTATTGATTGTTGTATCGATATTTTTAGCAGTATACAATATCTGCATCCTGCGATTCTTATTTTCAATTATTTTGCTGATATAGACCATAAAAAACGGTTATCTTCTACAATTTATTAATTATTATACATTATAATATAGTAACAGAAATTAGTTTGGTCATTCTAGTTTAAAACATTTTCATTGCAACTACTGAAGTATACATTAAATACTATAATACACAATATGTATGGCTTATCATTATTATTATAATTTATATGAAATGCACAATTTACTCGGTTCATTATTTATTTATTTCAGTCGGCAGACTAATAAAATGTTTTCGTTATGTCAATAGAAAGTTTTTTAATATATAAAAAAAAATTTAAATCCATAAATATTCGGATAGTTATCAATATATTATAGCAATACTCAATCAAGATTTTGTAAATAATAAATTTTATTCAATTTTAGACCAAAAAAATTTTGTAAAATATTTTAAAATGTTATGAAACATTTTACTTGTCTGAAGTCTGGGATATAATACATTTAATATTTGTGTATACATGTATCATTAATTACATTAATATTAATTAATATTTTTATTTTGTGTAGTTAATGGAAGGCTTTTCCCAGTGCAACAATATTTCTTAGAAGACGTTCTAGATATGTAAGCTAAACTAACAATAATTGTATTTGCTTTTGTATAATATTTATAAAATAGTGTAATAGCATTAAAGCTTGGGGGAAAAAAGTTGATAAGTACGGCCCGGAAGTTTGAAATAACTGAAACAGGCTTGTATTTATGCTGTGAAAAACCCTAACTATTATGCAAAATAATATTTTTAATTAAAATTTTATTTAAGTGTTTTTCAAATTTTTAGCTTACTTCCGGGTTTTGTTAATCTTATTTATAACAGAATGTATCAAATAAAAAACTTCAGGGAAATACCTAATAACTGTATATTAGAATATTTTTAAACTGCTGCAAATTTGTTTAAAAGCCATAAAAAATATTTTCATATAATTTTTCTTTAATGTTTTGTATTCTAAAAGTTGTTTTGTATATACAACAACTATCCAGCTAATGGCCAATCAATTCGAACCATATCCAAATTAAAAAATTACATTATTTGCTAATTCTTCGTAAAAAAAAATTAATAACATGATATCTTTAACATATTAAACAATTGTATTTCTTATTATGTTTTTTCAGTATATTTTATTGTAACCTTTGTTTTTTATAAGACCTAGAAATATTAATTATCACACACTGTTGAATACATCTGTTTTTAGGACCAATTATTCAACGCCAACAATGATTGATCTTGTTTTGAGAAATAATCCAACCGAACGCATCCCGGATACCAATAACCTGACAGAAAGAACGACTGAATCATCTCAAAATATGCGTCTTACAATAATTCCGGTATGAAATTATATAGAAGAGTCTTGTTTTTTTAGGCTTTTTATTAATTTTAACCCGGCAGAGGTGTCATTGGCCAACAGTTTTTTGTATTGATTGATGTGACCAACCATTAACCCTTAATCAAATTTCATCAACCATTAATAAAGTTTTTGGTACGACACCGCTCCGGGTTAATAGTCATAACAAAATATAACAAAAAAATTATTAATTGTTTACTTCAATAATTATTTAGAATACTGCATTGAGTCATGATCAAGAATGGTTAAAACCGGAATTAGATGAATGTTTACAAAAAATTTGGCGTACTGGAGATATTGCTGAAGTTAATAAAATGATATATCACTACATACGTACGGAAGGCGTACCTGTTAATTATCAAGTAATGGATTTTAGTTGTTTATAATTTATAAAGATAAAAACTATTCTAATCTAGTCACAATTTTTAAACCCTTAAATCTTACTAAGATTATGAATACTTTTCTATACGTGTGGGTTCTACTATTTTATCCTCTGGAAAAGTTAAATGCAGGCATGCCCCTAGGTGCAGTAACCGCGCCTCTACTTTTCAACTTATTTATCTCAGGTCAGCCAACCACAACTCACAAAGACAACCGCGACAAAGCAATAATATCCAGCAATCCTGACCCTATTCTAGTCCCTACCTATGCCGAAGACCACCTCTGTCTCCTTGAAACTTAGTATAAAGAATTGAGTGTGAAAATGAACGAAGCCAAGTCCATCCATTGTACATTTACACCCTGTCATGGAACATGTCTATTGTCTGACACTATTTCTTAACCACTGGCTTCTACCTAATGCTCAGTCCGTGCGGTACCTCGGTAGGTATCATCATCGATCGTCAACTTACTAAGCTGCCTCACGTAACTAGTAAGATAAGATTACTCAACGATAGATTTCGCCTTCTTCGCCCGCTACTAATTTGTAGAAAACTACATACCAATCTGTTACCCTATAATTTACTGTTAAGGCCTATCTGGTCTACTAAACTACAAATGCTTTAGAAACCGAACAAGTCATCCTCGTAATCCTCTCAAATCTGAACACTCATCAATAACTAGTATTGGCAGCAACTTACAAAAAAAGATGAAAAATTCGATTGTATTGTGACTTGCTAGTTCATTAAATAAAAAAATGTAAACAATATCTTTAATTAACACTGTCAAAGTTCCTCCACTGAAAGTCCTTTTCACTCTGTCAATCTGTCCTTTGTAAATATTACATCTTTTATGCTTATGTACTACATTGTTCAACAGACTGCATAATTAATAATAAAAAAAAATATGTATATAATTTTCTATTTATTATTGTATTACATTTTTTTTTCTAGCATACTTCTACAGGTGTAACATTGTTAATGTCGATTGTTATTCATTCTCTTGACGAGTACGTTCTTCAATTGCTACACATGGGGGCAGACCCGACAATCCAAAATAATTTTAGCCCCAGCAAAAGTGCAGCAGCTTTGGCAGCCAGTTTAAACCATTTTCGAATAAGTGATATGATTAAAAATTTCAATTATGTACCAACTAATAACCCTCCGGTAATATTGGATAAAATGCAAAGATTGGGTTTGTATAAGGAAGATATATTGCATGGTCACATTGATTCACACTTGACAACGCACCTTATTAGACATCTGATTTTGTACAAACCATTTGGTGAGATTAGAAATTAAAAAATTGCTGTTGTCCGTAAATTATTGATCATTGAGTTATTAACATTGTACATTTTGTTTAAGGTTCTATTTTAGTGTTTTTGACAGGATATTCCGATATAGCCGTAGTAGAAAACGCTATAACCGAAGATCTTATTAAAAAGCATAACTTTAAAATCGAAATTTATAAATTACACTCGTTAATAGTATGCACCAGATTATCGTGAAATTATAATTTTGTTGAATTTTGTTACATTGTTTTTCTTTTTTTTTTTTAGTTGGACGATCGTAAAAGAGTCTTTTTACCGGCACCGGAAGGATATCGCAAAGTCGTGTTGGCTACGAATATTGCCGAGACCAGTGTTACAATTAATGACATTGTATATGTTATTGATTCAGGCAAAGTGAAACAAGTAACATCTTATTTGGCAAAACAATTTTTAATATTTTATAATTATTTTTCGGTCAAAAATTTAATGATTACAATTAACAAATATTGTTGGTTACAAAATATTGTTTGGATGTCTTTAATAATTTTTTTTTTAAATGTATAATATTAATAATTACTATTTCTTCATTTTGTAACCAATATTTATGAAACATTAAATTTCTGGCCAACAAAATATGTTTTTTGAAATGATAAAAAATATTTTTAAAATATCTTAACAACTGGATGGGATACACGCATCGCAAACAGGGATTCTCTTTGATACTTCAACAGAGGCATAACATACTATTGTATTTTTTTTTTTTTGTGTTTTTAGCCTATGTTTAATTTTATTGAACGAAGCCACGCCTTGCATTCAAAACAAATATCGCACAGTTGTGCAATGCAGAGAGCCGGACGTGCAGGACGATTATGTGCAGGCGAATACTACTGTTTTTACACGCTAGAAGATTTCATACATATGAAATACTACGATGAGCCTGAAATTAAAATGATACCTTTAGAAGTAATACTCCAGTGATACGCTTATGTAATATTTGTAAAAAAAAAAATAGTTACTACTTGAGCTTGAATGTCTGTAGGAATTAAGCCTGTTGGCCAAGGCAGCCGCTAGAAGTATGAGAGTTGAAGATTTCCTATCGTTGGCTATAGAACCACCTTCACATCACGCTGTAAAAAAATCTCTTGGCTATTTAAAAGTAAATAAAAACACTTGAACCGTAAAATACTGTTTAGAAAATCACTTGAGCATCATATTAATACTTGCTCGCTATAGGCAATTGAAGCAATGGACACTAACGAGAATATAACCGACCTCGGGTACATGTTGTTGGATTTGTCAATAGAACCGCATCATGCCAAAATACTGATATTTGGATTGTTTTTAAAATGCATCGATCCCGTACTTTTTATAGTTAGTTTTTTAGCCAACAAGTGAGTAATGCAAACATTTCGATGTGATCTCGGACATAAAGCTTATACCTAGTGCCTACGTGTACCTAACCTTGTGTAATTATACAGATACCCTTTCAACCTGAACCTGAAAACATCAGAAGTGTGGTCCATTTGTAAAAATCTGGCTGAAGACACTCTTAGTGATCATTTCGTTTTTATTCGTCTTTACCAGGTAATTTTTGTTTATTTTTCATTAATCAACCGTGATATTTTAGTTTATTCCAAAAAAAATCTGTATTATTTATTTATGTACCCATTGATTGTACAAATTATTAAAACGTGGTTATTTAAACAAATTGTAGGCTATTACTAAACCAAATATTTCTGAAGAGATACAAAAAGCTGTATGTCCGACGGTAATAGATCAAATAAAAAAAACACGATACAAATTACTAACTCAACTAAAAGATTTAAATTTCATCCAAACGATGGACGATTTAAAAGATTTTAACACAAACTCAAGTAACTGGGCTGCGGTTAAAGCTTGTGTGTTGGCTGGATCTTATCCAAATTTGTCCATGCTAGAACCAAGATCGGAGGAAAGTTTTACAACCAGGTGAATAATTGATAGTTAAATCATCACTTTCCCTTTGCCATTTCTGTTTAATTTTTTTTTCAAGCCTATCTCAATATTATGTTCACTCTCCCAAACCACTAGTTGTGTACCTATCTAACTATAAAGATCTATTTCAACGTTCTCACAATGCATAACGCCCGTTTTCTTTTCACTCTAAATGACACTACAATATTCTGAACGAAATTAAAAACTGAATAATATATCATTAGGATTATGAGCGAAGTTCTACTGCACGGATCTAGTGTTTTGCACGGAACCAACTTCGGAAGTTTGCCGTCCAAATGGATTGTTTTTGAACAATTGTGTTCATGCCACGGTAGAAAACGTATGAGGAACTGCTCAGTTATATCATCATTGACTGTTCTGTTGTTTGCAAATGCGATGCAAATTACACCTTGCATCAGAACGATAGAAATAGACGGTACCCCTAGAGTTTGATTAATTATTTATTTTGACTAGGATTAAATGTTTTGTTTTCATAGATGTACTCGCATGTATACGTTTGCTGTTTTTGACGGGAAGAAATGTATCAATGCAAAGTCATATCCATCTATTAGCCTTGGATGGCTGGATTAAACTCTCGGCTGACTTAAACGACTTAGAAAAAATGTTAAACATACGTTTGTGTCTCACGTTGGCTTATCGCGAATTCCTCAAAAATAAAACATTACCAAATAACAGTGTATGGAATATTTTTTACAAATTATACCGTTATTATATGGCGACGATTAGCGGATGATCCTAGCTAATGAAATATGATTTATTGTTTTCAGATGCATAGTCGTATAGTCCAGACGGTTGTCAAGTTATTAGAGGAAGAAGATTTGGCTATGGGCTTGACTGTCCCCGAGGATATTGGAAATTAGCCCACAGATGCTAGTAGTCATACAGTATAATACATTTTTTATTTTGTCATCTATGCTGATTATAGTTTGAATCCAGTGTTCATCTACTTAATAAAAAAAATATCATACGTATTAATATACAAATATAAAAAATAATATAATACAATCTTAGTTAATTTGTATAAATGTTTCTCTTAAAACAAATTGAAATGAATTAATCTATTTATAAAACATTTTCTCCTTTTATAGGACCCCAATATTTTCATTAATCATAATTCTCTAATAATGTTAGAATTTATTTGTGCCAAACCATTTAAAAATGTAATTTAAATTATAAAAATAAATTGAAAAAAAAAACCTTTACAAAATGTAATATTAAAATATAATTGGTAGAATTTTTAATCAAATAAATTAGTTCATATTAAAAAGTATAAAATAATAATATTGTACTTTGTTTGACTTATAAATATTTGCACGTTTTCTAAATATAATTACACTGAGGTTGGTTTGGGTTCTTAAGTATTACTACTCTATTCACGCTTCGTAAAATTCATAATAAGTTGCCATTATTAAACTAACTATTATTATTTATATTGTATTCAAATTAGTTACTTATGTTATAAAAAAAAACAATATGTTAAACTTATAATGATTAAAAAACTGCATTAGAAAATTGTTAGTTAAATAATTGAATTTTAAAATGTTTGTTTAATTATTGTTTTTGTTGATTTATTCAAGTTTAAAGAAATCGTTTTTTTTAAGTATTTCTGTATATCATTATTTATAATAAAATATTTTTTTTCAATAAAATTATTGTTTATTTTAATGAGTACTTAAATTATTAAGTAATTCTAAATACCTCAATTTAATCATAGTTTTAGTATTTGGTAATCATAGAGGAAAATTATTAAATAAAACTTTAAATTGTAATGTAATGATAATTTATAGTTATATTATAGTGAATAAGATCTTCGTTTTTTGAGTGGGTATTAAAAATGTGAAATACATTAAATTATATTAGTTGCCAGTTATTTACTTTATTGTACATCTAACAAAATAATTAAAAAACAAACCAATTTAATATTATGTTAATTAATAAAATAAATTGTATACATTTTTTTATTCTCTAATTAAACAATTAATATAAACCATTATAAACATATATGTTCTAATTTGTATAACACGCTTCATATAAAACAGTATTAAAAAAAATTATTTGTCAGCCTTACAACATATATTGATTTGAATTTAATTTAAGAAAATAAAACACTGCATTTTTATGGTTACAGATTTGTTCAATTCAATAAAATATAATTATATTACCATATGTAATCGGTTACAATTTGTTTTCAATTAAACTTTCTAAAATCTTTTAAAACCAGACAAAATTAATAGACAAATTATTTAGTTAGCTTTCACTCATGCAATCGTTGATTTCGGAATCCACAAACTCGACATGTGTAAATGGGAAATGACCAGTTTTACCATTTAATTCTCCTTCCCATTGTCCGTTAATGTTTGTTTTTGTAACTTTGATTATGTCTCCAACTTCCAATTTCAATGCCGTTTTATCATAAGCATTTGGTACGCGTACCTGTTTAACCCTAGCCAAAGCGGGTAATTTTTTCTAGAAAAACATTTTCAACATTTAAACAACACTTATAATTGACGAATAAAATTATTTTAGCCATGTATAAAATGTACAAACTTGTAAACTAGATCGTCTTAATGTCGATTCATTGTTAGATCCAGGAATCTGACTATTGTCCTTTACGGGTAACGGTGGTTGTGTTCCGTCATACTAATAACAAAAAAAAAACTTTTTTAAATAATCCAAATATATGAGATAATTCATTAATGGTTAAGAGGAACAAAAAGCGTCCATTTTTTGTCAAATATTGCCTATCCTTTGCCCCTTAGCAAATAGCGCTTTCCGTTCCCCTTAAACACTTGTTGTTATAACTGTTTGTTAATTTTTTTAAACAAATAGTGAAATATTTAATTAAACGGTCAAAAAACTTTTTTCTAGTTGTAGTCATTTTTTTAATTAACAATTCAACATATACCCGCTATATGTCTTTTTTTTATGAGATTTGTAGCTGACTATGTTTTGATTAAAATAATAATTCTGGCTACTTATACTTATGGTAACTACAATTTATTATTTTAAAAAAATAACAAAGAAACTAACCTTTTGAACATACGGAACGGGAATAGATCCCATTTGACCCATCATGTTTTTAGCTGTCCACCATTGTTCTTCATCCTTCACAAGAACTGTCAAAATATCTCCTTTTTTAAACGGTAAGTCATCTTGGTCCTAATTAATTAATTAATAATTAATAAACAATTGTATAATTCAGAAATATAAAAATAAAGACCGGAGGAAGAACCACTTTAGTCCATTACATATGATTTTGAGAAAAGTTTATTTTAATTTTCAATAACTGTTAATATTACAACAAAATTTGGAAAAATTATTGAATGCAGTTTTCATATCTAAGTCTTGTCTTTGTCATCCGAAAATTTCCCCAATCCTCTACTAGATTGAACTAAAGTGGTTCTTCAAATAAAAATACTTACATTACCGACGAAATCGTACTTTGCAACAACTTTTTCTATTGGTTTAACTGCAGGTTTTAGAAGAGGCGTAGTGTCAAGGTAGTGCAATTTATAAAATCCTAATAGTGAAGGTAAATCATCAAATACCTGATCGCCGATCCGATATTTAATTTCATTGTTATCTTGTATTTTGTTGATGATGTAATGACTAACTTTACTATCTTCTCTGTAACACAATACATTTCCTTAGTGAGACAAATTACAAAAACATAAAAATGTATCCACTTAATTAAACATATATTATTAGCAGCAATATGTCATGGGAAACAATATCTACCAACTTTCATTTAAATTAAAAAAAAAAAAAAACAGTACAGTAGAGTTGGGACAATGGACTGTATAATGACAGGGATGTCACAAGTCTTCAAGAATTATAATTGACTGAAAATGATAAAATCGCGAAATAAGAAAAAGTTTATAATCCTTCAAGGGGAAAGGATTAATGATATTTCCTTGGGTCTTCAGTGTATATCAGTTTAAATAACCATCTATATACTGATTTCTGATTTATCGATTTGCTGTATGAATAAATTGGTTCGTAATAGGTGATATTATGGTTGTCTCAAAAATAAACCATTGTAAAAACCTTCTCACCTCCACATCAAAGTTAATATTTGTTTACGAATTTTGAGAACAAGCATTTTTTAATTGCCTCCTGACTTGTAGCCAGTTATAGTATTCAGTAACGAAGACTCACCTCGCTACTGAATACCACAACGATAAGTTTTCATTATGTTATCAGAATTTGTACGAGGTTAGAGCTGGAAATCCCTGTAAGCTAGGATTAGCAACTGACATAATATTTCAAACGAAATACAACAATTTTACCAACTATCGCCAACAGATTAGAAAGTTGTAACTATTCAATTTTTTAATATGATTATAAATTAGCATAATTGTAGTAATATAGGTTATAATTACCAACACAGTTTGTAGACAATCTTACCTTACACATAGAACATAATCTCCTTGTATACTAAGACTGTCTCTGATAAGGAATGTCCCACATTCTCGTTCGCTCATCAACAAGTCTGAAGCTTCATTACGAGACATTGGCCCGAAATACCAACTATAAAAACAAACGTGATTATCAACTACAGAACATGAAAACAGTTTGAATTGCAAAACAGATTTTCTTTATTTGATATCTACATGAATTTATTCACCACCCCTTTTTTGTAAAACAACAATTTACATGAGGATGGAGGCTATTAATTTCTGTTTCATGGTGACCATTTGACATTTTTAGTAACAAAGTTGTAAGCTTACCTCGCTTTGTTATTTGGATCAAAACATTGAACAGCCATTGTCAGTGTAGATTGAAAAATATAAATATAATAATAAACTAATTATAAATGTAGATCAATTGATTTTGATCAACGCATTTGATATTACATGACTCGATTGTAAAAAGAAAAATGCCTGAAAAAGAAAACAATATGAATTAATAGTTAATAGATACTAGTCTATTTATTGTTTTATTTTTGATAGTAAAAGTAATTAAGAGAATCCAAAGTTCATTTATGTTAATAATTAAATTGCTATTAAGATAAACAAAATCTATTGGATTGTAATCTACAATATCAGCAACAATGCATTATATTTTGTTGTGGTGAGCATTAATTTAAAAACAAATAATAAGTGAGAAAACTATAAAAATAGACATAGCTGAATGAACACAATGAATAGTCTGTTTAAACGTACCAGTGTACAATATTTTATATAGCGTATTAAAACTGACATTTCATTACGCATTTCTACGTTAAAAGCTTCCATTCGAGTACATTGAATGACAAGGATTATAACCGATTGTAACCGATTTCAACCGTAGTAAAGTTTAGATCCAGAAAAAAATTATGATTCAAATCAGTATTAATTTTTGGCAAAACTGGATTTGACCGCCCACAGACGACAAATTGATAAAACAAAAAAACCACGACAAACGGTCAATGGTTTTCTACGTTCGTGATAAATACACAATTGAGATCGGTTTACTATTAAATACATATTGTACACATTCAAACGAGGGTTAGACGTACCTAAGAAATCAAAATTTCTGTGCTACTTCAATGGAGCAGACGATTGTGTGCCGCAATCGTAAGTACATATTGTAAGCACAACACTTTTTTTTCGCTTTTGGTTGTATGCCACAGGTAAGTGTTTGACGCGTTAACTTCGGCAGCGGTCGAAAAAATTGAAATTTGAAACGTACTAAATCGATGAAAAATCATTTACTGCGAGTAGGTATGACTCGTTTTTGTATCACCTTTGGATTATATTGTTTTGTGTTTACTACTGCAAAATCGTGCGATGATAAGAGGACAATATTATTTTTTTCACACAACTATCACACCTCAGTTGATGACTGACATGCACTCTGTCAGATGGCGCCAGTACTCGTGCAAAGAAAGAAGTTTTGAAGAACAAGATTCACGAATAGAAATGTGATAAATTATTAAAACAAATTATTATAATTAACAATCAAAACATTTAACATTTTATTAGGTAATAATCGAAATTTCTGAGTAAAAAATGTTTGTTTAGATTTTAGTCAGCACTTGCACTTTGCAGCACAGCCGTTAAACGTCAAAAGAAAGACAAACGTTATTACTATTATATTTTCCTGAAACAATATTAATGAATTCCAGCCAGTCGTGAAATACAATACTATTTTTTTTTTTTGTTCCATCGTATTCACTTGGGGCATATGCGTTACATGTGTTAGGAGGTTTTATTAAATCAATTAAGAGTTTATAATACTCATGAAAAAAGATCCGATCTCCCCTATTGTGTGCACTTCCTGTGCGGTCCACAACGTTATCTAATGTCTGCTATCATAACTCATTATTATTATTTTCAGAGTCGATCAAGACTAAATGTACCTACTCTAAAATAGTGTATTATGTCATTAATAAAACGGGATAGGAATTAATATTGCCACTGTATTCGGTAAGGGTGGGGGGGGGGGTGGATTTAGCTAAGTATATTTTGTCTGGAAACTGGTACTTTATCCGGACTGTTTTTTTCCTTAAAATATGTTTTTGACTTTTCAACAATATTTTTTACACTTCGATACTAAATTTTATTTCCATTTATTCTACAATAATTGATTCTATCTTAATCAGAAAGGTTGTTTCGCAGTTTGAAGAAATCAAATATGATATTTCGAGCATAGAGTTTGATGTCTATATGCACTACACCATAACTGTAAGGGGTAAACAAACCGTACAAGATCATCATAAAATAAAAACATATGTAATATAGTTTATAATATATTTATTCAGTCCAGACAAATCTATGAAATATTATTTTGTAACCTAGACCAAACTGGGTTGTTTTTTTGCTTCACTTATTGCCGGTTTTGTTACAAACAACAAAAAAAACACACATTGACCACATTTGTTAGATACGAATGTAGATACCAAATATTAAAAAAAAATATGACCTGAACCTAACCGTCCTATGATTAATTTTGTTAAAATTTAACCCCAGACCAGACCAACTAGTTATCGAGTATAACCTAGAATATAAACCAAATATAAAAATTGTAGCTAGTGACAGGACTTAACTATATTACAGTCCAGCCCAGATATGCCTAGGACTGAGCTGATTTCTACTATACACAATATTGTTACGTCAATTTATTCGGAAACAAATGGTTTGTAGGATAATAATGTATTTCTAAACAAGTAAAATTTAAACTTGTTAGGTAGTAGGTACTCAAATATATTATATAGAAAAATACATAAATAATCCGTATAAAACAATGTTATATAAATTAGTTTAGTTTGTAAAATTTAATAAATAACTATATATTTAAGTATTTAGACAATATGCTTAGACACGCTTGGGAACAAACAGTTGTATTTTGTTTGTAGATCAATATCTATTAGAACGTTTAAAAAAATAATCACGTCTTAAAAATAATGGACATGTATGGTTTCATACATTTAAACACTGTTTTGTAAGCACCTTTGTTTTAATTATATATACAACTATTAAAAAATATTAAAAAAAATTAACTCATCAAATGGTTATAAAATAAGTAGAAAAGGTTACAAATAAATTATATTCTAAGGTTTTTAATCAAATTTCCACGTTGTATGGTTTGCATTAAATTTTTCTTTTTTGGTTCTTCTAGCAATGACGATCTTAGCTGGTAAACATCAGGGTACAGTTTCTGAAACTAATTATGCATTGCTTAGTAATTTTATTGGTGTTGATATACATTCATTGTTTTCAAAGGTTGTATAATTTTATTTTATTTATTGTGTTTTCAAAAGTAATACATTAGGTTACACACAATTTATTTTAAAAGTACAACTCAAGTTATAAAAATAATAAAAAATAATGATAAGTAATAAATAATATTCAAGCAAGCGCGTTGTTGTAAAAAGAACATCAAATCGTTTACCAAAAAATGTGCCTGCTGTAAAGTTGTAAATAGTTACATACCATTTTGATGCGTTTATTTTTTTCTTTGGTCGACATAGTGTCACTGTTGATAATTTGATCAAATAATTCAACAAGAGCTTCTTTGGATTCTTTACTTCTATGCTGTTCGAATTCTTTGTCTGATATCCGTTGACAATAGTGCATAACATTATCCTTAAAATACAATAGAAAATCTTAATTAAACACAACTATTTGATATTGACGTTTAGATAATATAGGTACTAAGTAAATTAGACCATTGTTCAAGTAAATTTTATTTAAAATAACTTGACTTTAACAGTGTGTGCCAAACATGATTTTTAATTTTAACGTTTAAATACAAAATAGTTGATTGCACACGACATAAGCCAATTTTAACTAATATACTAGATCAAAATATTATATTATGATCTTTATTTAATTTATATCTATAAATACTTACATTATAAAAGTTTTCATCTTCACTATCTAGTAAATTGAACTTTTCAGATAAAATTTGATCAGTGTTTACAGGTAGAAATATTGCCTTTTGATTATGAATCAAAAACTTCACAACATCTGAGGCCAAACAATCGTAATCGAATTGGTTGATGTTTTGTCTCAACACAGCACAGCACAATTTTTCAGAGATCTAAAAATATAATGTTTATACGTACATAAATGTTTGAAATGTGTTTTGATAAAAAAATAATTAATTTTTGTACCATATTTTGTTTCAACATAAAGAATAATTAACTTTACTTTGATAAAACTTTATTAGTTAATGATAATTTATAAAATTTAATTACCTTGGAGTAAGCAGCTGACAAACTAGAAACAAATTTGAGGAAAAACTGTAACTTTGCTTTACTCAACGGAGGAAGACAAAGACACAACAACCGGTACAAAACAATCCCCAAATGCACAGATTTATCATTTAACCCTATAAAATATAGATTTATTAATAGTCATTTAGAAGGCTCAATAAGATATATTGTTTTTTTAAATATTACCATTAAACGGTTTAATTTTACTAGGTCTATTGTCAATTTTGGTATTATCCACTAATTTGTAAATAGATGATACAGCCATCTCCAAATCAAAATCTTTTACATCGTCATCATTGATTTTTTCAGATTGAAAAAGCCCAAAATTAACATAGCCTGAAGTAGATGGACAAACTTTTTTATAAAAATCTGGAGATTCTTTTTTAAAACCATAATTGTCAGAATAGAAACCATCGTTCATGTCATAACTTTTGTTACAAGAAACTGAGTTGTTAGATATTGCACGATTAAGTCTTCGTTTCTTTATTCTTTCACAATAAGATCTAGTTTTTCCTGATATTTCTGGTGAACTAGTTGTCCTGTATAATTTCGGTTTTGAAAATCTGGATACGTTTTTCAAGGGTTTATGTTCCATATTGCTTTGTTCAGCTTCACATGATTCATAAAACGAAGCGCTACTGCAGCTACTAATAGACATAGATGTTAAATTATAATACATCGAATTATCCAAGCTCTTGTTTTGTAAATTTGTATATTGATCTGCGAATTCAGTTTCCCAATTGGATATAGATGATGGAAGAACGTTATCTGTATCACAGCTATTGTTGTTTTCGATAGATTTTGATTTGTTATTGCACAAATGATCATGTCTTTCTACAATAACCAAAATGGCTATAAATAATTCGTAAAATGATATAGGAATAAGTGGTTCTTCAGAATTTAAAAAATAATCCTTGATTACAGAGTAAACATCAGCTTTGAATCCAGGATAAGCACAATCTTTTTTTTCTGTGTCTATAATAAAAATAAAAAAATGTTTTATTAAACATTTCTCGAATTAAAATATATCATATTATAGTGAAAACTATGTTTTCTATCTACAATAGAATTATGATATATTGAACTGCGTAAGTAAATGTATTTACTTTTAAGTAATTAATAGCTGTCAAAATATCTGTTTAGTATATGATATGACAAGTCTACTTGTTGATTTGTTTTCAAAAATAGGATAATTCGCTAAATTAATTAAAACTATAAATATAATAAATTTACCAATTGTTAAACTATCCATAGCTGTTTTGACCCAATGCGGAAATAATCCATCATCATTTTTCTCGGGTTGTAAATATTTAAAATGATCCATTGCTTGTTTAAGTTTTCAAGGTTTAAAAAGTCTTCCATATTAAAACTTTTCAGTATCATGGATAAACTGAAAATATTAAAAATAAATTATACAAGAACAGAAAAATTATATTGTAATAGCCATTTTGGTTTTAAGATTAAGTATCTAAAATTCAAATACAATATAGACATTTAATCTCGAATAGATTTAAAATTTTTTTACTTATTAGTATAAATTATCAACATAAGTATACTTTTTATGATTCTTAATTATGTCAATTAAAAAACATTAAAAAGAACAATTTTTTTTTCTACATACATATCTTAACAATTTTTAATCCTCTATTATGTTGTGACTTACTTCTTCAATACATAATTTGCTATTTTATTATTTTCATTTAAATATGTATTCATTGCTACATTTTCCATAGAGTATGATTTCATTCTATGACTGCAAATTAGTTTTTCACTTTTTGTTGGTTGAGGAGATAATGATTGTGGTTTATTCATAAGGAACAGATTTAGTGATGACAGTACAGAGCCTTTACTTAAACCCTTATGACCATTCTTTGATAACACAAATCTAAAAAAAAGTTGTATTATATACTAACAACTTCAAAAGTAGTAATTTAAAATTTTTTCAAATCTATCAGTCATTCATTTTGGCTGAGAATTCTTTAGCTAATTTGCATTTCAAAAATACAGATTATAAATACTGATTTTATCATTAATAAATACTTTATTCTATTGATGATAATGAAAGTGGTTATTGTACATTCAAGGGGGTTAAACATAGAAAAGAGGTGTGCCCACATATTTACATTTAACCGTCTTGAATGCAAGTTAACCAATGCCATTTAAATTAAAAGTTGGCTTATCTGTAATTATAAAATCAATGCTATACAAACGTAAGTTAAGAGTTCTTTTTAAATGTATATATAATTTTAATACATATTTAAAGATACTATTGTCTATTATGAATACATACTCGTATAATTCAGATCTATCTTTAAATTTTGTTATATTTGAATTGACAGCTTTGAAAATTTCGGCTTCATAGAACTTATTCATTAAAGCCACAATTTGTTGACGTGTGACTCCTTTATTGAACAAATATTGTAATTTTCCACCAGAAGCTTCGTTAAACATCCATTCCACTGCTTCATATCCGGTAAAGCAGTTTTCTTTAAACCAAAGTTGATAGCGATGCGATTTTAACGGCATGCCATGTCTAAAGTGTTCCACTAACTTTTGCCACTATAAACAAGTAAAAAAAAAAGTTAGTATTAATAGAAAATATTCAATAACTGACTATACCAAGTTGATTGATATCAACAGTTAGGGTCTTAAACAAAATGTCAACAAATAAGAACCATTGGGGATGATAAAATATACTGCAGGGTAGAGTGTAGGACAGTAGTAACTCAGGTGACATATTATATTATATCACTCGAACCTCTCTTATATTATATCACTCTCAAACCACATAACATTTTTGCTGTTCATACCATATCACATTATTATAAGCATTATGTTTTACAATTAATTTTGTTTCCTTTTATATAATTGTTTACCTACATCCTTAGTTATTTTACTTAACTTATTCTTATTCGTTGTACTTACTACCCCTTGCGGGTGTTTTTAATTTTATATATACAAATAAATAATATTAAAAATAAAACTTGACTGACTTTACTGACTACATGAACTTAACTATCAAATAATAATATATCATTACAAAAAAATGTTTTCGAAAATTTTTAATAATTAATATTTACGAAAAAAGTTATAAGTATTATTATTTTATTTGTATTTTGGCTTACGTAGGTACTTAATTTTTAAAAAAATGTAAAGCCCTCCCTTCTGGAAGTGTTGTCAGAGGCAAGTTCTCATCAGAAAATTACTCCACACATAGACTGGACTATAAGTAAATTAGACGAAAACAATATAATATACTCACAGTTTCCGTAGCGCGGAATTGTGTATAAGTAGGCAAATTCGATAGGTTTGAATACTCTGCCATGAAGACCGCTAACGTTCAAAGTAATTTAAAATTATAAAATCGTTATCGAAAGAAATATAATATTGTTTTGAATTGCATTACAAAATGCGCACACTTCATGATTTTCAATAAAATATTAAAATACTGTTGTTGAGATCATTTAGCTAAACAATAATACTTATTCGAAATTCGAAAAAAATAATACTAAAATCGATTATCCATACACTTGTTATCCGACCGTTAATATTTCACTTCACTATTATCAACGTTGAATAATAGGTATGCGTTAGCATTGTCAGTTGCCCCAAATTCAAAGCATTCGAACATAATATTATACAACAACACCAGCAGCAGCTGTAACCCGAGGTATTACATTATAATTTATATCCCATATAAGCTATAACATTATATTATGATAACCATTCGTCCCCCCTCCACCGAACACTAACCTATGAAATATGAGTATAGCATTCGGACGGTTAAGGTGACACAGAACACAGGTGCACTCGTTGATGATAATATTATAATGTCTGTAAATCATGATTTCGAATAATAATTGTGAAGGAATGGTTATTGGTTATCCTTTTGAAATATTATTATTCAAAACGGACCGTTGGCATTTGAAAAAACCAGATAGCAGCGCTGTCTATTATTCTCAGTTTGCCGTTTATTATAAACAATTTAATACGAAATAATAATTTCACATAATTATAATATTAATCATAAGTTATAACACTCATTGGTTTTAATAAATAATTAAATAAATAAATTATAAAAATGTATAGAAGTGTCACTAAACCGAGGGATCTCAAGCACCCGTTTTAATAATAATTCATAAACCTATACTGTTTATCCTATGAGATTCCCAGACGTTCTCTATTATTTTCTAACAATGTTGATGCACGGATCTCTCTTTAATTTCAGATTTTTTTACAGGTCTATAGATATTAGGATCAACGAAGTAGTTTAGTCCAAAGCACAGATTATTAAATAGATAATAGGAAGTTCGCAGATATAATATGTTTAATTTTATCCACGACCTTAGAAGATATCTTCTAGGAAAATGATTTAGTCTGTGAGCATATGGAATAGTGCAATCGTTATGTTAACGATTTTGGACGTGGGACACAACGAATACATGGTTAGGTTCGTGCCCAAAAAAGTATATGGCTGGATCTACATCATATAATATATATTTTAATCTATGTCACGGCTGCAGATAGATCTTTCTGCGGAAACCAGTGAATTTTTTCCAAGGCTGTTACTCTGATCTCTATAAACCTTGATGATTGAACCTTGAGTCTTGAATTTGGTCCATAAAACAGAATTCTGTGCATAGAGATCGTTCACGTCATGGAATATAGCGCGCTCTGATGGATAATATATATATTAGGTCCAGGTCTCGTGTAAAAGTGTAATATGGGATTTCTTCTAAAAAGCGCTACTTACAGTTGTAAAACGAATGGTTTTATCCATTTAATTTATGTATTAAACATCTTGATTAGTACAAACAATTAATGGTTAATACTAATTTTAAAATTTTTCAATGCTCTCTTGTGGGACGAATAACTTGCCTTGCTCTGTTGTTCACTGCAGCAGGCCCGTTTACACGACGACAATACTACCACCACAGTACTATCTAACTTGGCTAGATAGTGTGACAGTACTCTGCCCTCATAAGCACAAATGCCGTTACTCGAAAAATTTTTTAAAACCGTTTAAAACAAGTAAGAAACCATTTTACTTGTTGAATCGGGTTTTTACAAAATATTTTTTTTTTCCGAATTACGGCTTTTTTGCTTAGGGCACTTCTGTAACTACTATCGAATAATTTAAACGACGACAGTTTCTGTCATGACATTAACTATCACCATTTACTGTCACCATGTAAACGCGCCTTAAGTGGCATCCTGAACGTTCTCTAAACATAAACATATCATTATGATTAGATATACATTTTGGATATCTACGATTTGGATCCCTTTTCCCGCTCTTAATGTCATGCAAGCAACCGTGTCGGAGGAAAAATGTCATGGATTAAAAGACATCCCCATTCGATTTCAAGTGACATTTTTTCCATGGTTTTTCACCTCCATCCACCCTCCGTCAATGGTCTTATCAAGGTCTATAATAACTTACAAGACCTTAGCAGTTTATTAGCCGCCCATCAGCAGCTGTTACATATGACAAGGTGTATAATTAATAAATTTAAACTTTAAACTGTTAACGTTCGTCTCGGTGCTGTTAAGACTTAAGTAATATTAATTATATTATAATCGGCGTTCACTAAAAACAGCAATAAATTATTGTAAAATTTTCGTTTTATAGCCACCAATATAGAAACGTGAAATAGGTAATCTAAAGTGTTTCAATTTGTTTGCAGTTGTTATGCGTGATAAATGAATACTAGAAATTTTACTTTCAGTCGACACGACAATTTTATTTGATCTTAATAAATGTTAATTTTACCAGTAGAAGCCATGCTGTTAAATCAAACGTATTATTAAAATTGTATCAAAATAATTTTATGGTATTGTTTCAGTGATCAAAATGTTTGTTGACGATATAGTCAAAGGCTTCTACGATATAATATCAAAGAATGTGAGTTGTTTACTTATTTTAAAACTAAGTGTGAGTGTGGACGAAATCTCATGGGTGCAAAAGTATTTTTTTGCATTTATACTATTCTTCTTTATTATAAGCTCAATCCTTATTTCTATACCAGTCTAGTTTTACCTCAAGAAGGCATTTCTAAAATATATCAAACTATCTCGATATTTACAGTGGAAGGTTTTTTTTTTAAACTAATTGATTTACATGTGCTATCCGAATTAAATTATCATTTTCTCTCTATACATACCTGACCCAAAACAATCTCGAGCATTTCACAAACTATAGTATATTGTCTCCAGCATACATCTGGGTCACAAACATTTCTTAAGATATCCCTTTATAAAATCAGTGATTTAAACTTTGTAAAGTGATGTTAAAAAAAAGTTTACTACATTAAAATTTATATTAAAAATTACTCTGAAATATTTTATTTTATGATACCATTTGGCATGTAAAAAAATAAAATGTTATTAATTGTACTATTTAATTTAACAATAAGTATATTATTTTATGTTTTAGAAAATATTAATTCTGGTAAACTATGATGTGGATGCCATTTGTGCTGTGAAAATACTCCAATGTATTTTACGCTTCGATAACATTATTTATATACTTGTACCTGTCAAAACGCTTACGGAATTGAAAAGAGAGTATGATGAACAAAAAGCTGATGTAATGTATTAGTACTCTCTATTATAAAATAACCAGTATTTAAATTATTTTAATATTTAGGTTAAACATGTAATCCTAATTAATTGTGGAGGTACGTCAGATATTGTTGAAATATTACAACCAGAAGATAATGTGATTTTTTTCATTGTCGATAGTCATAGACCTACAGATGTTTGTAACATTTACAGTAGTTCACAGGTATGATATGTCTAACACTATGGACGATCAGCTGAAAGCAATTCTTAACATTTCTTATAAAAAAGAATTTTGCATTGTATAATGAATATTCATTAGAATAAGAAAAGAATTAAGTATAAACAACTCTAGTAGAAAATGAGATACTAGTAGCCACGTAACCTGTAATAATGTTAGGTTGACACTATTACTCTGAATCCTTGTCGCGTGGTGAAAACATGCTCAATATAAACTTGCTTGCTTGAAAATACAAGCATAAAAGTTTAAATTAAGCGCCATATGGCAATATTCAACTATATTTCTAATAATCACCAATAAAAATTTTTAAATGACATATTAATAGCCAAGTGAACCAATTTTTTTTTTAAACAAAATTATACATTTTAATGTCCATAAATTCAAATTATGATTACAACTATAGTTTTCTTAATAATCTATTCAACATTTAATTTTGTATACTTTTTTTTTAGCTCTTGTTATAAAAAGAATATGGCCCTTACATATTGTTTGCTTATTATGGCTTAATATACTACTTAAAACTATTTTGTATAATTTAAAAATTATATAACTGTGTTTTATCAATACAAAATTGATATAATCATTTAACTTTATGTCTATTAAATAAGAAATTAGTTAAAACTAAGCAAAAATGTCATTGTTTTCAAGTAAAATATCACTTAATAATGTTTAGTTGACACAATGCTATTAAATATGGTAAAAAAAATTTAACTAACCAAAATAATATTTAGATTAGGATTTTAGCACCACCTGAAGATGATGAAAAAATTCCAGAATTTGAATATATATTTAATGAAGATGAGGTGAATAAAACATATTTTTAAAACATAAATGTCTATGTAATAAATAAAATATTTTGTATTTTGATATATTGTAGTCATCGGAGGAAGAAACTTTTTCTGACTATCCAAAAGATGATGATGATGATGATGACGATGCCAGTATTGAAGAACAACAAAATAAAAGAAGAAAACTGGATCAAAGTGTATTATTAAGACGTAAAGAAATTAGGAAATGGGAAGAAAATAGAAAGAAGCTTTTATTTGATTATTCACAGTTCTCATATTACGGACGTTCGGTAATTATAATTTTGCCAAATCTTTTTAAATGTTGAATTTAATTACATTTTTTTGTATTATTACACTTTTTCAGAGTGCAATGTTAATGTTTGACCTTGCTTGGAAGTTGCATAGAGAATCTATTGACTTGTTATGGTCAGTATGTAACACTTTGTTAATTACTCTACATTTATCAATAATTATAATAATTTAAGAACAATACAAATAAATAAAACATTTTTGAAATGACGTAATCTTGTTAGTAATAATTAAAGCTTGTATTTAGCTTGTGTAAATTGGGGATGGAGTATATTGGGATGGGGGAGGTCATAGTTCACAGAAATAATTATAATTTAATAGTAATAAATCACTTTCAAATAAATACTTAAATGCTAAGCTGTAGATGGTAGAAAAACAAAAATGTATAAAGCGCTGTAATGACAATAATATAATTAAAATTATATTTTAGGTATTAGGGTTGATAGTCTGTCTATATTACCGTTGTTACCCATTTATTATAATTAATGAAAATATTTTCAAAATCCTGTTGATTCACTGACAGCAACCTAAAAATTTACAAGGGTCAAAGTATAATTTTCCCCAATTTTCTTTTTTTGGTTATTTCTTAAATGTAAAAGCTACACTTTAGATCTATCTTTAGTTAGAAAATATAGAGGGTTCTGACATTATTGTAAAAAAAGTTTTTTGTCAGGTAAACATCGAAGCTATTATCTAAAAAGTATAAACATTTATTGAATTTATCCATTAAAATTTTTTATTTGTCCTGGTTTTGTAATTTTTATTTAAATATAATTAAAAAACTTTGTTAATATTTCTTATGTATGTATTTTTAGGTGGGGTATAGTTGGTGTGACCGAACAATATATTTTAGGTAAAACAGAACGTATGCGTTACTTGAAAGAAGTAGAAGTGATTGGTGGCCATATTGGTCGTATTTGCGAGTCTACTCTGAATCATGAAAATAAGGAAAATATATCAAAATCATCAGTAACCAAACCAATTAATTTTTCTGCCCAGTTACGAATTGAATCCGATAAAGAGTAATTTATGTGCTTTTTTTAATACTATATTTATTTCATAATTACCTAATTAATCATACAACAAATTTCTTATAAAATTACAGTTTGTTATTGGCATTATACAGACATTGGACTATTGAATCTAGTCTTCGATATTCCATGTTTACAGCAGTTTCATTAAAACTATGGACTATCAAAGGTGAAAAGAGACTACAGCAAATATTAGCAGAAATGGGGTATTAATATGTTAATATTTATTACTTGTATAGAATATTAATAAACATTATCTTTTTCTGGTGAACTTAAAGCTAAGGCACATTTTCTCTTGGGTAACTAAATCTGCGTAGCTTGAAGTTGTTCTAGACACAATTAAAATGTCAACAATAAAATGTTTAAAACTTCTGAAATTTTATTAGTCAATTAATTTGAATAGTGGATTTTAAGTATAAAAAACTTAAGGCATTGCCTGTTATTTTAGTACTTTTTTTAAAGAACAGTTCGAGTCAAATAATAATTGGTTGTTATTTTTTATTCAGTTTAATTATAAAGTGTTTAAATTGTATGAAATTGATAAATTTATGATATTATGAGTGAGAAGAATCTTGTATGATTTAGACATTATTTTTGTTATGATTTAGATTACCGTTGTCTGAAAGCCGACAAATGTTTTACTCCATGGATTTGAGTTTACGGAAACAGTTTTATGGTATGATGGAAAAAATATCCAATGCTCATAATTTATTACAAATGACATATCCTTCTTTCATGTTATTACAAGGGTTTAAAACAAAATATCAGTGTGCTGATTATGTTTACTCAATGGTTGCTACTTTAGAAACCAATGTAAGACATTATTTAACCTGTACACTGTTTCCATAGTCTATTGATTATTCCAGCTATGAGTACTACCTGGCCCCGTGTCGACCTGTAGTCGCACAGGTCGTAGCCAATAGCTACGCTGCCAAGAAGTACTTTTAGCTTTAAATTCAATAATTAATCAATTATTTGTAAATGTTTGTAATTCTGTAGACATGTGAGATATCAACAATTAAATGTTTCTATAATACCTTGGATTCATTATCAAGGTGAGTTGACAAAACTATACTTTATTCTAAATAATAACAAAGCAGAAACTCACCATTTCTATTTGCGCCGAAACAGCCAGGTGTGGCGAGTTTTATCTCTACGCAGGAACGTTCATGTTTGGAACAGACTTTATATGTATACACACACCCACTTACATTTAATTTTAATTGTTATAGGTCTAAAAAGGACTTATTGGATCAAGGAATAGAAAAGGCAAAGTGGATACTCACTAATATGTTCCGACACGTACAAGCTGCATTAGATATGAAACAAATAGTTTCAGCAGGACCCTTTTACTATTTTATTGTGCAAGAGGTATGTTTTATTTAATTAAAGTATTATTTCTTTTTATAGCTTGTATGCCTTGTAAGAAGATTAAAAACTGAAAATAAATTTGACTTATTATTATATTAATTATATTTTTGTTTAGGGTACGTTACATTCTCAGCATTACTCAAATCCACATTGCTTAACGATGTTGGCTACGTTTGCGCTAAGAGCTCAGGTTGCATCAGTTCGTAAAGCCAAAGCTACACGTTTACCACTAATTGCGTCGGCAACGCTTAATTCTAGCGAAGAAACTTGTTTGGTGGCTGGTATTCCTCCTATTACAGAAACAATGCCTAAAAGGTTTGTAGTAACAAAATCAATAAAAGAAAGAAAGAGTTACATATTAGCTAAATATAGTGAAAATAAAAAGGATGCACATAAATTGGTGTATCCAATAAATATTCTGTTTACAACTTACAAAGACTCTTTTCTTGTATGATGTTTTGTACAAAATTAAAAAAAAAAAGTTGAAAAACGTTCTTGATTCTTAGTTAAGTGTATTATTTTATCATATAATTTTATTTTTGAGACTCACAGAATTATCAGTTTTACTAATAGCTAATTAGGTGTTATTAGTGTGAAATTTTTCTTTTTAATAATAATTTACATATTATAACTATTAAAAATTATTTGTATAATGTTTTAGTTTTTTTGGAAAGGCATTTGAACAAGCAGCTAATAAAACAAATATAGAATTAACGTTGGATTATTTTGACTCGTCCATTGCTAAATTAAAAATCAGAGATCGACCACGATTTTTTGATGCATTAAGTGCATTGCTTAGTTAACAATATTAATGATTATTACAATTTGTATTAATATGAATGTTATGTATGTTGTAATGATATTTAATTTTAAACAGTTATGTTCCTTTAAAACTATAGAATATTTGGAATGATAATGAATATTTAATACATAATAATTGATTGCCATTATAGTTTTAACTTAGGTAAATATTTTTATATTATTTGATTTTGTGTTAATGTGTGTCATAATTTTATTTTTTAGATGTTTTTTACATTTCTCATGTCTACTCTGTATATTATGTATGTTATACAGTAGTCGGTACCTACACATTTATAATTATTATGGTGAGTGTGATACAAATTTTATATTAGCATCGCTGTAAGGCAGAATTAAATTTTAAATTGTCAAATCATTAACCTAATAACGCCTCTGTCTCGTGTTCAATTTAAGTATCCACTCTTTTAATTCTTCCCAAAAACGAGAACCACAAGCATTCAATTTTATACTTATATTTTGTTAGTATTTAATTGTTTTTATACATACATGATTTTGTTTACGCTTATGCCCGTCAATTATTAATTAAAAAATACCAGATTTTCTAAAAAGCATTAAAATTATTGTATAAAAAAATGTATTATGTGATAATTATGTTATGAGTTACCAGATTTGTAATAATAAAGTGAAATTTTTAAATTAGTAAATATTTTTCAGTTGAGTACAAAATGCAAATTATGTGAGTCCCAGGAGCTTAGGAGTACCTTAGTATGATACAAATTTTAGGGGTGCCAAAGGAATATGAACACATGTTAAATATGGGGGCCAAATATGTTTGCCTTAGGGCGTTAATGAAAGTGAGCACGGCACTGTATAGGCCAAATTATTTTTATTAAGAGGACGCTACCCACCCGTAAATTATCTGCAAAAGAATGTTTTGTGGGGGACAAGATAGCGACTGTGAGGGCGGTATTTACAGTAACTGTATACAATTTTTACAATGGATAGATCAGAACTTTGTCTACTGGGTAGCGTTTTTAGTTTATTGATAACATAAGCACTTTCAGAATTATTAATTTTTTCCCTTTTTTAGTTGTTTATAAACAAATATTAAGTATAAATAAAAGAAGAAAAATAAAGCTACCCCTTAGACAGAGTTCTTTTGTATACATTGTTAAATTTTGGTAAATCTACTGTTAATACTGTCTACACATACTTCTCCCGCGCAAAGCAGTTTTAAAGGGAGGAAATCTTAATTTGTCCTATAAAAATTACTGTGATAATCTCACAAAAAAATGGCGATCAATAAAGTATCCTCAATACTGTAACTAGAAGTTTACACCATAGTTCAAACTCTTAATTAATATTTTGTAAAAAATTACCTATAATTTACTCCTTAAAAATGGACGGAGTTGCGTCCTCTTAATTAATATAACATTTTTTATACGTTCCTCAAGTTGTGTTTCTACAAAATTATTTAAAAAATGTAATGTTTTTATGTTCATTACACATTTCATAATATACAGTACCAATTTGTATTATAGGGCCGACAGAACACGGGAACGTGTTGTCCATTCGTCTTAATGTCGCTCGTTGGACCAAATTACTGGTAGGCATCATTGCCAACGGTGCTGGTATATTTTGTTGGAATGTCTATTGGCCAACAATTGCGGGTTGGAGGGCAGATTCTGATAATAATATTATGCCGAACGTTGTTCACCTTATCATTTTTCATGGTTATCACAGTTGCTGCGTTGTAGTGGTGGCCGCCGCCGTAGCCGCCGATTGATTAGAGGTTATGAATCTTCTTATTTCTCAAGTTCAACTTTTTGTTATGGTGTATTGACTAGCATGTCTTGTATTAGTTGTACGTTGTAGACATCCTGTCTAGTTGATACTACCTAACTTAAGTTTTGTTTATTTTCGTTCTATTATGTTTAAATCGTTACCATTCGTCCAGTTCGTCGATTGTATGTCCTTTTTAATTTCACTCGTCAAACTAAAGTAGCCAACAGTTGTTTTAAACGACATGTTAAACGTGTTCTTCCAACGGAAACAAAGTTGAATTGACTTGACTTCAGATCCTAAAAGAAAATTGCACAAAAGAATCAAGAAAAAGTCTACCCTTCAGGTAAGTCATTGGTCAATTATACGTGATCATTAACATGTAATTAGTTGTTAATCAATGATCAATACTAAAAAATAATTGTCAACAAAGTGTTTACATTCAAAATCTCTCCTAACTTAGTACTTACCAAATTAATGTGCTGGTCTTTAGTTTGTTGATTTAAATGTTGGACTTTTGAAACACCTACGGTAATGCTTCAGATAAAACAATAAGTTCAGACTTTGATCTTTTTGTGTACATTTTTTTCTATACCAATATTTATAACAATATTATTAATGTTTTGATCAGTATTGAATTAATTTAAATTTTTAATTTAACTTGTTAATTTTATTCGGTCTATTCAAATATGTGGTGTATAATAATCAATATGGCAAAGGTATTAAGAAAAGGTGAATCATGCTGTTGGTTCAAATTTGTATTTTTTGATTTTAAAATTCTGTTCTCAAATGACATTTGTTAACATAGAATCAGGTTTTTTTCTTATTAAACGACTCCCAACATAATTTATGTTATCAATCTCTAAGCTACAATTAATTTTGGTAAAATTAAAATTAAAATTGCTAAAGCTGTTTATATAAAATAAATTAGTGGTCTCAATTTGACTGATTAAGTATGTATTGTAACATACATCCTGGGTGAAAATGCCAACCACTAAACTACTAATGTTGCCCAGACAGGAAATAAAAACTGGCTAGGTTCTTGTTTGGGTAAAAGTTTTAAAGAGAAATAATGAATTTATTTAGAGATCCCGTAAACTCTAGGACTGTATCCATAAGGTAGATTAAATCTCATATTATGTTGTATTATATAAATGTTAATAAAATATTCTAAAAGGTTTACCTGAACACGCTATACAAATCTAACTATGTATGATTAAAATAAAAAAACCTAATTAATGTTAAAGAACTTTGACCGTGGGGGGAGACTACTTTGAAGCAAATTTCCTATAGGCCCTTATTAAAGTGTCCAATTTAAGGTAACAAAATGTTAAGTAAAATATTTTATTTATTGGCGTCCATTAATTCATTTTTTCAACAAGTTTATAAATAAAAATGCTACTTAATAATTGAAAGTAGCTTTAAATACTATTATGTTTAAACTAAATATACTAACTATAAACTAAAATGATTTGCAGTGAGTTATTTATATTTCATTTATTTCTAGAGCCGAGCCAAAACCAATAACTTGTATTAATGTCGACTGATATTGGTGTGTATGCAGTAATAATAGTTATAAATATAATGCTATTTTTAGATTTATTAGAAGTTAATTAATCGACCTTGCAAAAATGCAAGATGCTTTGATATGTTACATGATTTATATCAGTTTGTAGGTATATTGGATATCAGGTTATGAACCAATAGGAAGGATTTTTCATATCGTTCCTTTGATCTGTAGAAATAAAATATTGAATCGGTGATCGTTTTTATATCAGCATTATATATTAGAACATTTTTTTTTAGAAAAAAGTCTAGATAAGAGCTTTTGGTCAGCTCTATTATATTTTAATAGTGACTCTACAAAAAACCCTTTTTTGCTTACTTACCATACAAATGGGGTTGGCCAACCAAATTCTCTCCAAGTATGAAATTTGCCTGCGTAGCCAGTAGTAACACGTTTTAGTTTCTGCGATGGTTTATTCTTATTTAGAATAGAGTATAATCATCTACCCACTTCTTTGGTCTACCCCTACCTCTAAATCAATCTACGTTGATCTCTCTTACCTATTTACTTTAACTTTATAAAACTAGTATACTAGTATGTGTAAATAATTCTAGGATATTAATAAAACACACTTGTTGTTCTTAATATTTGATCATAATAAATATTAACGGTAAAACATTATTGTTTGTTTTTCTTAATAAAATATATTTGTTTAAAAAATTGTATGGACAAACATTATAGATTTCACTAAAGATTGTGACATAACTAAAATTTTCTTTGTGTTTTTTGACATTTTTGGTTACATGTTTTTGTAGAAAAATGCTATTGCCTTTATAATACGGACTGCATTTGGACGTAAAATCGATGGTTGATTTTTTTTTGTTGGTAAATTAGTAGTTTGTTGAGCTAATAAACATTGCCTGACTTTTCTAAAATAAAATATATAATATACTTATGTGTTGATGCAAGCTTATATTTGGATAACTGAATAAATATTTATAACTTACATTGCGTGCAATTTACTTGAATTATTATTCACCACTTGTATTGGTTTTTCTTTACTTAATATTATTTCGTTTTTCAATTGATTGAGAATTTTACCTAATTCATTCAATTGTTTGTAAACTACCAAATTTGATAAATGGACTAAAGCACTGTAAAAATTATTCAAATAATATATAAAATGTTTGCATTTTTACCCAAGGCTTGCAACACATTAATGTAAAAATTATAAAATTATTTACAATGGTATATTCATTTTCACTTTGTCCAAATTATAGTAATTGTTTGACCATAGTCGATTATTTGTGTTTCCCAAAAAAGTGAAATCTATATGGCTCATAACACCATTACACTGAAATAATTGAACAAACTTACTGGGTATCTTTAATCAGTGAAATTATATAATTAGTTACATTACTTTTGAATTAAAAATGTAATAAGTGGAGTACAGTAAAACAGTGATGAATACAACTACTCCTATACCAACATTAAAATCCATTTGACATTTTGTAGTTGATTAACAATTAAATATTATGACTGCAGATACATTTTATTGCCTAGCTACGACCCATCAGCTGATTTTCGTGTGGGGGTTTTCTCTTATAAATCTATTCCATTGTGTTTTTATGATGACGAACGAGGACTTTCCGAAGACTTTTAAATTGTATTCGGAATTAAGTAAACGCGCATTTCCACTTGACGAGAATGTAGAAAAGCGGGAAATGTCACTTGACATTTTTTTGCGGGACCGAATGATGCGAAATTGGGTTAGTGGATCGCATAAAAGTAACTATTTTGGACTTAAAAAAAAACTACCAGACACGTCGAGTACAACACAAATGGTTAATGTGTATAGAAATAACACTGTAATGTGAATCGGACACGCGTATATAGGTATAAATTACATAGCAATAAATTATTACACACAAGTCGGACGTACACTGATTTTTTTTTTTTAAACATACTCATTCTAGAGAGCGTATGATTCACATATTCATTAAATTATGTAAGCCACTTTAAACTCGTATTCGCCGAAAGTTTTATTGACACTTCCGATCAGTGAATGAAGATAAAGTAAAAAAGTAAACATTGTTAACAAGGTTCAAATGTTCTTTCAATCCCTCCCCTAATAAAACCGTTGCGAAAAAAATTATCATTAACAAATTTTAAACCGAAAACGTTACGATAGTGTTGTTCTAAGTGTACAGGCTTAAAATCGGTTCTAATGGATGTAATGTAATTATATATTATGTTTGTTTTCCTTTGCAAAGTTTGCGTTCAATTAATCCTGCCTGAATAGCGAAAGTGATATAGGATTACTTAATAGTAAGTAAATCGAACATAGACCTATTATTATCAATAGGTATACCTTTTATAGCCTATAGGTCTATGATATCGAACTAGTGACATTATCATACTCCCTGAGATCGGCGGCCAATTTTTTTCTACTTAGACTACAATTAGTAAATTTACCAAATTAAAGTTTTGTTTGTTAAGGTATACTACAATTGTAGTAGATAAAGGCACTCAAAACATTGCGTGTCGAAGAGTTTTTTTTCAATGTCAATGTGCGTGACGCCAATCAAAATGTATATCGCAGTAATTTGGAACAACTTTCAGATTTCCAACGCATTCAAAATATACTATAACCACGTATAAACTCCAAGGCGAGCAAAGAGAACAGACCAGTAGAATATAATAATATAGTGGTCGCATTCCACTCTGGCGTCTTGTTTATATGTATACAATTTAAATTACATGTGTACATTACAACAACATTAGTATACTGGAATCCCAAAAAAAAAAAATTGGAACAGATCATTTGTTTTTGTTATTATTTGTAAACTAAGTACACAATAGGAGAAATTATATAGTCTAATCGAATTTACATAACAATGTTTACACAAAAGCATTGCGAAAAAAAATTTTGTTTACGTTCCTAACCGACCATTGTTGGTATGTCTTAAAGCTTTTTTGTGTGTTTGGGGGAGGGGAGGAGAACAGTTACCAATGTTCTGAGGAATTCGATTAAAAGGTATTTCTCAATATCAATTACAATTTCTAAGCGTTTTTGTAAATTTTTTTGTGTGAATTATATATTAATTATTTATAGTCCAAGTATTTGCAGTATTTCATTAAAAGGGCAATTTTTATCCTGCAATAACTATGATAGGCGAGACGTGCTTGCCATTTAACAAAAAAAAAAGGTTTTATATCATAGACTACTCTACTAGAATATATCATCAGAGTTTCGGTAAAATTTAATAAAGTTACTCGTAGGCTGTGCCTAATTGGTTGCTAACATTTTTAGAGCCCGAAGAAGTGTATAAATAGAAAGATTTGAACTTCCCTAGCCCGCACCTCTTCAAAATACATTGATTTGATATGTTTTGAGCTGGACACACAACCGAAATTTGATACACGTTTTTTTTTATGTCGTGAAATAATGTCAATCAATGGCAAACAAATCTAGCGTGTTTCGCGCGACTTGTTCGCGGCTGTGAATCTAAACTATTTTAATTTTTCGACCGGTTATTGTCGAATTATTAACTAAAATGATCTCTTGTCTATACTTTATACCAACAACATTGAATGTGGATTTCAAATCATTGATTACATGGAGTTTATTTAGGTAGGTAGCTAATTTAAGGAAATAACGAAAAACATATTATATCCATAATTCAATGTTTTTCCGTATAGCGGAGAAAATAGACGGGTTTTCAGAAAAGCAAAGCTGAGCATTAACGAGTTAAACATGTATATTTTATTATTAAGTTGTAATAACTCTCATTAACTTAACGAGTTATTTTTCATTACACAATTTATTCTTTACACGATAATGTTAATTAACAATTTTTTTTTTTCAAAACAACAAAAACCACTCTGAAATTTAATTATATTCATTTGTATGGAATTTTCTTTGGACTAGGTAAATCTAGAGTAGGCAGAGTGAGTAGACTTATACAATTTTCTCAAATATCGATAGACAAATCATTTCATTTGGATAAAGTTAATGTAATTTTATGCAAAATGTTTGTTTAGAACTTAATATTATAGTGTATACTTATTAATACAGTTATGAGGATTCTTTATAAGTTACTATATTTTTTTGTTAGTCAGTCTCAGTTATTTCTATAGAAAAAATTACAACTTTCAAAAATCTCAAAATTCACAGAAAAAATATTCGATCTATACAAAAATGCCTCAGTTCAGCATAGATAATATTCTCCTCTATTTTTCTATGAAAATTGTTGAATTTAGAACTATTACAGCCTTTACAACATTCATTTGTGCAAACCTTATTGTTACTTTATACTACAAATTACGGGTCGGTAACGACTAGCGTCCTCTTTAAGAAAACCCAAATAAAAGGGAAATATTACACTGACTATAGTCAATCACTATGTGTGAGTAAATCAATACATAGGTATTTAAAAACTATTTTCATAATATTGTTAATTACGATATGAGTTACAGCAGTAACAAATTATTATTATAGACAGACCAACCCTAATATTAACAACCTTTATACTTAAAATACAATTATAAGCACATTATTGTCATTACCATGCTTTTATTGATTTTTATATTTCTACCATCTACAGATTCGCACCGAAGCGTTTATTTGAAAGCGATTTGGTCACATTCAGCTAGTATTTTTGAAAACCTGTGACCTCCTCGAACCCAGTGTGTTTGTTTTTTATCCCACATTCACTTAGGAAAGTCTTACTTCCCCATACCATTGGTGGTCGTCATCTTTTAAAATTAAACAACTGTAAAGTATTTAATTGATGTAAGTAAATACTCTAGGTTTTCGTGAATGGCATTGCTCTTTATCCTAAAAAAAATTTAAATTACATTTGTAGAACAATTATTTTTAAAGTTTTTAAACTTTAAAAGTTACCAGTATACCATTACAATACAATTTATATGCTATTAAAATATCTCGATAAATTATCATCAACAAATTATAATATTTTGTTGCACAATTAAAAAAAAATCTTAAGTAATGATCTCCAAAATAACTTTTAGTATTTCGTTATATTTAAAATAAAAAATTCTTGACCATACATTCTTAATTTTTTTATATGCAATAGGTATGCTTTTAACATTAAAAGTTAATTTAATTTTAATGTAGTTCTAAAATATATTATAATTCAACTGTGACTATGCTTGTAAAAAAAATAAGAAATAACGATTTGCTATGATCTGCATTCAAAGGTTTACTCTGAGGTCATAAAAAATGAAACACCTAATCCGTTCACTGGCCGTAACTGATAAATCGGGTGACTTTGAGTCCCTCCTTCACGACCTCTACGGTTTGCATGATAAAGTCAGTGAATTATCGTTTATTATTATTGACCTTTAGTGTTTAGTAACACAAATTCGCAACTGAGCTTGTGGTGTACTTTTTATAATTTGTTTTCAATGTGCGTGATTTAAGTTAAAAACGGAATAACATCTAACTGGATACACAGGAAACCCGACAATTCCTTTGAAATGGGTAATGTAATTTTTTTTAACCTATATTGACTTATATAGATCTAAAAGTCAGTGGCTTTTTAACAGAAATAATGTTTTAAAATTTAAATTGAAGTGTAATTTTGTATTTAAAAATCTTTTAGCTCGTGGTAGATTTAATTTATTTTTGATTTTACACAAAATAAAAATTAAGGCTTAAGGTGTATACTATCGTGCTTCAAATTTAAATATTGACTTTAATACTCTTTAAAATTCAAAATGTATAAATGTTAATAGTAATAGATTTTAGAAAAATGTAATTCTTTGTTTTTTAGAAAAAATAATCTATAGTCGTAAGCTTTTTAACTGATAGTTTAACTTAGTTTTTCTTAAGTGTACTTACATAATTTACATTACATACTATGTAAATTATTTAAATAGTAGTACAGATTTTTATATTTTCACGTTTGTAGTGATAGACGAATGGTATAAAAAATGTATTACAATAAGAATAAGTTATTAGTACTTTATGAGTTATATTTATATTGATAAATCTGTTTTTAAAATTGCATTTTCCATATTTTTATAATACAGAAAATGGAGTTGAGGTATAAAAAAATAACACGAATAAATGTAACGATTATATAAAAACTTTATTCTGAAAGGATTTTGTAGAATTGCATGTAGAATGCATAACCGTTGTAGACATAATATGAAAAAAGGGTTTTCCTTAAAAAATAATAAAAAAAAGCTTCTACGTTTTACACTGCAATTTTTACTTGATAATTTTAATTTATTTTGGATAAATATCTACATTTTCCGAAAATAACTTTGTGGTTATACATTTAACATTAAATAATTATTTAAGTAAAACAAAAT